CATTCTGAAGATTTTAAAAATCCCTAGCATAATTCGTAAGAATTTCTTTTATTAGTTATATGTTGGAGAATTTTTCCTGAATATAATTATGTGCAATTTGTATTTTGCTGAAAAGTTTATAATTTTCTCAAACTTTTTCCCACATTTTTCCGTTAAATTAGACATATTAATTTTGGCTTGCGTTCGCTTGAAGCTCCTTAATTAATATTTAATCCACATTCTTTTAATTTGCCACATTATATTTTCCCAACGAAAGTTAGTTGTGCGTCCCATTAGATTCAATTTGGTTTTAATTGAGCCAGCATACGAACTCCGTATGAGTACTGTATTTCATCTCTAGTGGGACCCTTTGGGTTTCAGGTGAGTGCGCATATGAACCCATCTCATTTCCCATTTGACCTCATCCTGTGCCCGCTTTTTGCCCTTTTTGCCAGCCTTGCCGGCTGTCGCTGCGTTTGATGCGTGTCTGACACATGCCAACACATTAGTCGCCAACCGCCCGGCCACGCCCCCGAACCGCCGCACTGCCACCGCCTCCAAAAAGTCCAAAAAGTCCTCTATGGGGCTTTTTTGTCGGCCAGCGCAACTAATTTCATTTGCTTGCATTGCTGCCCGGAAAAAAGTGGGAAAAAAAATCGAAAAAGGCAAATTAGGCAAAGCATCAAATTTACATACGAAATCGAAGCTACAGATCGGTGTGAGAAGCTGCACTGAGAGAAGTTATGCAGCCTAAGAATATTTTTTAGTTGGAATTCTAGCATAAAACGGAGGATGGTGGGGCAAAAGCGACCTATAATATTCTTGAGTGTTTAATAGGAATATTTATAAAAAACTATTGTTTTTTTTTGATTCAGTTTTAGCTATTATATAAAACCTACTCGATAACGACTCGATAATTGATAAAACTTTTTTTTTGTAAATTTATTAAATTAAATATTTAATAAAAGAAAAATCTTACATTTGACCCATTTATAACATAAGGAAATAATTATTTTCTGCTTAAAAAATCCAATATTCTTCTTATCCAATCAATATGATTTTTTCCAGTGTGCACATGGGATTTGGCGAGGTACTGAGTTCGAGGACCAGGTGTGTTCCACAATTTGGCGCAAAAAATCAACTTTCGGCCAAATGCAACAGCGTGTGGCGTGCGTGCCGCCAGCTCTGACAACATAATGATGATACCCCCCGTCCCTTTGACACTCTAACGATCTATGTGTATAGTATAATATATCTATAGGTGGGTTAGATGGGTTAGGGACCCCCGATCCAGATTCCAAACATTACTCATACGCAACGTGTGCCGGCTACGTCAGAGTGACGTTGCCGGGGGAAAGTCCAGCGTCATCTGGGTTTAATCCAAATCGCCACTTGGCTAAAAAAAAATCTGTTCCAATACATAATACTAACCGGGTTAGCACATCACAGAGAGGTTTATGATAGGTCCCGGGGTCACTGATTTAACAGACCATTCATACAAAAATATACGAATATATAGTATGGTATCGTATCGCACTTCTCAACGGCTAAAAACCCAAAGATCCAATGAATCACTTTGGGCCTTTTAACGCAGTTCCGCTGACGAAAACCACAAATAAAGAGGCTAAAAGAGAAGCGCTGAATGTGGCAGAAGAGACTCGAATGGAAAGAGAGTTAGTAGCAGCTGAATGTGAAGATTTTAAAGTTTTCAGACTGGGATTTTTAGTAAACATTTAAAAATATTAAATATCCATTAAAAGGAGTTTGTGAAAAGAGTAGGATTTTTATAACTTTTATTACTACCTAAAATAATAAAAATTTAAACAACAGATAGGACCATTCTTATATAAAGCTTATAAAGAATAGATGTTTCACTTAGCTTAAAAAGTCTAAAATATATTAAAAGGAATTTTTAAAAGGGATATTTTATTTAAAACTTTTTAATACTTTACTAAATCTCTAAAATTGTTATAAATTATTATTGTAATAAACGACTCTTCTTACTTCTCTTCTTTTCAGCGCAAACTTACTCTCTTTTTTAACCGTTTCTCTTGCTTGCTGATGCTGCACTCTCTTTCTCTCTTTTTTGTGGGTGGTTACATTGCTGTCGCCGCTTACAGTTATTTGTTCTTGCTTTTCACTTGTGTTTTCTTTGCTTTTTGTTTTTGAGTTCACTTTTAGGTTTTTTTTCGTGTTTTGTGTGTTTTGTGGGTGGCGCCTAACAGCTCGCTTTCGTGTTGTATTTGTTGCAATATGTTCCGCTTCGTTTGATTTTGTTGTTGCGGATTTCATTTTGGTTTATTTGTGGAAAACACGCACCCCAAACAAAAAAATACCAGAGAAACAAGAACAAAAAACAACTTAATTTTAACTCGCTTGCCAGCGTAGTGAAATTCGCATTGAAAGTAGCACAGTTACCGTTACGTTTACATTTACATTTACCGTTACTAGCTTAACACGTGTCAGAGCGAGATGACAGTTCTTGTTGTTTTGTTAATTTTTTTCCATTATTTAAGCTTATGTATGTATGAATGTATGTACAGAGAGGGTGAGGGGAGCAGCTTTTAGTTGCTTCTTGCTTTTGTTCCATTTTTTGGTCATTCAAAAGCTAATGAATAAAGGCACAAAAAGGATGAGAGGGATGGAGGGAGGAAAACAGACAGGCACCGCCTTTCTCTGCGATTCTCACAAAAGTTACCTGTGCTCCCATTAAATTTTTATAATCTTTATGCGTAATGTTGATAATGATGATTCACAATTAATTTGATTTGCTAATTTAAAGGTTAAATGAGTTGAAATTGGCAAAATCAGGTTGATGATATCATAGCAATGATAAGGCATAATTTCCATGGAATGCTACAGAGGTCCATTCATAAGTGGGTTTTTCAAACTATTTAGAAGACTAAACAGGTGTGTGTAAAATATCACAATATTTTTGTTAAGTTAAAAGTACATTAGTTGTTGTATTCCTTCTGTAAGTGGGTCAACATCCTTTGCCTATCTTAAGCTCACTGCTGTAATTTAGCTCGATTCACAAGCCGATTCATTCATGATGAGCAGGCTTCACTTTCCGCCCTCGAAACGCTGGACAGGACCACCCATGATTGCCATCCACACATCCACACACGGTAGCCTGTAAGATGGGCCTTACATCTGCTGGTTGTTTTGGCGCTGCAGCTCGGAGTTAATTAGCCCACGGATCGGGGGTCAGTCATCAGCTTCCTCCGCGCGATGGTAATTCAAGTCGCCCATCATAAACTGCTGACAAAGTTACTAGCCTGGCCTTCTGGTCCCCTTTGTTCTGGGCCACCGCAAGATCTTGGCGTGGATCACTTACTATATAGCCGGAGCTATAGCCATGGAATGGAGGGGGGAAGACGAGACGTGTGTCGGGCAGAAGCCCGAAGAAAGCTTCAGGTAACGGGAGGGGGGAATTATGAAACGCGGGGAGATGAAGAGGATATCTTTAACGCTTGCCTGGATCTGGCTTCTGCACTGAAATATAAAGCTTACTTTCATTTAATAACTCTTGAGATGAAAAAAAAAAAATATTTACAGAGGTCTGGCAACCCTAAACTTTATTTTTCGTTGAGAACTTCTTAGTTCTGATAAAAGAGTTAAGAAACCTATTGTTTTAGATCCCTGATTAGGTTGTGGATCGGCCGTAGAGTATGGATTATCTCTTGAAATGGTAAAAAAATAACTTTTTACAAAGGTTTGGCAACCCTAAATCCTATTTTTCATTGAGAACTTCCAAGTTCTGATAAAGTAGTTTGAAAATCTTTTGTTTCAGATCCCTGATTACGTTTGATCGATCGATTATTTGCAGTGGATCGACTATAGGGTATGGATTATCGGTAGACCCCACCTCGACTCGGAGCTCGGGTCTCTTGTCTAGGGTTTCCGTTTCGCAATTGCCGACAATGGAAATGTCTTTTGCAATTTAACACTTGACTGCCCCGTCTTGATTTGCCTGCCAAAGCAACAACAATGGCGGCACCCAAAGGCGGTGTGAGAAGGGGGGTACTGGGGGGTTCTGGGGGTTGCCGCTTCTCCAATTTATGTATGCCATGGAGCGACCGCAGAAGAGGCGAAAAACTGAAAATGAAAATGGAACTAGAGCTGGCAGAGATCGCAGATCGGAGATCGGAGATTGGAGATCTTCCAGGGGAACGAGGTCTTTGGGATGGCCTGTGCACACTTTGTGGTTCTGTTTGGCAATAATTTATAATTTATTATTTACACGCGCATTTTTAAGGCTTCGCACTCAAAAATTCATGATTTTTCGCAATTGTTGCAAGCGTTGTATTTTTTTTTGTTGTTCCGCCATTGTTGCTTCTAATCTAAAATATGCGCATAATTAAGTATGTGGTCAGCTTTTGCTGATTTCTGCACAGTTTTCTCTTAGCCAGTGGAAAATGCAATTTTTTTGGTGATATATAAAAGTAACCATTTTTTTTCTTACCTTTTTTACCCCTTTTTCACACTCAATTGACAAAATGAGTTTTAAATAAATACGATAACTTTATTTATAGTCTTCTCCTCATCGTTCATCGTTCGCCGTTCACTTTCATCTCGAATCCTTTTTGGCAGATTCACACACAAAGTAACAGAAAAAAAATGTATACATAGGTATTTCAATATTTATAGATAGTTGTGCGGCTTTATCGAGTATCTTTCTAGGCTTAAGGGCTAGTAAAAAAAATGTTTATCTAAGTGCTCTCTCTGCGTTTATATTAGGTATTTTCCAATTTCACTTAGATCTAAAATTTCCATTATTTACATATTAATTATTATATATTTAATGCTGCAACAAAACTCTCTGGCATTTCGGAAACAATAATATAATATTGGAATTAATGTTATTATGTTATGATCTCCTAAAGGTATTCATTCTTTTATGTACAATTACTGAAATTACTTAGGCTATGAAAAAAAAAACGAAAAAAAAATTGTACAGTTCTTGTGGTGGTGATCCTGGAGATCCTGGTGATCCTGATCCTCTCCTAGTTCAGTTCGATGTGCAGGTGCAGCGGTGGTGGGTGGGTGGTGGCAATGGGTGGTGCTGTTCGGTGGCTGCTGATCCGATTGGGTCAATAGGGTCGCCACACCTGCGTGAGATCGCCCACGTCCTCCTCCTGCCTCGCCGGCTCCACTCCGCCACTCGCCACTGCTCCACCCACTTCGCCCGTGGACTCCACCTGCTGGTGCACCTGCTGCTGCCCCTGCTGCTGCTGTGGGTGGTGTTGCACCTGCTGGTGGTACTGATCCTGGCCAATCTCTATGCTCGACCTGCTGCTTCCCGTCAGCGAGCCAATGGTCAGGTGCTCCGCCCCCGAGGCGGTACCGAGATACTGCTCCAACTTCTCGCTGCTGTGCAGATGCAGGTGGATCTGATTCTGGTTGACCGTGGAGTAGAGCTGCGGACACAGGACCACCGGCGGCGGGGGCGGCGGCTGGGGGGGCGGGGCCGCCTGCGGACCGTACTGGGCGGTGGCCAGGCAACTGCCGTACTGATAGTTCTGATAGCCATTCGACCACGCCTGATTGTAGCCACCGCCTCCGTAGTCCAGTTCCGATTTGGAGGCACTGCCTCCGCCGCTCACGGAATTCCCATAACCGCTGGCCGTCTGGTAGGGATCGCTGGCGAATCCATGGCCATGCATCTCGGGCAGAACGGTCGGCAGATGGGCGGCATACTGGCCCGCCTCCAGGGAATTGGCCGAATCCCCGTAGCCGCCGTAATTCATGCCCATGCCCATGCTTACGCCCATTCCCACGCCTACGCCCATGGCGGCTCCATTGCCCACCGAAACGGGGGCGGCTGCGGGGGGCGGCGGAGGCGGGGGCAGGGCCATCTGGTGCTGCAGGTGGGCGTGGGCGTGGGCGTGATGGGCGTGCGGGTGGTGGGCGTGGCTATGGTAGTAGGCAGCCGCCGAGCTCGAGGATCCCGTCCACTCACCGGCGCCCATCATATCGGGTCCTGAAAATAGAAAAAATATTATAAATCATTATTAAACATTTTTCAGTTCTTAACTATCTAAATTAGATTATATTAACCCATGATAATGCTTTAAATTAATATAGAAAATATTTTTAAATGGTAAATCCATTATTATTATATAAGTATGTATATATTTAAGTACTTTAAGACCCATTGTAACCTATTATAATATATAAAATATTTATAAGAAATACTTTATAAATAAACATTTTAAAATGATAAATCCATTATTATATATTTAAGTACTTTAAGACCCACTGTAACCTATTATTTTATATTAATTAAAATTATTTATTTAAAATCCATTATTATTTTATAAGTATGTAAATATTTTGATTAATCAAATTGGTACGATAAGACTCATTGTAATCTTTTAAAAAGGTTCAGCTACATATATCTTATGCATCTAATTAAAATAAAGTTTTATTTAATAAAAAACAAACGCATTTTGGGCTATATTGCATAGTAAAATAATTTTAGAAATGTAAAAAAAACTTTGGTACAACTTGTATGATATATTTACCATTTCTGAAAGATTAGAAATAAGATCGTTGGAAAATATCATAAATAAAAGAACACAAATAAACGTGTTACACTTAAAAAAAGAACAGGGAGTTTAAGAGAAAAGGTAAATGAGTGCCAGCTGGGAGCCCAATTAACCCTTGATTTGCCCCACCCCCAAGATATTAACCCTCAAGTTGTCAGTCGCAAGCGTGGGCGTGTCCAAAGGTATAATTGAAAACATCATTTCATATGCATGGCAACGGGGAGAATGGGAAGGGCATGTGTGCTATAGTACCACCCACCAGCTAACCCCCCCCTCTCTTAACCCCACGGTGACTGCAGCGCACAGTAATGGGTTAAAGGTAAGCGAAAAGACGAAAGAAAATTCCAAGACACTGGAACTGGGTTTCCCGAGCAACCAGCGGGACATCGCGGCCCCATCTTAATATTCTCGCATATTTTGATTAATTACGCAAGTTTCCCCCCTTAAAAACGCCCACCCACGCCCTTGTGTCAGCTGCCAAAAAAAGCAGCGACAAAAATGTCGCTTAATTAATCAAATTCATTAGAAGCGATAAAAGAAAAATAGCAAACGAAATAAGGAAAGGCAAAGGCTAAGGCTCAGGTAGCCAAATATTACGAAAGATTACTTATTAACCCTTATAAACCTCTTAAATATATTCCTAAGAAAATGGAATTTAAATAAATTTAATTTTGACTTTTTTAGTATATTTTTAATAGGAAAATGAGAACATAGAACCTTCATTTAATTATGGTACTCTTCTAAGTATTTCTTCTAAATTATCTGCGTAATTTAGCTGTCACCAAAGACAAAGACATAAAAAATTCCACTCCAAAAGGGGGAAATTAGTTACGCACTATAATAAATAATAAACGCAGAGCAAATATGCCAAGTACGCACGTACGGCCCCCGCCCCCTTCTGAAAAAAACAGGGGCGGCGACTAATGAAAGGTAGGAAAATTGCAAGTTGCATGCAACTTTTCACCCGGCACTTATCACATTTTAATGTTTCAATTAAGGCGCAAATTGCGTTGCAGCAACAACAGTGAGGCAAAATGAGGCTCAAGACATGGGCGGCGGTTAAGGGGGGGCTAACGGGCAGGGTGGACCACCGCAAACTTAGGCAAATGAGGTTGCAATGAAGCGAGGCGAACAGGATGAAAGCCAAGTTAGCCAAGTTAAGTTATGGAGGAAGGCGGAGGGGGGTGGAGGGGGCTTCCAAAGGGGGCTCCAGGGGCGGGGAAAGAGGGGTCATAGCCGTTGGTCAAACCTTGTAATTTAGCTGCGGGCACGTGGAATTATGCGAATTATTTTCTTCCCTGAAATTGCGTATACGCAATGTGAACAGGCAAAGGGAAAGGAGGGTTTAAAAAAGGGTTAGGACCAGACTTATATAAACACTTATATATAGTAGATATACAAATGCCAGCCTGGAAAATACTAACAAGTTTCTTGCACTTCCAATCGATCCCACGGCTTCAACCGGATATCTTCGATTTTGGCCATATATCCGCTCAGAAAAAAAAAGTGGCAACCAGAGGGCTGAAATGCGGATGCAGGCTGATCAATCCATTCGGACAGAAAACCACAAACTGTGTGCGGATAAGTCAAGTGTCTTCGAGTGGTGGCTTCTTCGAAAGTTGGCCAAAAATTAAAGCCAACAAAAGAAGAGGGAGGTAAATTGGGTAGAAATCTGCAAGCCTACAAAAATCCTAAAATAATATCCTAAATGAATGTTCAATGACTTTAATTTAAATAAATGTTTTTTATAATCACAGTTTCATAATTTTAATTTTACGAATTAAAAAAATAATAATAATTTTAATTTTAAGAATGTTTACCAAGTATCCTAAATTAATTATTTATTACAAATGCTTTTGTAATTACTGTTTCAAAAAATTGAAAAATAAGTTGATTAGGATTTTTCATAATATTTTTATACTATTCTAACATTATTATCTTATTTTTGTGCAATATCTTTTATACACACATTTTGTTTATCAGTGCAACAGCAGATAGCTTTCAAGTCTTGAAGTAATTTTAATTAAAGTGCGTCTGGCCGAAGTGTAGTGGTAGTGGTTGTTGCTTTTATTGGTGTGAATGGAGTTCCCTTTTTTTTACATCATTTTTTATAGGTGTTCCCTTTATTTTTTTTTTTTTTTACTTCTTTTGGCCGGCAAAATGGCGGCAAAAAGGTAGAAAAAAGGCAAGTACTTGTACATTAACAACAACAACGATGCGAAACGGAAGTGAGTTTGCGGTTTTTTGGGTCTCGGGATTGGGTTTTTCAAAAGGGGGCGATGGTGATGTTGATGAGCAGGGAAGCAAGTGACTGCGGCCATTGGTAACATAAATAAATACAAAAAAAAGCAACAAAAAATATAGGTAGGTATATAAACTCGCCACAGTTGGCCGTTTTATGGGCCAAAAAGATTCCATTTCAATATGTGTGACATTGTTGTCACTCCCTTAACCCCTTGAGGCCCCCTTAACCCACTGATGGCTGCATCTTGCAGCCTGCATCTCCAACTGCAAACTGCAAACGGCAAACTGTTCGAGTGAAGCTGCAACAGCTGCGCAACCGCATTTGGATTGATTTGTGGCCAAAAGTGGGAACCCGCAACTACAAAAAAAAAATTCCAATACCAATACCAAACTAACCCCAAACTGTGGCCAAATTTGCATATTTCCCCCCCTTTTAATGAAGGCAAACACGAAGGCGTGAGTTTCGGAGCTTCGATTCTGGACCAGATGCCAAAATGCACCGGGATGCGGAATAATAATAATGATGATGAAACTGCTGGACGGCCACAGGTGTTTGAACCACAAACAATTAGAAGGATGAGTGTTAAGAGCAAATCATATCATACAAAGTAAGAGGATTTCTAGTTGGGTTTATAAGGGTTATTCTGTACTTCTTTTAAGTGATTCTTTAAGTGATTTATACAAGAAAAAAAAAATAAATATAATATGTATAATAAATAAATTTAACTATAAAATATAAAAAAAATTTAATTCAACAATAACTTCTTTTCCCTTTTTCCAAAACCCCTTAGGTAATTCTATCAATGCAAATTATTACACAACTTTAAGCGTTTCTTGGGGTTTTCTTCACTTGATGATGGGATTCACTTTATAGAGATTGGGTTTCAATTATTTAGCCGAGATGATAAAATTGGAAATACCGAAATCTCATTGTTTCATATAAATACACTATTTTTGACCTTGAGTTTTAAGTATAAACATCTGCTTTTTTTAAGTTTAGAGTTTCTATTTGCCCCCCAAAAAAAATAGATCTGCATTCTTGTCTAGGCCCTCACTTATCATCAATTATCATTATGAACCCTCTGCTCCACTTTCCTGTCTCCAAATTACAAATCTTTTTTTCTTTGTTTTTGCCATAATCGCAACCCGAATTCTTTGAATTTTGCAACGATTTCCGCTGAATGCCCGCCTTTTGCCGATCGACTCTGTTTTTTTTGTTGTCTTATATTGTGTAAATTAACAGCTTAAGCGCCACATTTAAATATTTATGACTTAACAGCAACAACAAAAGCGCCTCGAGTGTTTTCCCCATAGAGGCTTCGATTCCGATTCCGATTCAGACGTGGATTTCTCGCTTCGATTGGGGCATTTCCGGTTTCCAGCAGTCGAAAAAAAAACCAAAACATATTGCATTTGTTGCTATTATTGTTGCTGCTGTTTTGGCCGCTTTTGCTTTTGGGCTAATTGAAAGACAACGATGTGTCATTCCCCATTGACAATACGTTTTCGCGTTTATTTCAACTTTAGCTTCAACTGCCCCCGCCTCTGAATTAAAAGCCGAAAAGTAGGAGGAGAAAGTACAGGCTTTTGATACCCTAGGAAATAAAAAAATAAGCCAAACACAAAATTTAAGTCATGGAATTACTTAATTAAATACCACCTTTCCTGAAACTAATATTTAAAATATGTTATGCCCATTGAAAACTAAATTTGTAAAATTATAAGAAATAGTTTATAATTTAAATTTACTTAAATAAAAAAAATTCAATTAAGAAAAAATAGTTATTATAAAAACTCATATAAAAATTCTTGTAAAACTCGTATAAATACTCTTATGAAATCGCTATACTTTTTCAGTAATAATAAACACAAAATTTATTTATACTCCCCTTTCATAAATTTGTAAATGCCATTTAATTGTTTTTTAAATATTACCATTAACATGTTATAGATCTGCCAGATCTTTACGAAAATCAGGCGACTTTGCGCCGCAGAAAGGGTGAGCGAAAGAGAAACATTTATAAATTAATTAGCATAAGCAAAATGCTTAAGTCTCGGCTTAACACGGCGATTTGTGGCTCAGATTCGTCTAGTTCCAAACTGGCCACTGACTCATCTTGCCTCATATCCATCCGTGACTCAGTGGCCGGTTCCAGTTACTCTGGCCACTACAACGAATCCACCGAAATTTTGATAAGATTTTACAGTCGCCATCAAAATCCATGCAAATTGAATGAAAACCCAAATGAAATGAAATTTTCCATTGTCTGCGAGGCTCGCTCATGGCAACCCAAAAATAGCCACCCATATTATACACATGATAATAGATCGGAGATATGTATAATATATATATTATATGGTGCAGATGGTTTGGTGCGAACTGGTTAGAGCCGCGTTTAAGCGCGTGCTGTTGGCCAGGCCTCTAAGTTGGGATCGGGAATGGGGGAAGGCGGGAAGGGGGAGGAAACTCTGGGGAGGATCGGCCATATAGCCCACATAAGGTCGCTCGCATGCGGTTGCCAAATAGGGGCGTGGCATGCGGTTTAAGTCGGCTGCATGGTAAATGCTTCATTATCCATGTCTGCAAAGATTTCCTGATCATAAAACGCGGACTTTTTGGAGGTCTTTCGCTATTGCAAAAAATTATTCTGATCAATAAATATAGAACTATAAATATACTAAAAACAAGAAGGATTTTTATAAAATAATTTAAAATAAAATAAACTAATTTAGGAACTTGATGTTTCTTCTTTGTTGAATATTTTTTGAAATGATAAACGAATATGGGGTTTTCCAGATATCTGTTTTCTCTCTTTTATTTTTATAAGAATATTATACAGAGTCAAAAGAATTTTAATATATATATATATATTTAGCCCCAGACTTCGTCTACCGGCGACAATAACTCTGAACTATTTTTAAGCTCGGCTTTGGGAAAATAAATAAATTAGCGAGCGACTGCCAAAAACAAAGCGAGCCATAAACACACCAAAAATAAATCAAGACGAGGTGTACGGCTGGGGTGTATGGCAGGTTGATTAACTCAATTAAATCGTTTAGGCAGCCTGGTGCCAGTCAACGAAGCTGCACAGACATCACACATAAATTCTCAAGCGTGGCCGGCTTTCATCGCTAACAACTCCATTGAAAGGGTTCAAAAAAGGGTAGGGGATTGTGAGGGGGAAAGCCAGGTACACTGAGAACAAGTCACCTGAAGGCAGATGGGTTTAAAGATACAAAATTCCCTATATTTCCATTTCAAAATTTCAAAAACCATTTGGTTTTATCTTTGAAGATAAATAAAATACAAATAAAAGAAAATTATTAAATATTGGAATACATAGTCTTAACCTTTAAAATTCTGATCTATTTTGAAAGTAAATCCTTTAAAGTTAATAACTAGATATTCCTACACTACCATATCTTCTTATTTATATAATCATAAAGAGATATCTCTATTTGAGGCATGATATCTTCCATTTTGAAACTCGTATAAAATGTAGGTAAATTTCGTTTATCAGTAAAAGTATCTCTTTATCTCCCTGCACTTAAATCTGAAACATAACTTAATACTTTTTTTTAACAGTGCTTACCTTGGATGTGCGGCGCATTTGGCTTGTAGACCTGGCAGTCCGAGTTGATTGTACTATTCGGCGATGAGTAATTGCTGCTCAATTGCTGCACCAGGCCAGCGCCCGTTCCGCCGGCCACGCCCCCAGCTCCACCGCCCCCGGAGGGGGTGACCGCTGCCGCGGCCGCTGCCACCGCATTGGCCGCCGTTGCCGCCGTGGCCGCCGCCGCCGCTGCCGTCGTCACCGCGGCCACTTTGGCGGAGCGGCGCAGCGTCTCCAGTTCGTGGAGCGCCTTCGTCGAGGGGAAGCCGTCGATGTAGGGCCGCTGGCCAAGGCCGAGGGCTCGGTAGTGGGGCCCACCCGTTGGACCTGTGTGGGGTTAAAGGGTGGATCCTTTAGTACAGCGAAAAAATTTAACTTTAAGTCACAGGATTTGAACCTAATTTCGTATGTTTTTAACCCATCCACCATTATTAACAGAAGGCAAAGGCAAAGAAATATTAAATGAAAGTATTTATCATTAAAAAAAACGAAAAAATCTCTAAACACCATGGGTTTTGAACCCTGGACCCTTGCATTTTTATTTAGTTATATAATAACTTTTTTTTTTAAATTTTTGACCTTGGACCTGTGGGGAGTTAAAGGGTAGATTTCTTTAGTACAGCGAAACCAATTTAATTCGATAAAAAAAATTTATCATTAAATCGCAGGATTTGAACCTTATTTTGTATGCTTTAACCTATTCATCATTATAAACAGAAGGCAAAAGCCAAGAAATATTTAAAAAAAAGTATTTATCATGAAACAAAACGAAAAAATCTCTAAACAACGTGGGTTTTGAACCCCGGACCCTTCCATTTTCATATAGTTTGTAATTAAATAAAGATAACTCTTGGTTAAAATATTTTTTAGTTTTATTATTAAGAGAAAACCCCCCATTTATATGATAAGCATATTAATATTACACCGTAAACAAACGAAAGACAAGAGTCTTGCATGAACCGAAACAACACAAAGAGTGACTCCATTTTGCACAGTACTCTTTATTATTCCAATCTTAATTCACCTCAAGGTAAACTCAAGCTGCTCTTTATATACCCAAACGATATATATGCATTCAGATATATAGTGTTACCTTCCCTACATGCGATTAACGCTGCAGCGAAGACTTAAAAATGCATTAACGAAATATCAAGAGGAAAAAATTAATTCATATATGCATTACACGAACTAAAAACTCGATACAAAAACAAAGAAAAAGAGAGAGAAAAAAAAAGGTTTTCTTAGCAAACCGCAAAATTTTCAGAAACCGTAAGAAGCAGAAGCGTTTCGTTTCGTTTTCGATTGCCCCATCCCATCCTTATATGAAGTCCGTTAAAACCGGCTGCACTTTTCAAACACCTTCCCGAATGACAGAACATCGAAAATGAAAAATGGCGATCATCGGATGTCAAAACATCGACAGAAGAAGAAAGGATCTAGATCTTCAAGGCAGAGAAGATCAGAGAAATACAGAAGAAACACACGGAAAATAAATTTGTGATGGTTAAAAACTATAGCTATTAAAAGGTAACAAAAAAAATTATTATATAATGAATTTTTAAGAAAAGAAAAAAAAATGGTCTCTTAAATCGATACGATATTCCAAAAACTATTGATATCTATTTATATTATGATCTATTAGTATCAAATGATCTCCCTTTCTATTCCTTATAAATATGATCAAAGAATATCTGGAGCTACCAAAAGAACCGTCTGTTCGACTTGAAAGTGGGGATTAGGAATTAAGGTCTAAGGATTATGGGCAATTGAGCAGATCGGCTTAACTATTGGCCCGGCTTAAACACTTGTCTAAATGCTGGCCAAATGACTCCGGAATACGGTTACGAATTACATGGACACATGTTGCAATACGATACCGATACCCAAAACGCAGCGGGACGGCTTTTCACGACTTTCCCCGTTTTTCTTTTGTTGTCCATAGTTGTGGCAAGTGATAATTGCTAATTGGCAAAATAATGTAGCCACTTACATATGTTTGTTTGTCATGTTCTTCATTTGAGAAGGGTGCTACACAAGGAAAAAAACTATGTGGTATTGAGAACCGATTATTATTGAAGTTCACCAATATTTATGGGAAATATTTGATAATATCTGATAATATAACATCATATATCATCATCATATATCATATCGTAATAACATCTGATAATAAAATATTTATTATTCAAGTTCAGTAATATTTATGGTAAATATTTTAAATAATATCTGATAATATAACATCATATATCATATCATATCGTTATAAAATCTGTTAATATGCTATGGTCTAGTAGTAAGTTTCAATGTAAACCCCTTGGCAAAAACCTCTGCTCACACCTAATAACTAATTCTATCCCCATATCTTCAGGATTATACGATCTGTGGCACTTACTTGTCTTGGAGCGCGGTTCCCGGGGTCCGTCGACGGTCACCTTGATGGCTTTGGCGTAGGTTGCCACCTGTGGCGGACTCGTGGCCACCGTGATGGTCAGCGTAAAGCTCTTCCCTGCAAAGATCGGAAGAAAGCGAGGCATTAGAGGAGGCTGCAAATGCGGGAATTGAGTCGTAAATGTCCGCCGAGGATTTATGCGACGACCTCACTGGGCTACCGAATCAATTTGCCAGTTCCCGAAATTACCAAAAACCCAATCGAAGGCAACACGCGTCGTCGTTCGTGTTTCTGGTCGGAGGTCTACCCCTTTTTATGATGACTGCACTCCTTATGGTTTCTTGGTTTTTGGTTTTTAGGCGAAAGTGTGAGTTTGTGGTCTGAGTGAACTCGGTAACCCCTTGAGCTATTATTATGAATTTTGGTATATGGCCTCGTCTTACCTCTAGATGTTTCATATATAGGGTAGAACCCCTTACGGCAGCGGTATGCCAAGATACATGCTTTTATTTGGTATACTATATATAGTTTTTAGTTGAAAAGTGCTTGTTTGTGGTTTTTAATATATTATAAAGCGATCTATATTTTTAAAGCACAGGGTATTACCCATTTTAAAGTAAAGTCTACTCTTTCGAACCGCCGGCGGTGCAATTTGTTCGAACCCTTGACATAAATTTGGTTTATCCCGCCTTAATGACTGCCGCCAAAGTCGTTTTCGAAGTGCACATAAAATGAGGAAATGTTGCAACCTGTCTTCCGCCCGGCCACGCCCCTCATTTCACTGCCCCCCGAATCTTTAAAGAGCGGCAACATTGTGGCCAGAAGGTGTTTTTTTTTTCTGGGCTTGACCGAATGTTTACACTATTTATGGCCATTAAACTAGACACCGTTGGCTTTTATCGATTGGGGAAATGCGAAATGAATTTCGTGTTATTTTTTTTTTTATTTCGATATTTTAGCAGTCTGTCTGTCTGTCTGGATGGATGGTCAGTACAAATACATGTACATATAATTAAACACCCACAAAGCGACATTGTTGTTGCAGGACCAGAAGAGAACAGAACAGAACGAGAGGTTCAAAAGCGGAGAAAGGGAAGGAGACCCATCGAAGCTGACCGCAGAAACCTCAGTCGCATCCCCAAACCCATCTACAAAGTTCACTTCTATGTATCTTCCATCTCCGAATGGAGAGTGCTCTACATAGGGGGGTGGTATATGGCCAGACATTGATAGTCCTACTTGATGGAAATTGCATTTAACTTTTAATTAAGACCTCTGAATGCTGCAGGAGGAATCAGGAAATTGGTAAAGGGGTTTTTTTTGGAGGCAGAAAAGAGTTAAAGGTAAGGTACACAATTTTTAATAAATACTTATTTAGATAAGATAGTAAAATCATGGGAAAATGATTAATCCAAATCATATAAATAATAATAGAATTATTCATGTATGAGTTATAACTTTTCGAGTTAAGGAAGTGTTATTTTGCTCTAGATTATGATTATGAATTAGTCAAGCATATGTAATCGAAGGACTGTGATTCACTGGCCTACGAAAATGTGACAATAAGTAAATGTATAATCTTTGTTATTTGAATAAAACACATAAAAAAACCGATTATTAATGTGTTACTGTTTAGTTAAAATAAAAAAAAAAAACAGATTAGAAATATGTCATTGTTTAGTTAAAAAACGAAAGAGAAATGATTATAAATATGTGCTATTGTTCGGTTCTCCAAACTTTAGACCTTTGGGCCCAGCACATAAATAATGGAAATGCAGCACAGAAATGGATCCAAAGCCTTCAAACTAGACACAATGAAGGACTGGCCGAGATAATTGAAGATTTGATGGGTTCATTAACCGAAACCACGAATGGCCATCAGTTAGAAAGCGTTTTGGTCCCTCGAAATCTCGAAATCTCGAAATGTCTTCATTATAGCCCCCAAAAGCCATGCGTGTTCGACTCATATGTTTCGTATTAGATGTAAGAAGAAAGATTCAAACCCGAAACCCAAAAACCAAATTAATCAAGTGCCGCAGAAGCTGTGTGCACGGAGAGAAACTGTTAAATAGGCCCGGCTCCTTTTTCGGGGGGCTAATTTCTCAAATGGCCGCAGAAACTGGAGCATCGTATGTAAAAGTTCGTTAGAGTAATTGGAAAATGTTATTGCCCGGTGTCTTTGTCTTTTGGGTTTCGGGTTTCGGGTTACCCCACTAAAGACCCCGAAATGGGAGCGATAATGGTCATAATGGATCCCGATTCCGATCGGGATTGAGATTGGGATTGGGATCTCTCGCTTTACAAATTAGTCATCATCAATGAACAATGACCACGCACTCGGACAGTCAGTCAGTCGGTAATCTCGCCTTGTCTATATATATACACGTCTAAATATAAGTATTATAACCCAGAACATCGAACATCCATGAGCCATCCATCCATCGCCTTTGTGGACCCGATAAGACTAGGCAAGAAGCTTCATGACGACGACTCTGTGGGAACCTCTCGTTCGCCGAGCTTTCTGTTTCTGTTTCTGCCGATAAACCCCATGTCGATATCCCACCATATATGCTTTATATGGTGTATGAGTGTTACATCAGACTGGCTGTTTTTTTTTCGGCTGGGAACTTCTGTGAGGGAAGTCGAGATCTATCCTTGATAAGGCGGAAGAATAAAGAACGCGAGCGAGTTCCCAGCCTGATAAAAAATAGTGCCTGAATATTCTTGTGTAGAAAAATAATAAAAACATTGTTTATCAGTCAGAATTTTTAGAGGAGAGTTTGTTAAGTTTCAAAGTATTTTAATATTTTTCTAGATCTTATTTTCACAATCTCTTTCAATTAACTATTATTATTTTTCGCATAACTATAATTTAATGAGAAAATTCCCCAGCAAATGCCTTCCCCGAATATTCATCCTATTAACCGTTTCGCCCGGCAAACCGCCCATTCAACCACTAAGTCGGATCAGAAGGGACCTGTTCAAGTTTATCGGGCACCCTACTTCCACCCCTTTTGCCAAAATAAATCCTGATGCGACTTATGAATTCCTGGTGGCGCGTGTCCTTCATTTGCTTTGTTTTTTCCACATTTTAATCCCATCGCCGGGCAAAAAGTCAAGTCCTTTGATATGATAGATGATGATTATAATGTCGATGCTGATGTTTGTAATTAAGCGCTCCCAAAATCAGTCTAAACATGGAGGGTAATGTCCGAATCAGATTGCGATTCGTATTTAGATTGTGAGGGGGCAAATTAAAAACATGTCGACGCATGCCATGTCCAGGATAACGAAAAAAAAAAGGCGATAAACTGCCACGCCCCCACTTCATATAGCGATTGTCCATCCATTTAGCCACTGGTACAACAACAAAAAAACTGGCAGGAAAATACAAAACGGGAGCCAATTGTGATGGTTGATACCCTGTATTGAAGTGAAAACTTCGTATAGACTAGGCTAAATAAACTCCGAGTCAAAGCCTAACTTTTGTATGGCAAGATAATATAATGAATATAATAATAATATCACATCCTAACTTTTCTATGCCAAGATAGTATAATAAGTATTATAATAATGTGTGTTTAAAAATGATATTTTTATCAGTAGATTTATAAATATTAATATAAGTAGTAATTGATAAACATATAACTAATAAATATATATTATTTTCCAATTGTTAATGAATATTTAAAAAATATATTTATAAAACTTCCTATTTTCGGAATACTTTGGTATTACTTTACAAGCTTTCCAGGCAAGATAATATAATAAATATAATAAAAATATATTTTTTATATATATATTAAAAAATATAAAAATATTTTTAACCATTTTCCCATTGTAAATAAATATTAAAAAAAAATGTTAAGGAATTCTTTGTTTTTAGAATACTTTGGTATTACTTTACTAGCTTTCCAGGGTATCCTTTGGTCGTTTCCTCAACGTTCAGCATTTTGTGCCCCTTGACATGCTGATGGCGATGGTTTCGCTTCCATCTGTTTTCGTTCGCTTTGTCATCTAATCAAAAATCGCCGCATGATGTCCGCGATTCCGCAGCCAGCCGAAAGGTCAAAAGTGGGCGGCGGTTCGCTGGGGTCGCTGAAGTCGCGGGGCAAAGTGGGTGGATGGTGGGTAAAGTGAACTGTTGCTGCCTGCCGTTGACAATTTGGTCAGCGTTTATGTTCTTACATCATTAGCTTGTTATTTGCATGCCCTCTGCCGTTGCTGTAATTATTTCTCTGTTTTTCTTTTTTTTTCGTTGGTCCTTTTTGCGGCACGAGCCGTCAATTTGCAAGGAGTAGAAGGAGGAGTAGGAGTCCTGCATTGGTGGGCTGACTTAGTGGACTTAGGGTCACAAAAGCGGCGGCAACAGTTGCAGCTAATTAGCCAACTGCTGCTGCCAATTCTATGCAACATACACACAACACAACATAACGTAACATACAATCGCATTAATTGTGGGTTCAAATCGATTACCAGACCCAAAAGGTTCCCGGGCATTGCGTGATCACCCGGCTCAGTCGATCCGGCATTATTTCCATATCATATACATATATGGCTATGCAACAGCCGAAGAGAAGCTCGTGTTGCACATTGCATGTTGCATGTTGCCCCGAGGACAGCGCCAACTGCAGCCTAATGTGACGACTGCTGTACCATTGATCCTTCTCACAGGGGACATTAGTCACTGGGCTTGGGGATGGTTCAAAACGGGGGGTTTCCAGAACCTCTGGCTTGTCACTCAATCAATGCACTTCCGATACATTCATTATTTTTCGGGGATACGATAGGATACACGAAAAAAATACAGAGTTCAGGGAAATATATTATTTTAGTCTGAAGAGCGATATATATTTTATCTATATGATAGGTACTATAAACTGAGAACTTTATAATAACCTTTAAAAAACGAAAGCCATTTTAAATGAATTATCTTTCATTGCTTGAATTATTTTTGCAGTGCACTTTAGAAAGAATTTCAAAGGATAAACCTGCAGCTTCCGCTCATGAGTAACTTTTCGGAAATTGTGGGAAGCCTTCTTTGGGCCCTTAATAATCGACACTTGGCAAGGGAAATGCATTGAAATGAATTGAGGAAGTCACTAATTTTGGCAATGCTAAACCCCAACTAAACCACAAATGTGGTCCTTTTCTTGAAATAAAAAATATCAGAGCCTTCCGCACATTTTTAATACATTTTTTATTCCTTACTCTAGTATCATAATAGATACGTAAATTACTTTCCCACTATTTACATTTCCTTTTACCTATTTCGAGATCAGGTTCTTCTAGCTTATAATTCCCAAGTGGCCATTTACTCTATTAGCTTATAATTCCCAAGTGTTTATTCCGGAAATCACCAAGTTGCCAATTTTTTCTAGCTTATAATTCCCAAGTGACCATTTACTCTATTAGCTTATAATTCCCAAGTGGCTATTCCGGCACTCACCTCTTCCACTGCGACCCACGAAACGCAGATCGTTGAACTTGGCCACGTCGTTCTTCATCTGGGTGGTGAAGTTGCGCAGCTCCGCGCAGCAGTTCTCGTCGTTTCCCGCCCGGATGGTGACGTAGGTGCCGTCGCCCACTTCCGCCAGGGCGACGACCTTGAAGGCCATCGGCAGCGTCTTATTGGAGCGCCAATGGGCGGGCAGGGCGGAGCACAGGAAGTACGGATTGCTCGTGCGCACTGCAAAATCAGAAAAAGAAAAAATCAGAAAAATCAAAAATCAGAGGTTCAATTAGCCAAGGGTCCTCTGATTAAAATCCCATTTTCAGGGCCATCAAAATGTGTAAAAATATTCAATTATTTATAGTTTCGCGTCGGTCCATAAATATCAATCATCCAGAATCCGGGGTCCTTCGACCACTGCCCGCCATCCGGCGGTGCATAATTAATTAATGAGCGAGGGAATGTCAGGCGGACCGGAAGGGGTTATGGTTATCAGATTATCAGAGGTCGGGGGTTCTATCGTTCTATCGCATTGACAGTTGACAGTTGACCTGGTGTCGAAAGTGGAGCAAAGTGTGGAGCCGGGCCAAATGAATGATTTATTTACTCTTGTCTGCCGGGAAAATAGCCAAAAATATCGAATCTAATTGCGATAATCATTGCATTTAATTTGAAAGGCAGTTTTTAAAGGATGGGGTTTAAAAATAGCTAAGGTTTTATTTTTGTTTTATTTTTAGATATTTAAGATCCATATATTTTCATAAAAAATAATATGTAGGTAAATATTTATCAATTACTATTTTTTTTATCCTTAAACACAATAAAATAATAATAAAATCTCGAGATCCAAGAAGTATTATTTATTTATCTAATAATACTTTTACTCGAGATCAAAAACTAATTTTCTTTTGATCCTTGAACACAATAATGCAATAATAAAATCCCGAGATCCAGAGATCACCTCTGCAAAGTCCTGAGACTTGGAATTCGATATCGCGGCCACTCATTCACCTCCCCGGCGACTTCATTGAGCACAAGTTATGAAAGGACACACCGAGCAGAATTGGTGGAACCTGTTTTCAAGTTCTGCAGCTAATTATACGATCCGATTCGATTCGGCTTTCAACTGGGGGAGCGATGAGCTGAGATTTCATTAGCAGCTTTCGCCGCTCTGGGTCATTGATATCATCTCGTCGCCAAGGAGGAGGAAAGTTCAACGGGCAATGGGGGAAAAGTATGGCTAAAAAGGGGAACGACTCGTGCGTTGATATCAATAACAATTATTGATATCAATTTACGCATACTCCGACGCGGCCTGTCCCATCATCGTCGTGATGGAACTGGAATCCGATAAGGCTAACTGCGATGATCGTGATTGCGATGATGGGGAAGCCCCAGAAGTGCATTGTGCAAGGATGTGGCAAAGAATGTGCGCTTCACCTTTGGGGATCGGGTTATCGGAGATCTATCTACGGGTTAGGGTCTCCGTCAATCTCGACTTGGACACGAGCTAAAAGTGTTGATTTTTTTAGAGGGGAACGAAAATACCTTCCTTGGATAACGAGAGGAATTATGGTTCTGTAAGTCACAGATATTGGATCAAAAATACAATTCGTTTCTGATGTTAAAAAAATATTACTGAAGTAATTTAGTTTTAGGGTGTTGTGTAGATGTGAAGTAAGTTCTATTTAATATTTATTAGGTGGTTTTCTCAGGATATTAATCATGGATCTCAAAGATCTTTAAACTTTAAAAGTACGTGATATAAATATTCAATGAAATTTATCTATTGTGTTGTTTAATTGGAAATGAAACATGGATTTTAAGCACTAAAATAATTATGGAACTATACTTCTTAAATTGTGAGCACTAAATTTACCTTTAAATATCACTTTTGGAACATAAATCTTTAAATTATGAAAAGTTTCCCCTACAAAAATAAATATTATTCTTTAATTTGATGATTTTAAGCACTGAAATCACTTTTAATATAATATTTTAGAGATCATTTCTTTAAGTTATGAAAAGTGTTCTGCACTTAAGTAATTAGGGATCTATAAATCAAAGATTTTCAGCACTAAAATTCCTAATCTTTCTAAGATAATCTCTTGTAATAATAGACCAGCTTTTTTTGGTAATCTTCCATCAAAACTTACCCAATTCCCCAGGATGTTCCTGTTGTCGCTTCAGGACCAATCGCTCCATCCACAAAAGATCCTGATGCACCGCATTGTTGTTGTTGTTGTTGTTGTTACTGCTATTGCTGGCATTATTGTTGTTGCTGTTGCCGTTGCCATTGCTTGCAGTGCTACTGCTGTGACCGCCGGTGTGTCCGCTGTGGCCACTGTGTGCGGTACCATTGCTGGCGCCACCTGTGGGCGAACTGCTGCCCACACTGGCGCTACTGGAAACGGCCAGGACCTCGGAGGCAGTGGCTCCTCCTGCTGATCCTCCACCTCCTGTTGCTCCCACTGAGGTGGCCACCGCTGTGATGCCCTTAAAGTCGCCGGTGGTGCTGCTCCAGCCATTGCCCGTCGGCGAGGCGGAGGACGAGGTGACCATGGCCGCGGAGGAGGAGGAGGAGGGCGGATGAGGGGCCGACGGCGGGTAGGGGGGATACGGCGGGTGGTATGGATGATGGTGATGATACGGATGGGCCGCGTAGTGGTGGTGCAGGTGGTGGTGGTGGTGGCTGCCGCCGCTGCCGTTGATGCTGCGACCCAGGCGGCCGGGACCGGCGACGCTGACGGGCGCCACAGTGGTGCAGTTGCCCAGTTGCTCACCCAATCCGAGTCCGATTCCCAGTTCCACTCCTTCCAATTCCAATTCCAGGCCCGTTTCCAGTCCCGCTTCCAATCCCGCTTCCAGTCCCGCTTCCAATCCCGCTTCCAACTCCGAGCCCGTATGCTCAGATGGCTCTGAAGGCGTTGATGGATTGGCTGCCACCAGGAGATGCAAATGCATTCGTCGTCGGCGGTGACCTTTGATCCTCCGCGCTTTTCTCTCAGTGTGCGGGTCCCAGGTCGCTGCTTATCACTCCTACAGGCGGTGTCTTTTGTTCACTCATCAATAAACTCTAATCTCTAGACGATTCACAAGAACAAAAACAAAAACACAAAAAACAATTGATATTTTTTCATGATATAAGGAAATCGTATTTTTTTTACTTGGAACTTTATTAAATCCCTATGAGAAATCTAAATACTTTGCTTTAATAAATTTACCAAAGAAATTATGATGATTTGAAGAAACAATTTTCTCACTTTTCTTATATTATAATAATTAGAAAAGATTGTTTTATTATTTAAATTTTTATTTTTTTAAAGTTTAGAGATTTAAATTTCTAATGGACCTATTAAAACAAAGTGGGTTTCCTGCCCTCAAATGATGTTCAATGTTCAACTAAAATGTCTGCTTAAAATGTATATTAAATACATTCTTGGGGGAAGCAAAGCCCAGTGCCTAGTTTAAGGCGTTTTTAGTTCGCACATTGATAAATTAGTCACAGAAATTAACATTGAATTTGCTGCTTTTGTTGTTTTCGAGCATGCTTCTGCCAGATGATTTCTTTTTTCTTGGCTTTATTTGATTCAATTTGATTTGTTATTGTTATTATTATTGTTATTGTTTGCACTTCACTTGGCTAATTAATATTATTTTATGTTTGGACGGGCCTTCTTTTCTGGCTCTAAATTCTATTATTAATTCGTGGAAGGAATCTAATAACATACAGTGCCGACTCCATTTTAAGTAAACATTTGCTGTATTTATAAACAAGAGTATAAAGAAAAAAAAATACTATATATTATATGGTAAAAAAGGTAAACTTTTACAAAATATTAATTTTATAAATTAATACAGCTCATTAATTATTTAAATTTCACAGCAACATTTAAGAAGAGGTCTATCTTAAATTTTAAAAAATGTCTTTTGAGTTTAAAAATAACAATTTATTAAATATAAGCTAATAAGCTAATATAAGTTTTTTTTAGAACACTTTGTCCAATTTGCACTTCCTAATTTTTGTTGGTCCCAAATTCTTCTTTTAGTTTCACTTTATAGAACTTGTGTTTATTTTTAGTTTGTTGAGAAACTGTATATCACTTGGTTTATGTTCAGGTTTCTGGCGAACTTGACTTTTCTTTTGTTTGGATTTGGTTTGTGGTGAAATTCGAGCTAATTGTTTAAAGTTTGGAAATTTTGGCGCGCTTTTTGTGGGGAAATTTCCTGGTTCACTTACACTTTTAGTTTTTTTCTGGCTATTTATTTTAGCGGCTTAAGCACACAAAATAAAAAAAAGGAGACGCGAAAGCGAGGTTTTTTTGCTTTTTGAATGTTGACTTAAAACCTTCGCTAGCAATATGGAACATGGAAACAATAATGCTCGCGCGTCGTACTCCAAAATGTAACTGAAACTGACTTTTAACTTTTGACTGCGCGCTTGAGTTTACGTTTTACGTTTTTTTTTTGTATTTGTTTTGCGAGCCAATAACGAGCGGCAGCTCTCTTCGATTGGGGCGTTTTTGGCTCTCTTAAATGGCCCGGCTCTCTCCCTCTCTCCTTCTCTTTCTGACCGCCTTTGGTTTCGAAAATATACAAGTTTTTAATTCAAGCTCTGCTTTTTAAATTGGAAATTAAATAATATTCCTAAAAATCATATTAAATTCATTTGATTTTTAAAGCAGAAAATTATATCTTTCTCGCTCGCTCCTGCACTTGCCTTGCTCTACGCCCCGCCCCGTTGGCTTGTGATTGGCCCACTGATTTGGTTTTCAAGCCACATTGGTGGATTTTCATTTCATCCACCACCACGCAGTTCAGAAGGAAAGCCGCTCTCTTTATTCAGCTGCGCGACTTGAGATTCAAGGGAAATGCCTTTGAAAATTTAAGAGCTAGTTTAACTTAAAACTTCAAAATAATTTTTTTTATTTCTTTATTAAATAATGAAAAATACGTAGAAATTAATTATTAATTTTGGTCCGGAATAGTCAATACATTTTTTTTTAATTTTTTCTATTATAAATTAGTTGTTTTTCTCAATAGCTTTACTACAAATTGAATTATATTTTAAATTATAATAAAAGTCATGCTTATCATTAAGAAAAATTAAAAAATTACGTTTTATGATAAAGTGAATGATTATCTCTTTTTAAAACATACCGTTTTACATTTTCATGATAGTGGCTTTATCGAAACAAGAATGTTAATTAAAAAATGTGTGTTTTGTTGGGAGAAAAGAAAACACCGACTTTAAATGACATGTGTTATTTTAGGGAAAGGGGTGATAAGGGGTTATCATTGGGCCTAACTTACTGTGGTTTAGCCTTGGTTTGTGGTCAAAATTCGAAATACAAAATACTGATATCAAATTAAAACAGCAAGGGAAAGGCTCTAACAATTTAAATAGTGTTTACTTAAAAGTTACCTCCGACTTATCATGCTGAAGGGAAACATACTTTTTATCGCTGGGAATTAAGCGTGGGAAAACGGCGGCTTATCTGTGGATGCGGAAATTGCGAGAAAATCAAAGGGTTTGCTATTAAGTTAAGAAAAGTTATAATGCTTTTGACAAAGTAATTTAAAAAAACAATTTTATTGGCACTAACTTAATTTATTTGTATTAGAAAACCACAATTTTAATTTGATTTTTAATTCTAACTTAGACCTTAACTTATAACTCTTATATCTTAAATTTTTTATGAATTTTAAATATATTTATATTTTATAATAGAAATATTTGAATTTTCCCAGTTGGACGTCGGGGTCGTGTCTCGGCTAACTCTCAGGAAACCCCAATTGTCGTGGTGTGAAACCTTGCTGATGCTGAAAACGCGCTTTTCCGAATTTGATCAGCTTTTGGCCCCATTACGAGTACGGTCATACCAGCAGTTAAACAAAAACAATTTCGCAACGCTTTTCGCTTGTTTTTCCGAGGTTTTCCGCGATCCAGAAGTGCCCGTCAGTCTATCGCTAACCGAAATCCCGCTAAACTGGAGAAGTGGAAGAGAACGCGCAGTTCCACCAAGAAGATGGACGAGCGAGGGGGCGGCTCCTCGGGTGGGGGTGGATCCTCCTCCTCCGCGACGGGCAACAACAACAACAAATCAGCTGCTGGAAATAGCGCCGCCACTGGAAATACCGCTGCAGCTGCTTCTTCTTCTTCAGCGGCGCCCGTTGATAAGCCCACGGTTCTGGAAGGTAAAAAAACTGGGATGAATGTGAAAACAAAGAAAAAGTGTAGTAGCTAAACCCATGAATCTTCTGCTAGAAACCCCCCAAACACTCACACACACACACACGACTAAAGCTAAAATGTAAATGGGCGTTTCGCCCCCTCTCCCTCGCTCCAATTCAGATTAGTGATAAAGATAAAGAGGAGCCCTTTGTCCTGTTCTAAAAATAAAACTACGCATTAGGCGAAACGCACACATGAGCGCCCAAAAGTAACGGGAAATCCTTTGAACGTCAGGGGGTGGAGTGAGAGAGACAGAGATAGCCGGACCTGTGTGTGTGTATTATGGCGACCTGTTGAGTGTGTGGAAGCCCTAAAAAAGCATATATACAAACAAACAGAAATAAACAACAACAATTTATTGGTATGACAAATCAATACAACAACATTTCACAATTACACCCACAAATTGCAAATGCAATTTGAATTGATTCACCATTGATACGTGTGTGTGTTTGTGTGTGTTTTGGGGTCATAGCTAAAAAATAACGGCACATTGTAAAGTCCTCTCGAATTTCACCCGAAATCCAATCCAATTGGACTTTTGTATCTCTGGGATGACGTGTATCTCATATATTTCGATTTTCGTACGTATTTTTGGCCAAATTATTAATAGGCTAGCTAAACTGCTAATTTCTAGACCATTTCATTATAATGCCACATACCAAAAGATTTAAAACTCTTTAATTTATGCAAATATGTCAAGAAACTTCGGTCCTTATCAGCATTTTTGTACTAAATGTGCACACAGTTGTGTGCAACAAAATAGTATCACTCGATGAAAAGAAAATGTTTTAATATTATGTAAACTCCCACATTTTACAAAAATCTAAAGAGTCTCAAATTAAATTATTATTACTATTATTTATATTTTTAAATCCCAATTCAAGCCTACAAAAGCTATAACTGATTAGAAAAAACCATTACGATTATTTTTATAATTCCCAACCATTAAGTTATGTATCAACGTTTTCTGTGCTATTTTTGCGACCTTTAAATAGAGCTCTAGTGTAAACTTGACTTTGATCTAGTGCCTCGTATTCTCTGAATGCTGCCCATTGTTTCAATATTTAATTGCTTTAAATAATTCCATTGACTGTTTTCTATGAGTATATAAATTGTCACTCATCTACATGGTTTTGAATCATTTTTTTCTTATCTGTAATGCAAAATATCTCTATTATGTAGTCATAGTCATTAGTTAAATAAAAAATGATTTATATTTATCAGAAATTTTTCAAAACGAGTTTGGAAAAGTTTATTTTTCACATCAATTAAAAAATATAATTTAAAAAATGTTAAAAATTACCGATTTTAAATTGATGGGTATTAAAGGTGATATTTAAAAAACAAATTTAAATTTAAATGTTAAAAATTACCGATTTCAAATGTATGAGTATTAAAAGTAATATTTAAAACCCAAAATTCAATTAATAATTTTAGGATCAACATAAATATTTTAATATAATTTATATCAATTATTTTCTTACCCTCAGTATAATACTTATAATATTTTTCCTTCACAGGGGTTCTCCACAACATCTTCGACGGGCTGACGGACAAGGATGAGCAGGTGCGGGTTGCCATGCAGCAGGCGATCGTGAAGATCCTGGAGACGCATCCCGAGCGGGCGGCGGAGATCCTTAGCGAGCACCGGTCGCAGCAGCCGAAGATGAGTGATCAAACGGTGGCCATGTTGCTGGAGTGAGTAGATGAATTTATCAGACAGTTTTCCTAATCTAATCCCCAAAAATCTCCCTCTTTCAGCTGCATTCGTCGCGTGGTGGGCGCAGAAACTCCCCTTCCGCCGGCTGCCAACCAGAAACTGATTGCCCTGGCTCTCCAGGAACTCACGCGCAGTCCGGAGCATGTGCCCCTCATCCAGAATCCCGCCCAGCGCATTCTGGTGGCCATCGGACGCAGCAGCGCCGAGAGCTGCGGCCAGGTGATGGAGGCCCTGCAGGAGAAGGGCACGAATTCCGATGGCGTGGCCCACTTTATGCTGATGCAGTGCCTCGGGCTGCTGGCCACCGAGAATCCAGCGGGTGTGGTGCCCCACATAAAGGCCATACTAAGCCGAAGTCAGCCGCAGCTGGGCGGGATTCGTCAGGATCACATCAAACAGGCGCATGCCTATGCCATAGGCAGATTCAGCGAAGCTCTGCTGGAGGAATGCGGCAAGGGGGAGGAGGAGAACTGTTCCACGGAGATCAGTGTGGCCTACGATGTGCTCTTCAACCAGTGGCTGCACTCGCGCGAGCCCAAGGTCTGCGTGGAGATACTCCAGGCGCTATCCAGCATGTATCCCCTGCTGCCGAAGGATCGGATTCAGGATCAGGCCGCTCGACTGGTGCCCCAGATCCTAGCCCTCTATCGACGCAGCGTGGACAGGAATGCGGTGACCCAATTCCTCTGCTCGGTGCTCAAAACCAATCTCGCCCTCAATGCCTCCGTTTTGGATGGCATCATAGATGCTCTGATCACCCACCTGTTCGATTTGGTCTGCGTTTATCCGGACTACGAGAAGCCGCAGACGGTCAAAGGTCACTACGAGGTGCTGCGCTGCTTCCATCTGCTGGCCGCCGGCCATCATCCGTACTCCACCCGCATCATGGACACCCTGCTGATTCATTTGCGCAACAATAGCGAAAGGGAGCGCATGAAATCCCTGCTGATACTCACGCATTTGCTTAATTCGTGTGCCGGGAACATAGAGAACCGCATCCCGGCGAGCATTGAGTGTTTGAAGCAACTAATCTTGAGTGAAAGGGGCATCAAAATGAAGCTCACCCTGTTGAAAACCATTGTGGCATTGGCTCAGAAGTCGCACATTCGCGACAAGGAGTTCGTTTGGTTCGTGGTGCGGCATAGTTGCAGGTACTCCAAGCCCAGCCAGGAGCAGGGCAGCCAGGAGGAGCACGCCAATCTGGCGCTGAGCTGTGAGAACACCCTGTACATGCTGGCCTCCACAGTGGGCACCCTGGACGAGCTGCTCAAGAGGGAGTTACTGAACTACTTGATCCTGCTGGACTACACGGATATTTGCGGCAATCTGGCCAAGTGCCTGGCCAGTCTGTTTGCCAAGTCACCGCATATAGAGTACGAAATAGCTGGCGAGGATGCCACCGCAGAGCAGGCTTCGCCAGAAGGCGCCGCTGGCGAGGATCGCGGAGTGATAAAACGCGGCAAGGTGATGGTCCCCGGAGCCGAGACCATTTACGCGAGGTGCCTGGCCCTCCTGGGCAACCAGCAATGCATCAAACGCTGCTCGAATATCCTCAGCTTCCTGCGCTACTATCATCCCCAGGTGAATCCCGCCTTGGAGGAGCTGTGGGAGCGAAGGATACCCGATCTCCTGCTGCAGATCAACAGGGAGAGTGCCTACCGGCAGCTGCTGCATGATTTCATACTGGAAACAAATGAGTTTCTCGGCGGACTGGATGAGAACTTTGCCCAGCGACTGGCCAGCAAGCTGGCGGATCAAATGTACTTGTATCCCATGCAATTGCCGCACTCCGAGTGGCAGCTGCCCGATCTGAGCGCCGAGCGAGGGATGCTGCTCCAGGCGGTGGCCCTCACCCTGCTGCAGGTGACAGATGTGGCCTGCATCCACACCAAGATCGATCTCATTGTGACGAGCGCGCGGCAGGAGCGTTTGGACAAGCATGTCAGGCATGCGGATTTCGCGCGACGCATAGAACCATGTGCTCAGGCCTTGGGCTATATATCCCGGCAGCATTTGGGCCATCTCATCAAGAAGCTAACCGAATTGGCGCAGGTTGGAGGAAGAAAGCACTCGACGGGATTCTTTAGCAACCTGCACTTCATCAAGGACACGCACAAGGAGCTGGAGAACTACAAGAGCAACCTGCTGGTGGTCAAGGCCTTCGGACGCATCATGGACGAGGCCGATCCGCTGCAGTCGGTGCAGCATTTGGACGAGGATGACACCCTGCTGGGCTTCCTCATCCAGCAGCTGGCCGTGCACAAGGATCAAACGTTGATGTCGGCCATCCTGCAGACGCTGCTGAGCATCTGCAACCAGCTGATAGCCACCAAGGAGCAGCTCCCGGCACCGCTGCGCCACCGCAAGCAGATCATGGAGACGGTCTTCAACATACCCATCGAGGCGCCCTTCCACGACCTGCCCCTGCTGCCCACCATCCTCAAGCTGGGCACAGATTTCATACGAATAGGTGAGTAAAAAACTTGTGTTATTAACATGTTAAATGTTCAAAAAATTTCAAAAAAGTTATTGACATGTGTGTACAAAATTGTAGCTTACATATGCAAGAAACATAAATAACACACACAGTTTATTTGTGTCATTTACACGACGTGTTTTTTACACAACGTGTTTTCAACACAAGGAGTTTTTGACATAAAAACGTCAGAAATATATGTTGAACTGAAAAATGCACGATTTCATATTTGCTTCAAACGGTTAAAAATAACAATTAAGATTCTTAATTTTCCCTTCGATTCGATAATGTCCATAAAATGTAATTTTCATTTGTGTTAAAAACACAGTGTGTAAAAAACACTTCGTGTTAATAACACATTGTGTAAAAAACACAAGTGAGCTGTGTGTGCTAACAATTATTTTTCACATTTTAACACTTTTGTTTTTGACACACATGTTAAAAACTTTGCTCACACTGCAAAATACAATTTTTTTAACATGTGTGTTAAATTATCTGACTAAATCCTACCCTTTTTTTCAGGTGGTCCCGATACCGAGGAGTGCGTGGATGGCGGCGTGATCTTCGAGATCGCCTGCCGCAACTTTTTTAGCTGCGCGCAGCAACTAAAGATGAAGTTTGACTCGCAGGAGGAGGATGAGCGCAACAGCTTCCTGGCCAAGCACCTCAACGAATCGCTGCCCCAGCTGAACGCTTTGGTGCGTTCCATCGTCGAACTGGACGCCTCGCCGGCCACGCTGGATTTGATTATTGGCATTTTGGAGGGCTGGACGCGGGATCGCAACTCCGAGGTGCGAATCTGCGCCAGCCATGTTTTCAACAACACTTTGGAGGTCTACATTAAGGCCATGAAGATAGGCTGCGAGGCGCCGTCGAAATTCAATCAAACTGGTCAGATGCTGGGCAAGATTGTGCCCCGTTGCATCGACTCGAATGGCACCGTGCGCCAGGTGTCGGTGGACATACTGCAGAAGACGCTGGAGATCGCGTGCATCTACGAAACGCTGACGATAGCCAGCATCGACAGCTCCGCCGACTGGCTGAAGGAGATCGAGGCGATCAAGGAGCACATCATCACCGACGAGCCCAAGCAGATCTACAACCTGGCCGGCGACATAGCCAAGATCATAGCGCTGCGCATCTCCAGCTTCCAGTATCTGCAGTTCTGGTGGGGATTTGCTTCCTATTTGAAATATGAATAATTCAATGAATTATTTTGAATTCAGAAATTCAGGGCAGATTAATATTAATCTAATTTTATATCTAATTATATATATAACTTCTTTGTTACAGCAAAACCCTGCTCCATTCGCTGCGTGATCCCGAGCAGAGCTCCACCATCGGCGCCAGCGTGGTGCTCAAGTTCTTCATCCAGCTGAAGGGCTCGGAGCTCTTCCACGCCATTCCCGACCTGGTGCGCGACAGTCTGCTGGCCCTGCAGCTGTGCGAGGTGCCCAGGGCCAAGTCGGGGGTACTTAAGGCCTTGGTGGCCCTCACCAAGCATCATCCCAAGCTGGTCTGTGCCGAGATGCTGGCCCAGCCGCTGCCCTACGATCCCAATCTGGTGGAGTACTGGCATCTGGTGTGCAACGATCCCGAGCTGACGGGGATCACGCTGGACAACTTCCTGCAGCTGCTGAGCGGCGCTTCGCTGCAGGAGGGCGGCGGTCAGGAGGAGCGCTCCCTGAAATTGGCCAGTGGCCAGCCATTTGCCATTTTCTGCGCCCTCCACGAGATGCTGCCCTGCAAGGACATCAAGGGGGTGAGTGCTGGAGGGGATTCCCTATTACAGTTAGTAACCTTCTGCGTTTTCTAGCAACTGGAGGCTCGCTTTGCGGACATGTTCTGCATGCTGCTCACCTCGCTGAGCAGCTACACCAATTTGGCCGCCCCGAATCCCGTGAACGCTTCTCCCAGTCCCAACCAGCCGCAGTCGGGCAAGAGCAAGTTTGGTTTCGTGCCGAACAAGGATCTGATCAAGCTCAATCCCTGCCAAATAGCACTGGAAACGTTTCAGGTATTTCTCTATTCTCGATCAGCATCACTAGACGAGTCAATCTAGCCTTGTCCGTATGTCTGTCCGTAAATCTGTCCGATTGTCCATTTCTACTCAAACTATTCTCTCAGTTTTAAAGCTGTCGGGCTAAAAACCTTCCCAAAATTTTGTTCTCTTTTGCAGTTAGTATATAAGTCGGAACTAGCCGGATTAGAAAACTATATCATATAGTTCCCATAGGAATAATCGGGAAAAAAATGTAAAAAAAAATATCTTGGGTGGTTTTTAACATATAACCTCCCACTTTTGGAAATACCATTTTTCTTCTAATTCTGAATTTCGATTTTAATTTTATCAAAATCGGACGACTATATTATATAGCTGCCATCGGAACAATCGGAAAATTAATGGGAATATTATAGGAAATAAATTATTGATTCTAGTTTTTATTGAATTTTCTTCTACTCTGGGGATATGACTTTATTTAAGTATTTCCGAATTTCGATTTTAGTTTTATTAAAATCTGACTACTATATCATATCAGAAAATTAATGAGAAACAATAATTTTAACACTTTTGCGATTTGTAAATTAATACTACATAAATAATTACTACATATATATTTTCCTTTTCAATTTCAGGCCTTTCTCACCAACTTGGAAATGGAGCAGATTGCCAGCGTGCTGACGGTGAACACCGCTCTGGCGAGCAGCGCCGACTGGCACAACTACATCGAACTGCTGACGCCGATGGCCATTGGATTGGGTCAGCAGCTGCAGCTGGGCAGTCCGCAGATGAGGCAGCTGGTCAGCTCGCTGAGCAAATACGTGGCCTCGCCGCACGACGGTCAGCGGGTGGCGGCCGTGGGCCTCTTCTCGCGTCTGGTGCCGCTGAAACCCAGCGGAGAGCTGGCTGCCTCCATATTGCTCCACCTGGGAGCCGCCCTTTCCGATCCGAATGCAGTGGTGCGGGGACTGAGCATCCAGGGCATGGGCTACGTGGGCCAATTAAGCGAGAAGGAGGCGAAGCGCTACTCGGAAACTGCCATTGGAGCTCTGCTCAAGGGCGTCGACGATCCGGTGGGCGATTGCCTGATCAACATTCCGCTAGAGAGCATGCGTGGGCTGTCGGGAATCCTGAGGGCTTTGCCCAGCGAGCGGGTGGAGTCCTTCCACGTGTCCCTGGCCATACGCATCCGGCCGTTTCTCGGCAACTATGCGCTGGAGATGCGCGAGGCGGCCATCCAGCTGTTCGGCGACATTTGCGAGGGCAAGCACGACGACGGTAGCAGTTCGCCCACCTCCTCGATGGAGGCGTTGCGGGAGCAGCTGATCGCCAATCTCTTTCCGCTGCTCCTCCATCTCAGCGAGAGCGAGGCGGCCATTGTGTCGGCATGCCGGGGAACTCTGCAGCGCGTGTGCCGCCTCCTCAACGCGCCCCGAGTGGCGGAGTTGGCCCAGCAGCAGTTGGGCGAGGAGCGGGGCCACCAGCTCAACTACAGCAGCTTCGTGCTGGAGTTCGTCAAGATGATTGTGGGTTTATTGAGGCTCTCTATTGTTAACTTATTACTTATGTAGATAATTTGGCTCTTTTTCAGGCCCAAGAGCTGACCGATCACATCCAGGACTTTATCGACTCTTGCCTGCCGCAGCTGCGTAGTCAGTGGCCCGAGGTGCGCGGCAGTGCGGCCATCGTGATTGGTGAGTAGCTTATTTAAGGAGTTTCCTTTATTTACATTAATCGAATTTACATTATCAGGCATCCTGCACAACTTCCTCAGCGAGCGAAACGTGCAAACGGAGGCGGTGGCCAGCAAGATAGCCGTGCTGCTCAAGGACGAACAGGCGCTGGTGAGGATGAGGGCGGCCACTGCTCTGGGACACTTCTTCGGCGACATCTAGAACAACTGGGGGACCAACTCGATTAGCTATACATTGTGTGTGTTTGTGAATTATGACTTAGTATTGCTCCAAGTGTGATCCCTTTGCCTCAGCAACCGTTTACCCCATATTATGTTTGTTTTTTTTTGTTATCTAATCGAAAGTCACGTTATATACTATACTATATATATACACATACCATTATTTATATATACCTATTTAAAGTCAAGTTTATGCGGAGCGTTTTGCAGCTTTAAGGCCAAGTTGTGAGTGATAGGAGACTCGGTTACGGACAATAATCAATCGGTCTGTTTAATAAATATTAAATGTAAAAGAAAACAGAACAAAAGAACCATGATTCCAGAGCAAATATGTGATTCTATATGTTAATTTGTCTGAATTTGCTTATATTCCATGGAGGTAAAAGTATTTTACAATAAATAAATTGCAATTGTTGGACCAGTTTTAGGGAAAGAATTAAATTAGTAGGGATGATGATTCAATCACCTTAAAGGTGTGAAACGCTCTGCATCTTTCAATCGAATGTGGAAAAAGAAAGAGACAAATGAGGGAGATCCGAATTCGAATTCCTGGCCATTTGTTCTTTTCCCAAAAGTCAATTATAAATATCCCCTATCCCCACACATTTTCCGTACTATGGTTATCCTGTTTAACTGTGTATTAACGCTTACGAAAACCAAATCAAATAAAATATTACAATGAAAACAACATCAGTCGAAGGCGTAGTACTGAATACGACCCGACGACCAGGCGATCGTCAGAACGGATCGATCGTTGTCCTTGTACAGCGGCTGGAAGCAGATGAAGCTGGGATGCTCCGTTGCCGTCTCTCCGCTCAGATAATACGCCGCCGAGATCTGCAGATCGAACTTCTGGACGAAGGTGCGGAAAACGGCGATGCAGTTGGTCGACTTGAAGGTGACCACGAGGTAGTTCCCATGCGGATCCCAAGCCAGCTGCTGGGCGGGACCGCCGATGAGCGTGCGATTCGCATCGATGCTGCAGGCGTTTAAATCCGCGATGGGCAGAATTTCCTTCTCATCCGCCGAAGCTGCAAGGGAGATATGAGTTAGAAAGCAAATAGCAATGGTATCTCTTAGCAAATCTTGTAGTCAGCATTATACAGGCGGTCTGGAAGCTTCAGCAGCCGCCAACCTGTTCCTGACGGCTTTTATCTGGGGCAGTCCCTTCAATTGCACCCTTGTATCTGTCCACGACTGAAGGACAGACACTGGGAACCGACTGCCCGCGGTTGCTTATGACTAGAGCTTTCCATAAATCATACTTACACGAGAGCAGACTCTGCTGCACGAACTGCAGGCGATAGAGAATCGGTTCGGCGCTGCTGACGAAGAGCAGGAAGCGACCGCAGGGCGACCAGCAGGCTGTCTGCACATGGCCACCGGGTCCGCACACCCAGCGCTCCGTCGTCCACTGCTGGTGGCAGTTCCACACGCGGAACACCCGGTCAACGGTGGCCGCGAACAGCCAGTCGTTGTCCGGCGACCACTTGAGCAGCGAGCCCGGCGGACCCAGGCGCTTCAGCGGCTGCATCATTCCGTTGTCCGGCTGCCAGACGATGATGGATCGATCGCCAATCGAGGCGGTGGCCAGCTGGGTGCCGTCCTTGTTCCACTGCAGCGAGGTAATTGGCAGATTGGCGGGACTGAAAGGGAGGAATTGGATGAGCATAATTCGCATGGCAGGGATAATTGCAATACTCACTGCTTAAAAAGCTTGCTGGGCGCATTGGTGCGTCCCAGGTGCAGGCTGCTGTCCACTTCCCAGAAGCAAAGACCCTGCCGACAGCCAATCACTATCTCCGCCGCGCAGAGCGGACGCCACGCCATGCAGGTGATCTGCGTTTGAGTGGGGCTCTAAAGGAAAGAAAGGTTTAACAATTAGCAAATCATTTTAGAGACCATAATAATAACACTACTAAACAAAAAACGAATTTTTACAAGTTCGATTTTTTACCATTAAAAAATCCGTAATTTGAACGTAACAATGGAAATATTGATCCAAATATGGAATGTCATACCTCGTTGAACTCGTAATAAAATTCCTAATCGATCTGCATTTAAACCTGAATAATTTTAATTTTTTCCAATTTTCGCAAAAAATTATGATGTAACCCCTTATCAAAAAAGTGAAAATTGGGTCGAAAATTGATTTTCTTAAATCAGACGTAATGTTTACTAATATTAATTATTAGGTTGTTAGCTGCCCAAAACAGTACGCCTTTTTGATTTGGGACCATTTTTGATCAAGTTATAGCAAAAAATCGGCTAAGAAAAATTTCAAATTTGTACCAAAAATAAAATTCCTGATTTTCCACCCAAAAAAGTATAGTTTTTGGTCATAAAAATTGAAATAATGATCCAAATATGGAATGCCACACCTCGTTGAACTCGTAATGAAATTCCCAATCGATCTGGATTTAAACCTGAACATTTTTAATTTTTGCAAATTTTTGCAAAAAATCATGATGTAACCCCTTATCAAAAAAGTAAAAATTAAGTCGAAAATTGATTTCTACAAATCAGACGGAAAGTTTACTGATATTAATTATTAAGTTGTTAGCTGCTCAAAACCGTACGCCTTTTTGATTTGGAACCATTTTTGACCAAGTTATAGCAAAAAATCGATTAAGAAAAATGTCAAATTTGCACCAAAAATCGAAATCCTGATTTTCCGCCCAAAAATAATAGTATTTTGGTCATAAAAACAGAAATATGGAATGCTAAACCTCGTCGACCTCTTAATCAAATTCCCTATGAGTCTACTTACCTTCAAAATAGTGGCGGTGGCCGCGTTGGAATTCTTTGAGTAGATGCGCACCACATCGTCCACGCCGGCGACGGCCAGGCTGAAGAAGTGGCAGTTCCAGGCGAGGAAGCGCACATCGCTGTTCAGCCAATCCCTGAAAGAATCGGAGGCAAGTGGTCAATGGTGGCCTTTAGATGCCGAACCCACCACTCACCTGGTCTCCACAAACTGCGCTATCCGCTCGGCACTGAGCTCCTGGGTGTGCGGGAGGATCTTCAGCCGCAGTCCGGTGGCCAGACCCAAGATCCTGGCTATCAAATCACCCGCCTGGGCAATCAGGGGCGCCTGCTCGCGGCTCTTGGGGCTGCGCGCCTCCTCCAGCGACTCCCAGAAGCCGCCGTCGAAGAAGGTGCGGGTGATGCGCTTCAGGACGCCCTCATCCACGGGCACGAAGCTCTGGCCGCCGTAGAATCTCTGGGCGCCCGGATTGGCCATCAATTCGCTGTTCAGGTTGATCTGCGGATAGCGCTCCAGCTCGGGGATGTGGTTGTGCCGCAGCGCCAGATCGGGCAGCGTGGAGAACGGCGGGCACTGCTTCAGGTTGCTCAGGGCCGCCATTATTTCGGTTAATTCACATTTAGTTCAATTCCGAAATTGCTAACAAGATGCGGCAAAATGCGCGGTAATTAGAGGTGGGAGAAAGGCGATAGTAATTACTTTGACTATCGATGTTTGTTTTTGTATCGCGAAATACCGATATTTTTTAAGGTGCAGGAAGAGCAACTTAAAAACTAAACTAATCTTAAAAATATGTTAGAACTCAACAAAAAATAGTTTAAAAGTGGGGGGTGGTTTTCTTTAATTTTCATTAATCAAAAAATTTTCATTAATTAAAAAAAAAATTATATTTTAAAATTTTGTAGCAACAAATAAGTTTAAGTTGGAAATCAATAAAAAATTGTTTTAAACTTCTAAAAGCCTTTTAAATACGCTTTTAAACTAGGGGGTGGTTTTCAATAATATTCAAATAATGTATCATTCATAAAAATAATATTAAAAATTTGAAAAATTGTGTAGTTTTATCATTAAAAAAATGATTAATACAGGACAATTGCATTTTTTTAAAAAGTTATAAACAATAACATTTTTAGTTAAAAGTTAACTATCGATAACTCGCCCGCACATTTCTAGCTGACTATCGCTCGCAGTGCCATCACCATCCCTAATAGTTTATTTTTTTCTGGGACGGGACGTTAAATCGCGGACTTGAATTCTCGGCGAGATTGGAGCGGCATGGCGGACAAGCGGAAATACAAGAAAACCGTAAGCAGGCGGCGAATGCATCTACCTTTAACCACAACCCCACAATCATTCCAGAAAGAGGAGATCCGGCGGGAGATTGCCCGGGAATTCGATCTGCCGGAGCGCAAATCGAAGATAGCCACCATTCTAAAGCAGGAGGATCAGGCGTACTGCATCTGCCGCACCTCCGACTGCTCCAGGTTCATGATGTGAGTGGTGATCCTTTCAGAGATATTCCCTGCTAACCCCTAATCCCTTCCAGCGGCTGCGATGGCTGCGAGGAGTGGTACCACGGCGACTGCATCGGGATCACCGAGAAGGAGGCCAAGCACATCAAGCAGTACTACTGCCGCCGCTGCAAGAAGGAGAATCCCGAGCTGCAGACCATATTCCGCCTGGTGGCCACCGAACGGGCGGCCGCCTCGAATGCCGCCTCCACGAGTCTGAATGCCCCGGGATTGGGTCCGCCGGGTGCTCCTCCAGGTGCTCCAATGGCCACCAACCTCCAGCCACCGCCGGTGGCCACCACAACCACAACGACCACTGCAGCGGCGACTGCAACAATGAAGCGCAAGAACAGCAATGCCCGCGAACCGAAGGCGGGCAAGCGATGCGGCACCTGCGAGGGCTGCCGGCGTCCCAATTGCAATCAGTGCGACGCCTGCCGGGTGCGCGTGGGCCACAAGCCGCGCTGCATATTCCGCAACTGCGTGGCCCAGGCGACGGGCGGCAAGGAGGCGTCGGCGCCGCAGAAGAAGCGGGAGAAAGCCTCCGCCGCCGCCGCCGCCGCTTCGAAAGATCGCAAGATGAAGGCGAACCTGCGGGCGGCCAGTCCCGAGGTCTACCTCAATCCCGAGCTGGAGGGGATGCGCCAGTGCCACGGACCCGGCTGCTGCTGCCAGGCGAGGCCGCAGAGCAAGTACTGCAGCGACAAGTGCGGCTTTAATTTAGCCACCAACAGGATTTTTCAGGTTTGCATTGCTTGGCTAGCAGTCAGTGCTGCCATTTTGTCCTTTTTCCAGACAGATCTGTCCTTTTTTTTTAACGGCTTTATCCGGAAGAAATTTCAATTATCCGCTGTCCGTAAATCTGTCCTTTTTTAGGTCCGTTTTTTCGTCCGCCTGATCAATTTAAAGAAGGGTTAAATCTCTGATTTCCCATACGATTTCAAGGTTTTAAGCCTACTTTAATGTTAACAAATGTTAGTTTTGCCAATCGTTGGTTTTGGTTGGGTTTTTATCATCAAAAAATCAAATAACTTTTCGAGTTTCTCTTGTTAACTGGTTAGATGTAATTTATACAAACCTTTTGCATATTATTTTTATAATTTTTTAATTCCAGAATTTTTTCCGATTTGCCAAAGTCCAAAAATTAGGTTTATTCCTAAAAAAAATTTGATTTCGTTTAAAGAAAAATTTGACTTTTCGTTTAAAGAAAAAAGTTTTAAATGTTACAAAATAAAAAAAAAAATTTCTTTTTAAGGGATCGGTTTTTTTATACAGAAAAATGTGCGATAGATTTAAAAACGATCGGTTGAGCAATAAAGAAATTTAAATTAGTAAACAATTTAACCTAGTAACAAAAACACAAAAATTTTGAAGAAGTAACATTTGTTCTCTTTTTTGCCCTTTTTAAATGTTTTTTTTTATCCTTTTTTCCCGGTTTTCTTTGCCTGATCTGGCCTGTTTTTTAAGCTAAACAATTAATCACAAGTAATTCCTTTTCAGGTTCTGCCGCAGCGCCTGCAGGAGTGGAACCTGACGCCCTGTCGCGCCGCCGAGGACACAAGGAAGCACCTAGAGAGCATTCGCTCGAAGCAGTCCCTCGTGCGCTTCGCCCTCGCCGAGCTGGAGAAGCGCTCCGAGGAGCTGAACATGGTGGTGGAGCGGGCCAATCGCAGCTCCATCGACACACTGAACCCGCACGACACCGGCGACATGGAGGACGAGCAGAGCATGTACTGCATCACCTGCGGCCACGAGATCCACTCGCGCACGGCCATCAAGCACATGGAGAAGTGCTTCAACAAGTACGAGTCGCAGGCGAGCTTCGGCAGCATCTTCCAGACGCGCATGGAGGGCAACAATATGTTCTGCGACTTCTACAACCCGGCAAGTAAGACGTATTGTAAGCGGTTAAGGGTGCTGTGTCCCGAGCACAGCAAGGATCCCAAGGTGAACGACACGGATGTGTGTGGCTCGCCGCTGGTCAACCAGGACTTCGGTCCCACGGGCGAGTTTTGCCGGGCGCCGAAGAAGAACTGCTTCAAGCACTACGCGTGGGAGAAGATACGGCGGGCGGAGATCGATCTGGAGCGTGTGCGCCAGTGGCTCAAGATGGACGACCTGATGGAGCAGGAGCGCATGCTGCGACAGCAACTGACCTCGCGTGCCAATCTGCTCGGCCTGATGCTGCACTCCACCTACAATCACGAGGTGATGGACGAGCTGGTGCGCAAGCAGCAGGAGCATCTGGCCGAGTTCGAGAAGCAAAAGCGGCGGCAGGCGCATCAGCAGCAGCTGCAGGCGCAGCAGCAACTCTACCAGGAGAAGCAGCAACAGCAACAGCAGCAGCAACAGCAATTGCTACTGCAGCAGCAACAGCAGCAGCAGCAGGCGCAGCTGCAGCAGCAAACTCAACTCATCTACCTGCAGCGAAAGCCATAGATTTCCATTCCTCTAAGCGTAGTTAAAGCAAGCAATAAACTGACATGCAAGAAACCCTTTTGTACGAGAGCCCACAAATCTATTATATTTTTAACCACTTACCCGTTTCTCCGGGCAACCGGATAACATAATTTAAGTTCCCCCAAAGGAATAAAAGGAAAGGAAGAGGTTGCTACGCGCCGGGATCGGGGAACGCCCCTGTTTGTTATTGAAAACTAAGCATCAAATATGCATTTATTGATAGCAACCTGCCCGCAAAAGGGAAAGGCTACACTGGGCCAGCTCAACCAGGGAAATCATTCAACTTGTCTTAAGTATTTTAGAGCAATCTATTGTATTTTGCCTAGACTAAGGGTACTATATAGTTTAATAATAAATTTAATTTTAGTTTAAGCCTCTTGAATTATGTGTGTTAATTTTATAAGATCGCAAATTGTTTGCGTTCAAGAAAACTCTTTTTCTTTGTTTCTTTATGATTTTTTGTAATACCCAAAAAAGTTACAAATTGTGTTCTGTTTATGTTTTTTTTCGCTGTAACTATGAAATAAGTTAATAGTTTGTATTTAACTTAAGTGCATATAGGCGAATTCCTTTTTGCTATAAATATTTATAAACTGTACAGATAATATAGTATAAGATATAAAGTAAATTTAATCAGGAACATCAGGAAAGTCAATATTTCTGGCATGTATTTTTTTTTTCAATAAATTTGCAAATTAATATTTCGCTCTAGTTAGTGAAAAATAAATATATTTTGTTGACTTAATTATTTAGTTAATTGATTAATAAAGTAAATTGTGGTAAATTTAATCAGGAAAGTCATTTATATTTTTTTCAATGAATTTGTGAGTTAATATGTCGCTCTAAATAGTGAAAAAAGAATATATTTTGTTGACTTAATTATTAATTAAACTTAAATGGGCTGTTATATTTTTTTTATTAAGTATTCAATATTATTCTTTACTTTTTCAGTTAAGATACTTTAGTTCATTTATATAATCATATAAGAAAAGTGCACCGAACCCCTTTGTGAATATGAAGAACCCCGTTTTAGGGTAAATGATACGCATGGGTCCTGCTTTTTAGGCGGTGGGCAACCAATGGAAACGGCAGGACCTCGAAAATCGGGAATCGGGGGAACAGGACAACAGTCGAAATCGAGCATCAGTAGCTGGACGAGCAAGTAGTCGTGGCGATTTTTGGCTTTCGCCCCAGACGAACTGTCGATCATGCCAGTTATAGTCCGGAATTTTTCTACTTCACACACGACCCGATTCCAAAATATAAAAACACACACATTTTTTTTGTATTCGATTCGAGTCTTTTATTTTGTAAAATCGTAACCGAAGCGTGAAAGCGAGAAGGATATACCGTATATGGTCTCGTCCTCCCCGGATCCGCATCTATGTCGACTCCAAGTATATAGTATATATCTATATTTTCAATTCCAATCAAATCTGTGCAAATTAAGGCGCGCCAGATCCGCGAGTGAAACATTTAAATTTTCCAGTCGCGGCAGCTGATCCGAAACTAAATCGGTCTTCTAACTTGGAGGCGGGATCTCAGCCCATCTAATCCGCCGAGAAGAGAAGCCGAAAAAAGCCGAATACAAAAACCAGCAAAACAGCAGAAAAATTACCAGAAATTCAAGGACTATTTCAAGAGTTGACAGTGGAAAAGCCGTGAAAGCCGAAGGAGAGAAGATATAGAGTTTGGAAGAACCCAATATCAGAACGGGATCAGATAGAAAAAAAAAGGATTTTCGAGAGGCATTTGTTTTTCGCGTTTTGTTTTCTGTGTTCCATGTTCAAGGTCCTGAACTGCTTCTCGGAGAACTTCGAGGACAGCTCACCACTTTGACTGCAGGTTTGTGTGTGTGTATCCTGATTATCCTGAGATAATAACCCCCATTCCCGATCCCTTACAGTTCGGGTTACATCTTGTGTGTTTCGCGTTCCGTTCCGTTATTATATATATATATATTTTTTATTTTTATTGTGCAAATTGCCAGTTGACTTTCCATCCCCAATCCCCCACAAATCCATCGAGTTCCGGGGGCCCTTCGTCTGCTAGTTAGCCCACCGAACCCACGTATCCAACGAATCCTGCCTCCTTTTACGGGTAAGTGACGTGCTCCACTTCAAAACTTTTGTGCCAAATTCAATCGCTCGGTTGTAACTGTTATTTTGGGCATACACTAGCCAACAGAAAGTAGATGATGTAGTGGAGCTTCTATACATATATTGCATAAAATTTAAATATATTTCCAAATTTGAGAAATTTTTTTTAGTATTTAATACATATTTTCCAGACAGAATTTTAAGGATCTTTTTTTTCGATAAAATCAAAATATATTTCCAAGTATTAGAAATTTAGTAATTAATACATATAACTATTTTCTACCGTGTAAACCTACATGGCAGAATTTTGAGGATATTTTTTGCTTTTAATAATGAGTTCTTATTTCATCTAACTATAACTCTTATCTTTTTCTATGCAAAGGCTGGGAGATTTTTTTGGATTTTCAATAAATTAAAGGAATACGAATTTAATTAGTCAATTTTCCCTAAATTCCGTTACGTTATCATTTGAATTTTTTTAAATAGATCATACGCTATTTCTCGAGGATATAACTCCACTTTTGTTGCCCTGTGTTGCCCTTTGCCATATGAGTGTACTTGTGCCTATTTATTTGTTAAACAAATTCATTTGGCATGTTTTTTTTTTGGTGATTTTGGTTCAGCCAGATTGCATGCCGTGTATTTCCATTTGATTGTTTTGCGGCGTTTCTTGCAGCAACAATAAGTGAAGTAGGCGAAGTAACAGTAATACAGTGAACATCCTGATATTCTCCACTATTAACTTTCGTGAGAGTGAAATAACTTTTTTTATTTAATTTTTTAGAAAAATATTATATTTTTAAAGAACTTGAAGATATACATATATTATAGAGGAAAACAGTTGTAAATGATAAATCTCTTTGTTTTATTTTTTTTAATAATTAATCTATTTAGATTATTTTGTAACTTTTAAGTTTATAAAAAAAAACATCTGATAATAATAATCAGATATTTTAAAAGCAATTCTTTCAGTTTAAATTTGGGTAATATTTGAACCTACTCTAGTAAGTACTTACATTTAGGCAAAATCAGATCAATAGATCGATTTAGCTGGGTTCACTGCACGGAGGCTCCACTGTGGCAACATGACGTTGCCCTGGGCACTTGAGGGTCCACTGTAGGCATTGCCAGGCCATCCACATCCCATTGGGGCTCTCGTTTTCGCTTTCGCCTTCTCCCCGATCGATCTAACAATAATTCAGTTTCAATCAGGTCCGCCTCGCGATTTATTTATTCGTTTGCTATTTTTTCCCCCGCTTTTTATTTGTGCTCCCGTTATGGCCGTTGTTCCGTTTCCGGTGCATTTGCATGCAGAGAGAGAAAACGATGATCCTTTCTGATGGATTATGATCAATGTCCTTTTTATGAATTTTTTTGATTGTGGTGATTTTCTTTCTTACAAATAATAAAATATCCCCTTTAAATATTTTTCAGACTATTGAGACTTTTTTATCTTTAAAGTATTCAGATCTTGAAGTATAACTTTATAACTTTAAATAAATATTAAATTCCCATAATCTAAAAAGTAATATAAAAAAATACTTCCTAAAATATTGAGCTTATTTTTAATATTTATTGAATTTTGCTGATTTTCTTTCTTACAAATAATATAATCTACCCTTTAAATATTTTTAAGACTATTTTTACTTATTTATCTTTAAAGTATTCAGATCTTGAAGTATAATTATAATCTTTAAATGTAATATCAAAATACTTCCTTATTGAGCTTACTTTTCAACTAGTTTTTTTTCTCTCCGTGGAGTTTTGCATTACTTTTGTTGCCGTTTAATTTTATTTTACATACTTGATGCCGTTTGCATATGGGAGCGAGCACGCGAGGACGAGGACGAGGGCCCCAGATGCTCCAGTTGGAGCCGCAAAACCACTCGGTTGCCACTGCCACGCGCAACAGCAACAGCACCATCCAAAACCATCCACAGTGGATGCCAGCTAACCATCCATTCTAATCCCTTTCCACAGTGAAGCTGCCTCGTGGTGGATTTGTCGAGGCTTTGCCCCGCCGGGTGGAGTGCTCCAGATCCAGTCGAAGCTGGCGAAGAAGTCCAAGTCGCAGTCCCAGCATCCCAGCCAGCAGGAGGTTCGCAAGGACAGGGCCCGCAAAAGGGCCAAGGGGAGCGACAGGGCTAAGGATCAGGATAAGGATAAGGAGCAGGATCAGAAGCAGCCAATGGCCAACCAACCGAATATTCCCGCTCACGAGCGTCGCATCCACGAGCTGGACCAAAATGTGGAGCGCATGTTCGATGTCCGCAAGGTAGGACCAAAAAAAAAATTCTTTTTCCATTAAAAGAGGTTAAAGAGCGGTCGGTTCTACCCCACCCTTACCTTTTAAGGCACCATTCAACATAATACCAAACTTTAAATTCGAGATTTATTCGTATTATAGTACTTTTTAGGTTTTCTGAGATCGAAACTATTTAAAAAAATTTTTTTTCATGAAAAGAGGTTAAAGAGCGGTCGGTTCTACCCCACCCATAACTATTAAGGCACTATTCAATAGAATTCCAAACTCTACGTTTGAGATTTATTCGTATAAAAGTATTTTCTAGGTTTTCAAAAATCAAAACTATTTGAAATTTTTTTTTTTTTGGTACTATTTTCTAGCGTTTGGGCAAAGGTGCCTATGGCATCGTGTGGAAGGCCACCGACAAGCGGAACAAGGACACGGTGGCCTTGAAGAAGATATTCGATGCCTTTCGGGATGAAACCGATGCCCAGCGCACCTACCGCGAGGTGATATTCCTGCGCGCCTTTCGTCACCATCCCAATATCATCCGCCTGATGGATGTCTTCAAGTGGGTTTCCCAAATTCCATCGTTTGGTATTTCAATATATTTGATATTTACTTCTCAGAGCTGGCAACAATTTGGACTTTTATTTGGTGTTCGAGTTCATGGAGAGCGACCTGCACAACGTGATAAAGAAGGGCGATGTCCTCAAGGACATTCACAAGCGCTTCGTCATGTACCAGCTGATCAATGCCATCAAGTACATGCACTCGGGCAATGTCATCCACAGGGACCTGAAGCCCAGTAACATACTGATAGACAGTAAATGCAGGTACGAGATCTTATGATCTAATTTATAAATTAACAAAAGATCAGATCGATATGTGATGGTCAATTTGATATATTTTTAAAGATCAAGTTATTCATTTCATTTTTATATAATATTTTACATTATTTGTTCAATAAAAATACTACATTTGGTATTTTATATGATATGATAAAATATCATATCGGCATTTTATTGATATGCAATAAGGTAGAATTGACCTTTTACAATTTCACTTTCCCCAGACTCAAGGTGGCTGATTTCGGTTTGGCCCGCACACTTTCCACCAAAAGAAAAGCGGAATTTGATGATATGGACCACGAGGGCATGCTGACGGATTATGTGGCCACCCGTTGGTATCGGGCTCCCGAAATTCTGGTGGCCAGTCGCAAGTGAGTAGTAGCTATATATACTATAAATTAAATAATATTTAGTAATTTATTTTATTTAATATTTAAAAATATTTATATACATAATATATATATTACATATATTATATAAATTAAATTACTACTTTGTATCATTATTTTTAAACTCTTCATGTATTTTCAAAATACCCCTCAGTTATACCAAAGGCATTGATATGTGGGGTCTGGGCTGCATTCTGGGCGAGATGATAAGACAGAAGCCGCTCTTCCAAGGCACCAGCACTGTGAATCAGGTAATGGATCTCGAATAATGCTAGTTGCTTTTCGGGCAATAACTCTTAATAAACACACAAAAAAAAGCATGTTCCCGTAAAATCGATATGGTCATGCAAAACGTATATCGTTCTTACATGAAATACTCTTTTCGACCAGTTCAAATTGATCTTAAGTAATGTAAAATCGATCTACATTTCAAATTAATTTTTTTTTTGGTGAACAGATAGAGAAAATCGTGTTGGCCCTGCCGGATGTGACCCAGCGTGACATCGATTCGATCGGAGCCAGCTTCGGCACAGTGCTGCTGAGCAAGAAGATCCATCGCGATCGCCGGCACTCGCTGGACGAGATGCTGAGGAACTGCTGCGACGACGCCATATCGCTGGTCAAGTCCCTGCTGGTCCTGAATCCCCACGGCCGTCTGACGGCCAAGGCGGCCATCCAGCATCCGTATGTGAGTCGCTTCCGCACGGCCTCCGCGGACATGGAGCTCCGGGTGGACATCCATCCGCCGCTGAAGGACGACGTGCGGTATGGAGTGGACCAGTACCGGAGCAACCTGTACGACATGATTGGCCGCGAGTCGAGGGGCAGTGCCCGCACCGTGAGCAATGCCACGCCCTCCAGCAATCGGGAGATCTCCTCGACGACGACGACGAAGCCCCAGCGAGTGGTGTCGCGAACCAGGTGAGTAGAGTTCCTGGGGGAGATTATAGGGATGAGGGATAAGGGACGAGGGTTCTAGGGCTGCTAGGGGGAGGGCTGGTGGAGCTGCTTCTCTAGCTGCTCGTCCCCTCTTCCAGGTTCCGGCGTCCCTAGCATAGGCGTGCCACCTCCACGACCACATCCCTTCCCCGGGAGCAGGACAACTGCACCGCCAAGGAGGCCGAGGACTCCCCCGAGAAGCCCCCGCTGAAGGAGCGACTGCATCGTTCCAGGCTCCGACCGCCGCATCCCAGGCGCCTCAATCAGCGCAAGAGCCAATAGAATACTAAATACTATACCATTACTTTTTTGGGATCCGAAGGACCACGATATCTTTTGTGGGATAACTTTAATTTGAACTGTTCATCATTAGTATTCATCCTTCTTAGTTTTTATAATATTTCTAGATTATGAACTATATATTCTAAGAAAAGCCAATAGAATACTAAAGTATTTAATACTGTACCACTACTTTTTTGTGATCCTTGGCTAGAAGACCGAAGGACCACGATATGTTTTGTTAGGATAACTTTATTTGCATCCTTAGTTTTTATAGGATATCTAGATTATAAAAAATATATATTCTAAGAATATTAATAATATTAAGGTTCTTAAGTGATGATTTAACATAGCTAATTATACTGTACTATTAATTTTTTGGGATCCTTGGCTAGAAGGACTGAAGAACCACGATATCTTTTGTAGGATAACTTTAATTTTAACTGTTCAATAATAGTATGCATGTCCCTTAGTTTTACATGATATCTAGATTATAAACTATATATTCTAAGAAAATGTAACATTAAGGTTCTTAAGTAATGATTTAATTTGAAATACCAAGATTTGTAATACCAAGTCGTAAATAGCTGAAATAATATTTAGCCTATAAGGGAAAGCTGTTTAGATCATTGAATAAGTTCCTTATAAACAACGCTTCTTTGTAATATCAACCTTTGAATCATCTTGTAATCACAAATTTCTGTAGAAAAGCATTACGAGATAATACATATAATATAGTACATATTATAAATATTAGTACCTTATAACGCAACCGCACTACTCATAAAAAAAGCATGTTCCCGTAATATCGATATGGCCATGTAACTTGTCATGCAAAACCCATATCGTTTTTACATGAAATACTCTTTTCGACCAGTTTAAATTCACCTGGCCGCATATCAATTTGATCTTAAATAATGTAAAATCGATGTACGCTTCATATTTTTTTTTGGGTGGTTATACACTCAACCCAACTGTAGAAATCACCTGTGCTCCACTCATCCCAATTCCTCCCCCAGGACATTGAGTGCCAGCCAGACGGACAAGAAGCTGGAGCTGCATCCTCCTCCTCAGCCTCCGCAGGAGGTGGTGAGCACCCTGAGCCGCAGGATCCCCGAACAGAAGAAGCCAACGACCCTCCAGAAGCCTCGTCCGCCGTCCAAGGATGTCGTCCTGCCGGTGAATCCTCCGGCTCCCGCAGGTAAATCCGCTAGGAATTTGGCCAAGTGCCGGCACAACCGGGTGGTGCTCCAAAGGGAACTGGCTGCCGTGAAGAAGAGTAGCATCACTAGCACCACCACCTGGCAGTCGCAGGTCCAAGCGCAGGGCAAGTTCCATGCGGAGGCCAAGGCCCATGTGCAGGCGCTGCTCCAGTCGCAGATGCCCCTGCCCTCCGCCGCCGCTGCTCCTGCTCCTGCTGCTCCTCCTCATCCTCCTCCTGCTCCTCCTGCCGCCACCGAAGGATCCCCACCGGAGATCCAGGAGGTCACGACCCTGCGCAGGAATCGATCCCTGCGAACGAAAACCACCAAGGAGATAAAGTCAAGAGATAAATCCTCCCAATCCAAGGGGGAGAGGGATCCCCCAGCCGAGGAGCGACGAATCCTGGAGGAGCGGCGGAATCTGCAGCGCCGGCGGATGGCCGACAATCTCCGGCTGATGGAGGAGGAGCGCGAGCAGCTGGAGGAGATGCGGGAGCAGGAGGCGGCGGCCAAAGCCTTCAGTGAGATAGCCCGCAAGGTAAAGAAGCTCACCCAGAACAGCCAGACGAAGAAGAAGAGGGAGAAGGATAAGAAGGAGCGGGAAAAGCAGGAGGAAAAGGAGGAAAAGCAGGAGGAGGAGCAGGAGGATATCTTCTGCTATCGCCAGCGGATCAACCACCTGGAGGAGGAGATGGCCAAGTGCAAGGAGCAGCTGGTGAACTTCGTGCAAGACCATCAGGATCTCCTTACCCAGGAACGCCTGCGCTATCACATCAAGAAGCTGCAGCCGCGGAAAGATCGGGATGAAGATCAGGAGAAGGATCAGGAGGAGAATCAGGAGGAGCTCTTCCGCCGGGAGCAGGAAAGGCAGCGCCACCGGCAGCTCCAGGAGTTCCTCAACCGCGACGACACCAACGAGTTCGACCTGCCCGATCTGGCCAATGTGTATCGGGCCAGCTGCTTCCGCTCCTTCAACCTGCAGACGCCTCCGCCGGTGGCCGCCAGTGGCTCCTGCTCCTCCTCGTCGCCGGCCAGCGGGAGGCGGGAATCGGGGGAATCGGAGCAGGACTACCTGTTCACCAGCTACTTTCCCAACTACAGGCAGGAGCAGAAGGAGCGGGAGGAGCGGGAGGATCTGCAGGAGCAGCGCAAGCGGCAGGAGCGGATGAAGGCCCAGCTGAAGGCCTGCCAGAAGCAGCACGACGGCTTGGGACTCCACCACACCGTTCACCACCAGCGTCATCATCATCTCCGCCAGGCAGCCGGCGGAGGAGGAGGAGGAGGTCCTCGCTACGATCCCATGCGACTGAGGCACCACGACATCCAGGAGGCCAAGTTCTCCCAGGGAGTCAACTAATCCCTGTCCCAGAGTCACTGAGCAATATATGTACAAGCATATTCGAAAGAGCATTAGTCAATCCTTGGTTTAAGTTGGGTACGGGACCCTCGAAAGGAGGTTATAGATCAATATTGCATTTTAGTTCGGAAATTATTAGGTAATCAGGAGTCTTATTCCTAGTATGTGTACCTCATAAACATTCCATTCATTATTCGTCTTTATAAGTAGGTTTTAGTTTTAAGGTAACTTTATAGATAAACAATTTTTTTTTTAAAGTAGAAAAAAAAATTTTTTTTTAAGGGGAAAAAATTTTTTTTTTAGTAATTAATGTTGATGATTGGGAATTTCATAATCGTATTTGAACCCAACTCTCCTTGGGGTGAAAATTAAAGAGAAAGATGGTATTCAAAAAGTATACTACAAAAAATGATACTAGAAAAATATTTTTTTCCATCAAAATTTTTTTCGTTAGTGGTTTTTTTGGATACATTTTTTTTAAAGAAAAAATAAATATTTTTTTTTATATTTAAGGATCCTAAAAATTTTTTTTTTTTTTTTTAAGATTTTATTTGGACTTAACCCCCTAAGGGTAAAAATTAAAAGAAAATATGGTATTCAAAAATTATGAATCAAAAAATTGTCCTTTGTAAAAATTGAAAGGAAATCTAGTATTCAAAAAAAATGTTACTAGAAAAATATTTTTCCCATCTTAATTTATGTTTTCTTATTCGGTTTTTTGGGTTTGTTGCTAGTTTTAATATCGGATCGTTATTTAACTTTTTATTTTTTACCAGGCTAATTAAGCTACGATAACTACGATTCATTTCCCAATATCTTTCTAAGAAATAAAATGCATTTTCGAACCCCTTTTGAGCCCCATAAATATGGAAAATCGTTCGTTCTATTGATTTAGCAAGACGTCGATTGATTTATTATTAAGCTTAGGATAGACGCACATTAAGACTCGCACACACATTAACGGCAACAGATATTACTACGTTCTGATGTATATATTATTAGGTCTTCTATCGCTATAGCAAATTGAACACAATAAAGCTCTATATAGGATTTTCTGTATATAGAATAAAGACACGTGACTTTTAAAAAGTTTTTACCCCTTGATGCGGAATTTACAACGTTTAGCTTTTGGGTACAAACGATGTGAGGATGAGTTTGTTAGATTCTAGCGATACGGTTGGAGTTTTAGATCCCAAGTGTATAATTGGAATTTTTATAGATACATGCACTTACATATTACAAAGATTAGTCAAATTTGCCTATCTGCCGATCAGTATATATAAAAGAATTATTCAGTTTTGGTATTTCTATTCGTTTGTCTGTGTTTATCATCTGCTTCCCGGAATTGGAAGACCCCAACGATTGTTCTGCTTAGTTAGTTGTCGATTTAGATTCAAGCGGAAAAGGATGGGATGCTATGGCATCAACTTCGAATGGCCAAAAAACAAATCACAGGCAAAACTATATGGCAACGAACATATAACATATAACGAACATAATTATTTTGACAGATTTGAATGTTAACTGTACTCACATTTTGAACTTATAATATAAACTTTTGGCACCTATAGAAAGAGCACTTCAATTCCGTTAAAATGACGCAAAAATGTTCTCAACCCATTAAGACCCCTTTGAAAAGTTAGAACATTTTGTGAAAGTCAAGTTTTTAACTTTTTTCCTGGGGCTTAAAAATCAAAATTAATAATAACGGCAAAAAAAAATGTTCAACATATTTTTCCTTGTATTTTTTATGATTTTTTGAATGGAACGATCTCAGTAAAATTTTGTTTGAAAAGGAGGAAAAAGCGGCTAAAATTGTAATTTTTAGCTATTTTCAAAGAATTATAAAAAATACAAGGAAAAATATTAAAAAAAATTTTTTTTGCAGAAAATATTCATTTTTAATGGGGAAAAACTTTGCATTAAAAAATTTTTGTTTAAAGCCCCAGGAAAAAAGTTGAAAATTTGAGCTTCACAATAAATGGTCTAATTTTCTAACTTTTCTATTATAAGTTCAAAATATGAGCAGATTTAACTTAAAAATTTGTCAAAATAATTATGCCGACCAGTGTCAGCATATCTAAATAATTTATAAAAGTCGAGAGAGAGAGATTAGTTCTAATATGGTTGATTATAATGGCTTTGGCTAAAAACTAATGCTAATAGTTAAGCTACAACAATTGGGAGTGGTAAAATAATGGAAATCAAACGCAGAATATATGGATAACAATTAGGCGAAGCTATTCTGCTGCATTCTCGACCGTTAAACCTATTAAGTAAATGCAGTTTGGGGTGATTATTTGGAAGTTGTGCCACAGCTCAATCCCTGGATGATCAGTTGCTTAGGTTTTGCGCTTCTGGTCGAGCTGCTGCTGCGGCAGCTCCTCCTGCAGCTGGAGGATGTGCTCCAGCGGCTGCGGCCTTCCGTCCTTGTCGATCAGCGCCGGCTTGACGATGCCGCCTTGTCTTAGCTGTTCGATCAGGTTGACCAACTGCATGGCCTCGTACTCCTTCTGCTCCTCGCTAATCCCATCCAAATGCGAAGACCGACTGCTGGGCGGTTCAATACAGCCCAGCACGGGATTTATGCCCTGCTGCTGCTGCTTGTACTCCTCGGTGTCGCTGTCCTCGCTATCCGACGAATAGTCGGTGCCCTCCACTCGCCGGCAGTCGAGTATCCCCCGCTTGGCGAACAAACCAGCTGCATTTCCATATCCTGTATACTTGATCATCCTTCCGACATCCTCCTTGCAGAGAACAAATAGCAATTCGGCGGAGAGATCGCGCAGAATCATGGCGGGCAGGGTGAGGAAGCGGCAGAGATGATTGCGCAGCTCCTGGCCAATTTCCGGTCGCTGACTGACGTCGCGCAGTGGCGGCAGGATCTCCTGTCTTAGATAATGACGCATCACGCGATCGCTGCGCGCACATTTCACCAGAACAGTGAGAACGGGCGAGAGTAGCTCATGGGAGCTGGCCTCCGCCTCCTGCTGGGCCAGCGATTGGCGGAGGTAGCGCAGCAGGACGTCCAGGCTGCGCACATTGCGCCTCTCGAAGCACTGCGAGCAGCATTGGCGGGATTTAGAGGCACTGGAGGCCTCTGCATCCTTCTCCTTCTCCTTTTCCTCCTCCTTGGAGCAGCGCAGCGTTAACTCCGTCAGGCAGCCTCCCGAGATATTGGTCAGCAGATTAATGGCATGCGTGACCACCGCGCGATCCTTGTCGCTGGCCATTTCCCCGAAGCGCAGGAGCAGTTCCCTTAGGACTCCAGTTAAATGCAAACTCTGAATTTCGTACTCATTGGGACTCTTGTCCGGCGCACTGGTCACGTTGAACATCACCTTGAGCAGCTCGCAGATGATGTTCAGCTGCTCCTCGCCCGCCTGCTCCACCTCGCCCAGCTTGTCGTCCAGCCACTTGGTCATGTAGGTCAATCCATTGAGATCAATTTGTAGGCGCGACCTGGCTGAAGGCTCCAATGCGGTAAGCAGGAAGAGCAGCTTCATGTCGTAGTACTCCAGAGCGCAGGGATGCCGCATCGAGGAGGCCACCCGCTTGAGGATCGCGTCCAGGCAGTGCTGGCGGAGGCACTGCCTCCGGCAGTCGGAGCTTTGATAGACCAAATTGCAGAGGCATTTCAGAGCCTCCGCAATTACCTCCGATTGCGCCTGGCTGGGCTCCAGCTGGGGCTGCTCCTGCTCCTGCTGCTTGAGCTCATCGGGAGTGGCGGGAAGCTTCAGGGAACCCGCTTCGATCCTCGCCAGCCGCAGCAAAGTATTCACCTCCTGTTCGATGTAGTTCGTCTGCAAACTAAACTCGTCGCGCGTGAGAATTCTCACCGTGTTGAGGCACTGCGTATGCAAATGGCTCAGCCGCTGATCCTCCAGGATCCCAAAGATGGCCAGCCACAGCTCGTGCCACTGGTTGTCCGTGCGAAAGCTGTCGAAGATTAGCAAATCCGCATTCTGCGAAAAAAAACCCGATGAAAAACCGGATGGGAGGGGTCATTTGTAAGCTCTTTCTGGAGATTCCCATCACTCACCTTCGTGTTGAACTCGCCCAGGATGGCGGGGATGTGGTCCGCCTCCTTGGCCTCCAGTCGTTTCAGCTGCTCCGCTTCCATGTCGCCAGCGTTGGCCGTTTTTTGAGGTGGCTTTTTAAGTCCTTTGGTTTAATTAAATTAAGTTTTTTAATTTCCACCAGTGTGACCCTCGGCCGAGAGTTGAAATATGCCACGCGGCGTTGCCAGACTGCGCGACTATCGAGGTATCGGTTAGGCACAATTTGAAAAATATACATATCTTTTTAAAATTAATTATATTAAAACTTCAGATAACTAACTATTTTTGATTTTCGCTTTTATTACAAAAAATACATATCCAGTGTATACATTTATGCAGTGTATGTTTTGTGTAAAAATATATATATGTGTAAATATAAAATAATACGTAATATTTGGATTCTTTTTTTAAATCTTCTTTTTTTTACGTTTTTCTTGTGTTTTTTGTAGCTTGACTTAAGTGTTTATAGTTGTTGTCTGTCTTGCATTTACATGTTATAGTAGTCGACAAACTCGACAGATCTGGGACGCCTATTATAGCAGATTGGATCCAATCTCACTGGCTTCCACTTCTTCTTTTTCTTTATTTTTTAAATGCAATCGAAGGGAAAAAGGGGAAAAGAAAGAAATAAAAACATAATAAACAATTAGAAATAAATGCTCGATGTACGCACACACACACATCTAGTATTTACTAAGTAATATCGGTACAAAATGACGATGCAGAAGTCGAAATTTAATCATTCCATGGAATACGTATTTACTAACTAAAACTAAGCAATTGCAGCTGTCTTTTTGATTGTTTTCGATTGTGTTTTTCAAATGGTTTCGCACACTTCACATGCAAAAATTGGGAATTTTGGCTTGACGCAGTCTTTTCTAGGATATAAAGGATATACATATGTCATATGGAATGTGGGCCCGTCACCGGTGCGAGCGAGATGGCATGCAGTGTGTGAAGCGTACGACACCATGGGGAGTGAGTGGGATGGAGAATGTTTAAAATCTAGGGGATCATCGTGTGAAATACGTTGGTTAATTACAGCTAGGGTTCGATTTTAGATTGGAAGCCTCGCATTCATGCACTTCTTAAAACCTATGAGATTTCTCATTCTTTTTTATTATTATTCCGCTTTTAGTTTACTTAAAATAGCAGCCGAAAAGTGGGAAATACTGGGTACTGTGCGGGAGGAAGTGGGTGAATTCGGGGTGTAGGGTGTAAATGCCATACCACAGGAAATCATGTCAGAACACAGACGAGAGCGAGGCGAGGGTGAGCTGCAGTTTCAAACTTTCCGGGTTAGGGAACACGAGCAACAACCACGAGCAGCTCACGGCAACAGTAACAACAACTACTATAGAATTGGGTACAGTGTTCCTTCGCTAAGTGCATCGCTTTCAGGCTAAAGTACAGCTAATCTAGGTGATCTAAAATCTAGGCTTCCAAAGTTGAGTTATTATTCCAGCATAATATAAATATAAATAGTAAAATATAAAAATACATCCTGGTTACTCAAAAAAAAAGTAATGTAAATTTAACATGCATCCTGTACAAGAAATTTACTATTTATAATTCAAAACTTGAGCTATTTAAATGCAATTTCTAAGCAAAATATCTATAAAGGTAAACTATAATTCTATGGAATGGAAAAAATTCTCTACTATATTTAAGATATTTTTGCACTTCAAATTGACGTGAAAAGGCTGCCTTTTTACCCCTGCATATGCGATGCATTCAACGAGCCTACACTGCAACCGAAAGTGGAGTGGGTTTAGACTAAACTGTAGCACTGGGCGGCGGCTGTTGGGCCGCCGGCGGTATGACATTCGGAATGGCCACCACACAGGCGCCGGCCCTCGCGAAGGCCATCGGCGCCAGTTCGTTCCATCCGTTGCGCACGGGGTCGTACTCCTCGACGCTCTTCAGCGCATGATTGCCATCGTAGCCGCCGACGACGATCAGGCGATCGCCCAGCAGGGCGCAGCCAATCGCATCCCGGCCCAAGGCCAGTGAGCAGATCTATTTGAGATTGGAGATATCAGAATAAGAAGACCAGGAGTCCCATAACCCGTGCTCACCAGTGTCCAGGTATCGGTGGCTGGATCGTAGCGTTCCACTGTCTCCGTGCGACAGACCATCGGATTGCTGGCCGGGCAGTCGTGGCCACCCAAGGCGTAGAGGAAGCCATTGGCCACCGTCACCTGGTCACAGAAAAGGGAATCAGTATGGAATCAATATGGAATAACAGCCTACTTAGTTGCGGAATTTAACACACATGTTAAAAACATGTAAAATTGTATTTTACAGTGTGAGCAAGTGAGTGAAAAACAAAAGTGTTAAAATGTGAAAAATAATTGTGTTATTGTGTTTTTTACACAATGTGTTATTAACACGACGTGTTTTTTACACACTGTATTTTTAACACAAATAAAAATTAAATTTTATGGACATTAACGAATCGAAGGGAAAATAATATCTTAACTGTTATTTTTAAACGTTTCAAAGCAAATATGGTTTTTTTCAACTACAGAAAAGCGTGGATTTTTCAGTTTAACATATATTTCTGACGTTTTAATGTCAAAAACTCATTGTGTAAAAAACACGCTGTGTTAATAACACGTCGTGTAAATAACACAAATAACTTGTATGTGTTATTTATGTTTCTAACATAAGTAAGCTACAATTTTTAACACACATGTCAATAACTTTTTTTTAACATGTTAATAAGACAAGTTTTTTACAGAGTGTGTTATTTTCTTACCCCCACACCGCCGCGTCGTCGGTTCATCGGCGCCAGGAGGCTCCACTTGTTGGTGTGCGGATCGTAGCACTCGATGGAGCGATGGCAGACGGAGCCATCGCGTCCGCCCACCGCATAGAGACGACCGCCTAAAACAGCCACGCCGGCGGTGGAGCGCATCGAGGACATGGGCGCCACATAGCTCCAGGTGCGGGCAATGGGATCCCATCTGTAGAAAGATTACCACTCATTAATGGCTACTCAGTTACTCGTAATGATGACCTCCTGATCACCTCTCCACCGTGTTCAGGTAGCTCCAGCCGTCGTGACCGCCCACCGCATAGAGCGGTCCCTCCAGCACCGCCACGCCCAGTCCATGCCGCGGCGTGGCCATGGCGTTGAGTGGCGCCCAGGCCATCGTATTCAGGTCCAAGCTCTCCACGGTGTTCAGCGTCTTCAGGCCATCGCGTCCGCCTACGAGTATCAGCTTATCCTCCATCACAGCGGCACCGAACTGCAGGCGACGACCGGTCATGTGCTTCCACGGTGTCCACTTGTCCAGACGCGGGCAGTAGCTCTCGATGCTGATGGCTCCCTTGTGGGCATCCATGCCGCCGACGGCCAGCAGGCGGCCCACCGTCGATTTGCGCGGCGTTGTCCGCTCGGTGGCTATCCGAGATCTTCGCTCGGGCATCAAATGCCACTTGAAGGCCTCCATCACCAGCTGCTGGCACTCGTTGGCCTGGCACACGTTCTCCACATGATCCATGATGAAAGCGGGCTGGAGCAGGGGCAGCCGGACGAGGGCCAATAGCTCCGGGATGTGCTGTTCGCGGGCCGTGGAATCGTGGCGAACCCACGACATCAGACTGTGGAAGACATCCTGCTCGGAGGGCACGTTGAGATCATCGCTGCTCAGCAGCTTGCCCAGCTGGTCGGCGTTTAGCTGGAAGAACTCCTGGTTCTGGCACACCTGCATGAAGTACTGGCAGGTGTAGGCCTGCGCCAAACGCAGCAGCGTCGTGCAGCTCTGCTGCTCCGCAAAGAAGGCGAATCCCAGGCAGTTGGATGGATGCAGCTGGCGGGCCAGGAAGTTACAGCACGCAGTGACCACGGCGTTCAGCTGCAACAGACAGGCGGTGGCCAGCAGCGTCTCCACGGTGTCCTCGCGCATCTCGATGAAGCCCGTGTAGCAGTACTGCACCAGCAAATGCAGCGCATCCCCGTGCACCTCGCCGAGGGTCACCTCCTGCTCCTTCGTCTCGCGCAGCGATCCCGTGAACATCGCCGAGAAGTAGGCGCTGGACGCCGATAGCACCAGGCGGTGGGCGGGGACTCTAAAATAATAATTAAATATAAAATATTAATTGATACAAGTTGGTTTTTAGTAATAATTTCTCTGTGTAGTTGGTAATTGAGGGTCTTGGTATTTGATGATTTTAATTACTATATGTTTTTTTTCTTGATGCTTTTCCAGTTTAGATGTTGGAAGGAAGATAATAATTTTATTGATACATTTTAAAGTTGGTTTTGAATAATAATTTCTCTGTGTAGTTAGAAAATACGGGTCTTGGTACATGATGATTTTAGCTACTATATTTTTTTCTTGATTCTTTCCAACTTTAGATGTTGGAAGGAAAATAATAATTTAAATTATTTTTATAAAATATTAATTGATTCATTTACAAGTTGGTTTTCAATGATAATTTCTCTGTGTAGTTGGTAAATGCGGTTCTAGGTATTTGATCTTTTCTAACTTTAGATGTTGCATGTTAAATAACATTTTAAATAATTTCATAAAAATGAATTGATACATTTTAAAATTGATTTTCAATGATAATTCTGTCCAGTAGGTAAATGCGGGTCTGGGTATTTGATGATTTTAAGTACTATATGTTTTTTTTATTCTTTTCAACTTTAAATGTTGGAAGGAAAATAATAATTTTATTTATATTCAAAAATTATTAATTGATACATTTTCAAGTTGGTTTTCAATAATAATTTCTCTGCGTAGTTGGTAAATGCGGGTCTTGGTATTTGATCATTTTAACTATTATGTTTTTTTTTATTTTTAAGAGATTTACGATTTATGCAAATTGCTTTGATTAGCTAACTTCCGCTGGTACTAAAAATATATCAATTATTTTTATAAAAAATGAAACGTAATTTTGGTTTGCAATTTTGTAAAGATACTTGGAACCATTCTTATTGGTTCACCCCTTGCTCACTCGCACTATTTTTATGACCGCCACTGTGGGATGGTGGGTTCTTTTCCCTTTGTTTACCATGGCACAGTTCGACAGGTTTTCACGATCCAAAACCGGTTGAGTGCAGCGAGCGGGTGAAGAAATCGAATAAAGCTGCAACTGCACTCAGATCGCAAATCGTTATATCTATATCTCTTCATGCTGCTGTCTTCGTCTTTGTTTCCTGAGACGGATATTCCCCTCTCTCTCCCTCTCTCTGTTGCGTTGCATTGCCATTGTTCGGCGAACAAAAACAAAAACAAAAACAAAAACAACATCAAGACGGGGAGGCTCTTTTCTTCTCTTTCCCTCTCCCTAAGCCGCTCTTTGGAGCTCGGGATCCTGATCTCTTCTGCTCTCTCTCTTTCTGCACTGTTGCAGAAAGGTTCACTTTACAGCAGCGGTCACAGAAATATCATTTCCTTAACCAGTTATTATTTTGAGAGGTTTTACACAATATATTTATTAACCATTAAGTTTAAAATCACCTTCTTTATATTATTGCAATTTTCACGAGTTCAATAAACTTTGAAAATAGTTTATCCACTGTTGACATTATTATAAATGCGATAAACAAATAAGTCTTCTTATCGGCATATCTAGTGATAAGCAAAACAAATTGCAAATGACTCTGACATCAACGAAAATGTTATTAAAAACAATTCAATAATAAACGTTGTCTAGTAAATTTTCCACTAGTCAGCTACTAAAAATATTTTTTAGAATTCCTTTGGGAATATTCTTTGATAATTTGTAAGACTTTTTTTAAATTATGCATTACAAATAACAAATTCTTAAGTACAAGTATTTAACTCGACTACATATGTAATTTTTACCACTTGTGCAAATAGTGAAACATTCGATTTTTTATGCCTGATTTACTTTAATTACTTAAAACCAGCTGTATTTGCATTTTGGCTTATGCTATTATTTTGACCGCAACTGCATTTCCTGGACTTGGATCTGCGCAGTGCTATTGTCTTGCCCCCGACTGTGCGCTGTGTGAGTGCGTGTGAGTGTTTACTGTTGGAATTGCGTTGGGGACAGCAGCAGCGCAGCAAAGAGAGCAGACAAAGAACCCAAGTGAAGGTCAGCTGGGGGAGGGGGAGGGGGTGGCGATGGGATGGGATGGGGGTAAAGGGGAAGCGGGAGAGAGAATTGCTAATGAACTTTCCAATTTGAAATTGCCATATTCCATTCCTTTGTCTCCATGGGAAGGAAATGGGAATGGAAATGGGAATGCTTCATTTCCATTGAAAAAGGATCGTTCCACTCACCTCTTGCCATCGATTCCCGCGATGAGGACCACATCGCAGAGCTGCTGGCTATCCACGTAGAGCTGCATCCGCTTGAGGATGTTGTCCGCATGGTCGCGGCACCGGAAGAACTCGTCCTGGCTCCCGGCGGAGTTCAGGCTGCCCAGGCTGTAGTCCCGCGATAGCGATTCCAGTGTGTTGTCCGCCAGCATCGAGATGTGGCCGGATGTGGAGGCAGTGGAGTCCCGGCTGGGACTCTCCTTCTGGTTCACCGCCGACATGGTTGTGCTCCTTTCCAGTTCTTCCACTTCCTCTTCTTCTTCTTCTTCTTCTTCCTCAGCGAGACGTCTGCATCGGAGCGCCGACTGGAAGCTACTGGCTGGCGGATCGTGGATCGCGGATCGTGGATCGGTGGGGCCAATGGAAGTGGGGAGGCCCAACGGTAATTTGCAACAAAGAACGCTGCGTCTTGTTGCAGTTTGTGTATGTGTGTGTGGTGTCGCCTCCTCTCTCTCTCTCGGTTTCTCTCTCGTTTAATGGCTTCAATTGGCCGGGAATTGAATTGCGTGCTGGTTTGGGATCCCGTGTAACTGTAAATCGCTTATCAAGCTCAATGCGCGCGTGTGTGTGTGTGTTTGGTTTATGTGTTTATATACAAATTACACAGCTGTTGTGCGGAACTCTGGCCACATTGTTTTTTTTGCAGCAGCAGCGCAGTGTGACCCTGCGGCAGCTTGCATAAACATACCGCAAACGTCCAAAATACCATCAGTATTTTATTTCAAAGGGGGACTCCCCGAAAAAAATCATCAATTTTAAAATCCCAATGATATAAATAAAGTTGATTAAGCGATTTATCTTTTATTTTTCTTTGATTTTTTGTATTATTTTGATAAAAATTACATACTTCAAACGCCTAAAATACTTTCAGTATTTTATTTCAAAGGGGGACTCCCCGTATAAAATAATAGGTTTTCTTTTTGGGGAACTATGATAGCAAAGTCTAATGATAAAAAAAAAATTTGATTAAGCAATTTTTCTTTTATTTTTCTTAGATTTTTTTTATAATGTCTATTAAAAAAACCATTATTCTAAAAATATTTTATAGTTCCGAGGTAATTGTCGTACTTATCATAAATATTGGGGTTAAGAAAAATAAAAACAATGATCCCCGACCCCGAAACAATGGAAAACCAGAAGAAAACCAAGAATTATGGGCCATATTTTAGGTATAGCTCCCCAACCATATCTCAATTATCTCTCACCATACATGGTATGACTTCGATTTCTTTATTTTCGATTTAATAATAATAATAATAATAGTTCAGTTGTTGTTCTGCCCGGCGTCAACGAGATGTTGAACAAAGAGCAAATGCGGATATGGGAGGGGAGAGAAGATCGAGGGCCGAGATGCAGCTGCATCTGCATCTGCATCGTAGTTGCATCTAGTTGGGCGACGTATTCCGCTTTGGCGTCGACGGCGGCAGATCCATTGTCTTGCACACCCAGCCGGATATATCCACCTCCTCCACTTCCGCCTTGCGTATCCACGGGTGACTCTGCAGAAAGAAAAATAAGCTTAATTATAAGCAGATATTGCGACGTGCGAATATTACCAGCAGGGTCTTGAGATCGGCCCGCTCGTCGGGCTGCTTCTTCAGGCAGATGTCCACAAAGTCCTTGAACTCGGTGGAGAAGATCTTGTGCTCGAGCTTCGGCGGCGGTTCGTTCACAATATAATCGAGCAGCTCGAAGATGGCCATTGCCCTCGGTTCGTCCGTCGGCTGTCCGCCATCCTCCGCGTTGTCCGCGAATATCGACTCCAAGGTGGCGGTGTTCGGCGGCGGGATGGGGTACATGCCGATGGCCATCTCCACCAGCGACAGGCCCAGCGACCAGATGTCCGACTGCACCGAGTAGTGCGTGCCCTGCAGTCGCTCCGGCTGAAACAAAGGAGCCATTATTAGCAGACAGAAAAAAAATGGTAATAGTCAATTTGATATTTTTTAAAGATCAAGTTATTCATATCATTTTGATATGAAAAAAGATTATGTTGATCTTTTTTTATATTATTTGCTCAAATAATACTAAATTTGGTATTTTTTATGATATGATAAAATATCATGTTGATATGATTGAATCTTAAATTTCACATAAATCATATCGGCTTTTTATTAGATCAAGTTATTCATATCATTTTGATATGAAAAAAGATTATGTTGATCTTTTTTTATATTATTTGCTCAAATAATACTAAATTTGGTATTTTTTATGATATGATAAAATATCATGTTGATATGATTGAATCTTAAATTTACCATAAATCATATCGGCTTTTTATGGATATGAAATAAGGTAGAAATAGCCATATTTCATATCGGTTTTTTTTCTGTGCAAGTTTATAGTTTCCCTATATTTTATAGTTCCAGATTACTCACCGACATATAGCTGCGGGTGCCCACGAATGAGTTGGCCATCGAGTCGATCAGCTGGCCAGAGACACCGAAATCACAGATCTTGATCTCGCCGCTGCTGTTGACGAGTATATTGCTCGGCTTTACGTCCCGGTGGATGATGGCATGCTTGTCGCGCAGGTAACTCAGGCCCTTCAGCACGGCCAGCGTGATCCGGCCGAGAATGGACTCCGGTATTCGACCAGCCCGCTTGAGAATCAAATCCAGCGAACCGCCATCCATGTACTCCATGCAAATGCTGATCTCTCCGTCGCTGTAGAAGGCGCCGTAGAAGCCAACGATGTGCGGGAAATTGCATTCGTGCAGGACTTTCAGTTCGCGCAGGATCTGTTTCTTGATCGCCGGCTTCACCTCCAGATGGATCAGTTTCCTGGCCATGATGAGGTGTGTGTGCGTGTGCCGGACCTTCATCACCACGCCGCCATTGCCCGAACCCAGCTCGCCCAGCTTCTCCAGATCCTCATCGGACAGCTCGCCGATCTTCTCCTTCTGGCTGAGGAACACCTTGATCCGCTTCCGCTCCGTGTCGTCCATGTCCAGGCCCTCCAGCGTCTCCGTCAGCGCATCGATGCTCGTCTTCGGCTTCCCCAGCAAACTGTGTGTGCTTTAATTTAACCTCTTAATGAATTTTTGCGAACCAAAACGAAAATGTATAATGTGCAGGCAATTGGGACGGGGGGTGGATTGAAAGTGGGTGATGGAAAGGGGAGGAGGGAAGGGTATTCTTAAAAACTTGTGTTTTATTCCGATACGATTAGTTATTTTATAATAATCTACTTAAGTATTACCCATTCGGAAAAAAACAAATTTCTAAAGCAATTGAACTATTTTTTAAGATTACTAGACGCCTATATAAATAAGCAAAACAGATATGTTCGTAGATTTAGATTCGGTTTTTGGTAAAAATCGAACTTTGAAGTGTGGTTTTTTGTATGTAACTTTGCCAAAACTTGTCCCAAATCGATGAAACATACAGTTTTGAACAGCTAACAAACCTAGAAATTGATCCTTGTCACTTTTTTGGCTGATTTAGGAAAATTAATTTTTAACCCATTTTTACTTTTTGATTTACATCATGATTTTTTGCAAAAATTTGGAAAAATTAAAAAATTTCAGGTTTAAATGCAGATCGATTGGCGATTTTATTACGAGTTCAACGAGGTATGGCATTCCATATTTGGATCACTCTTTCAGTTTTTATGACCAAAATACTATTTTTTTTGCGAAAATTGGCCAAAATCAGGATTTGGATTTTTGGTAAAAATTTGACATTTTTCGTATCAATTTTTTGCTGTAACTTGCTGTAACCCAAACCATATCTCAAATGTTTCTCGCTGTGTAACTATTCTTGTGCCCGCCACTGTCTGCGGTGCGTTGGTTTGTGTGCGTCACATCGAGGAGGTTCCACTACCACCCACACCAGCGAACCAAAAGAGAGCTCTCTCTCTCTCTCGCTCCTACGCTCTTTCTTCCTTGGGCGGATGGGATTTCCTCGAATCAATCAATTGGCCGTTATTAATTAGCCACCTGACACCCTACTGTTAGATAAAAAAAAATTTAAATAAGATCGGTGGGAGGGGATTTACGGGACGGGAGTGACGGGACTACGGCTACAGGGGCGGCCAAAAAACCAGTAATTCATTTAAGATAATATGTATCATATTTACTCTGTGCCCGAGGGGGTTTTGAACGGCGGCGTCGGCGCCACTGTGGCGGCGGCAACAGTTGCCTCCGTATTTACCGGCGGCAGCACCAAATTCAGCTTGTTCTTCGACATTTTCCCGATATCGCTATATATCGCGGTTAACCGATAAGTTATAGATTACAATAACAACAAAAACAATAATAAAAAAATAAATAAAACACAAAGTCTTCGATTCGTTTCCAGTGAAACAACAACAACAAAATGCACGACGAGCAGCGGCGTCCGAAGAGAGGAGGATGAGGGGCGAGGGGCGTCGACGAGGGGGAATGAAGCGGTGGCCCAGTGCAAAAGTTCCGTTTTCTTCGCCAGCCGCTTGTAAATTGGCACTGTTTCTTGTTTCTTTTTGTGCACACTCGATATAGCGTTAATTTCTAACAACAATAAGAAACGGAAAGTCGGTGATATTTTTGCAAAAACTGCGGGTGCAAAATTTGCCGACTTTTTGGTTTTTTTTTTCGTTTGCAGATTCAGTGTGACCACATTCCGCGGAAATACCTCGACGGTTTTGGAGCAGACAAACAGGCACATAAAAGAAAATGTTCAATTTATTGTTACTTTATTGTGTTTACTTAAATATTTATTCAAAAATATACAATTTATTAACAATGAATGGTAAAAACATTTTGTGTTCACCTTATAAATAACATAAATGAATATGATTTATAAATGTTATTCAACAAAATAAAATTGTATGTAAATGCAAAAAAACATTTTATAGTTCACCTTAAAATTAAGATAGTTAAAGGCTCTGTAGCTGGTAGTTGTTTTAGTTTTGTTAACCATACCATCATTTAGGTTATATAAAAAAATATTGCTTATAATGCACTGGGCTATTTAAATATATTCGCACAAAATCGAAATCTAAATAGTATAAAACAAAAAAAGTAACTAATTCCACACCTCAGACGAGCTAAAGAGATCATAATTTAGTTAGCTTATATTTTTACTTTAAGGGGCTGTCCATATATTACGTAATCACCTAGGGGGGGGAGGGGGTCATTGAAATGATTATGTTTGATTACATGGGGAGGGGGGGTCTTGCACAATGATTACGTAATCATTTTATATACATTTTTTTATTTAAAGAATTTATTTAAAAACTTGTTTCCTTTAATTATATCTACAAACTTAGATAGGAAAGCAGAGAAAAAATTTTTTTAGTGGCTGGGCGGCGAAAAAGAAAATGTTTAGTGGTTCAATCACACGAAGGACGCGAAGACCTGGAATGGCTTGACGAAGAGTATGTTGGAGATAATTTCAGCGTAGACGAACCGAATGTGTCATACCAAACTCCATTTATAAACAATATATAAGATTGGGTTGCATCTCAGTTTGAATCCATAGATTAAAACAAAAAAAATTTTATTCTTGGGATTACGTAATCATTGGGGGGGGGTTGCTTTATTGAATGATTACGTTTGATCACCAGGGGGGGGAGGGGGTCAAAAATCACCAAAAACGTGATTACGTAATATATGGACAGCCCCTAAGCTAGCTTTATATAAATAAATATATTCGCAAATTCTTCAGTCTGGAACCTTAAACAAATATTTAATATTTAATTCCCTTCGCGGTTTTCGGTATTTTCGTGCCACGCGTGTACGGTCCTACACTGCCACCAGAACTCGGAGCACCCGCACCCATCGAAACCAAAATAACAATAACATACCGCTTTTCGTGGCCCAAAAATGAGGCTCCAACGGCAGTGCATTGTGGTCAACATGCGATCGGCCATCGTGCTCATCGCGATCTTCGTGCTGACGGGGATCAGGAACAGCGAGACGGCCAGCGGAGGCAACCAGATGGATTTGTCGGACGCGAAGGGCGACCACAAGGACAACAGCAATGCGAGCAATGGGAATCCCAACGAGAACGAGGTGTATGTGCCGCCAGTGGTGGTTAAAAGCAGTGGAGGAGGAGGCAGCGGAGGAGGCGGCGGAGCAACAGGTGGACTCCTGGACAACATCACCGCCTACAGCAGCAGCAGCAGCAATGGCAACAGCAACAACAACAACATGCTGTGCCCCTACGACAAGGAGACGCCCTGCGATCGCCTGCATTTCCCCTGCATTCGTTGCAACTACAACCACGGCTGCATTTACGGTCGGGATGTGAATGTCACCTGCGAGGTGATCCAGAATGTCCAGTGCCAAGGGGAGCGGCAGTTCCAGCGGCAGATGAACTGCCGCTACTGCTACCAAACGGAGATGTGGCAACAGAGCTGCGGCCAGCGTTCCAGCTGCAACTCCGCCTCGGATAAACCCTTCAGGACCAACTGCACGGTTCACCAGGATGTCCTCTGTCTGGGCAATCGATCCTTCACCCGCAATCTGCGCTGCAATTGGACGCAGGGCTATCGATGGAGCACTGCCCTCTTAATTAGCCTCACTCTCGGTGGCTTTGGGGCGGATCGCTTCTATTTGGGCCACTGGCAGGAGGGGATCGGCAAGCTGTTCAGCTTCGGCGGCCTCGGCGTGTGGACCATCATCGATGTCCTGCTCATTTCGATGCATTATCTAGGGCCAGCGGATGGTTCGCTGTATATATAAGCTGGGATTACTAGGATAACCAGGGAAAGGGAATCCACGGGGAAGACTGTAGGCCAAAAGTTTAGATCATAAGCTAAATGTTTCCATTACCATGTAAATAAATACGAGGGCATATTTAACCATTAAATAATATAGCAATTTTAACGAGAATTCTTCAATTAGAAGCTTGTACATAAATAATTGAAAAGTGTAATCTATTAAGAATATTATGTATTATCCATTGATCGTACCAATAAAAAGGCGAAAGAGATATTATAGCCATCTCTTTCTTATTCCTGTAAGATCTCTGTCTATATTTTTATAAAAAAATATATAAAGTATTGGAAATTAGTTGGTTTAATTCATTTTTAAAAATTAAATTCTCTTACAGACATTTTCTATTTTTTCTTCTATTATTAAATGTACTACTGCTACTTTTCTGTATTCTAATTGATAAGTATTGGTATTAATTAATTTTTCGCTTAAATCAGCCGATTTATTTATTAATTTTCCTCGGCAGTTGCTTTTAAAAATGAAATTCCTTTACAGACATTTTTCTTCTTTTTTTAAATGTTCTACTGCTACTTTTCTGTATTTTAAATGAAAAGTATTTTGAATAAGTTCGCTTAAATCAGCCTATTTATTTATTCATTTTTCTTGGCAGTTGCTTTTAAAAATTAAATTTTTTCACAGACATATTTCTTCTATTTTTATTTTTTCTGTAATTTAAAGTATTGGGAATAGGTTCGCATAAATCAGCCGATTTATTTTATCCTTTTTCTCTCCAGTTGCTTTTAAAAATAAAAATTACTTCACAGACATTTTTCTTCTATTTTTAAATGTACCAGTGCTTACTTAAATCTTCTGAAACCCCTTTGTAAACCCCCTCAATCCATGGCGGCCGCCTGCACATCATCATCCGCGTCATCGAACTTGATGTGCTTGGCCAGCAGCTTGGAGACCTTCTCGCGACCGCGTTTCTGCTGGACGCGCACCTTCTTCGAGAGCTTCGCCTCGCGATCCTGTTCGATTTTGCGCCAATAGAGCGTCTCTTGCTGGCCGGCCAGCACTTTGAGCTGCCGCTCGGCGCAGCTCACCTGGCGCACCAGTTCCTCGGCGGCGGCGGGCGTGGCCATGCGCAGCTGGGCCACCTGATCGCCCTCCCTGATGTCCACGTACTTGATGTCCGTATACTGACGCATGTCGGCCTTGAACTCCTTGACATTCGCGCAGGGTTCGAGGAGGCAGCACTCCACAATTAATCCCGGTTCGTATTTGAAGAGGGGCGTGCGTTCCTGCGAGGGCTCCTCGGATTTGGTGGACTCCACGCCGCCGGCGCCGTAGAAATTCATGTTCATCTTGTGCACTGCCTTGCGGCGCTTCGCAGGTACAGGAACTGCATCTCCGGCGGGTTCTCCGCCATCGCTTAGCACCTCCACACCCGATTCCTCCTCCTTAACCGCCTCGGGCAGCTGCGACGAGGGTTTGGGATGGTTTTGGTGGTGCAGCGGCTGCTGCTGCTGATGGGGATGCTGCTCCCGCCAGAGCTTCGCCTTGGCCTCGCTGATCAGGCGACGCTGCAGATTCAAGTACTTGTTGCGCAGACTGCTCCAGCTGGTCTTGGGCAGCACCTTGAGCTCCAGAGCGCTGGGTTCAATGTTCGGCTTGTCTACGATTGCCTTCTTCTTGCGTTTGCGTCGCCGCTTCTTGGTAGCCGCCTCGCCCTCTGTCTTTTCCTCCGCCTCCTCCGTTTCGCTGCCGGTTTCCTCCTCCGCCGTGGAGGCCTCGCTGGGCTGCTGCTCCTCCTGCAGCTTGAGGCGTTTCACCTCCTGCGGCTCCTCTTTCTCGGCAGCCTCCCTCTTAAGATTTCGCTTCAGCGGCTCCACGGTATCACTGGCCTCCTCCGGCGGCTGCTGCTCCTGCTGCTTTTGCTGCTGCTGGAAGGAACGCACGCTGGCCAGCTCTCCAGGATCGGTTTCCAGCGAAAGAACGCCCTGGATCTGAGCAAATGCCTTCACCGCCTTCTCCACGGAGCCGCTCTTCTCGAACTCGATGAAGGCGAACTCCTTGATCTTCCTGGTGCCCGGATAGTGGGGCAGGGAGACATAGGCCACCGGTCCGTAGCGGCTAAACACCTCCTTCAGCCAATCATGAGTGGCATTTGCGGGCAGGGCCTCCACATACAGGGTTTTATCGTTGACATCGCGATGATCGGGAAGCTTGGTGCGGCGGCGCACCTTCAGCTTGGTCTCGTCCAGCTCCAGGAGCTGCGAGTTGCTCAAAGCCTTGGCTATCTGCTCCGCATCCTGGGTGAGCGTCTTGATCTTGTTGAACGTGAGAAAGATCTCTAGGGGAACATCTAGAAAGGAAGCTTCGTAAGTGGAGGTTAAGTTATCCTGGCTTATTACTCACATGGATCCTGCTCCACGTAGCGCCGCAGGAAGCGATCCTTGCTCAGGTTGGCGTCCCCGAAGTAAAACTCCATTTGGCTGCGAATCGAGTTGAACAAATGGCGCTTCCTCTTGCGTCCTCCATCCTTTTTGGCCGGCGTTGCCTCCTCCGTCGCCGGTTCCTTGGCCTTTAGCTCGCCAGGATCGCTGGCTGCCGCCGGTTCAGACTTCTCCGCCGGCGTCACCGGCTCCTGGGACTCGCCCTTCTCCTTCTCGCTGCTTTTGGCGGCCATTTATAGCCGGAAAACCATTTAATTCTCGGGAATTACTTATTCCAATTCGGTTTTGCCTTTTCTGTCAGATGGCAACGCTGCGTAGCTGTAAATTTCAGGGATGTCAGGTATTTGCAACAAAAACCTATCGATAGTTTTGTGGGTTGCAGATATCGGCTTGAATATATTTTGTTTCATTTTGTATAAATGCTGTACAGAAAGTGTTATATAACTGTTATACATTTAATAACATTTTAGAACATAAAAAAGCATTCTATATTTCATTTTGATCAAACAAGCACAATTAAGTGTAAATTAAATATGAAATTAAATTATTACCAAAATCGGTTAAGTGTTTATAATGTAGAAAAAAATTATAAGGAAGTAGACATTTTGTTTTGTTTTGTATTCACTTGAAATATAAGTGTTTTTGAATTGCGTTAATTTATTTTTTTGTATTCACTTGAAATATCAGTGCCTTTCAATTGCATTTCCTTAAATGTCCAATAATCTCTAAAGGGGGATTCCCTAAACTGTTGAATTGCTGAATTGTTGAATTTTGGTCAGCTGTTAATCAGCTGTTCCATACAAAGTCAACTTTCAGAAATTTCAGCAATTCATCAGCCTCGGGGCTGCTGAAAATTTTGTTGAATTGCTGAAAAGCCAGAGTTGTCACCTTTTTTTAAAAGTCGTGGCAACTCTGTAACATTTTAGTATCACCAGTACGCATTATTTATTTTAAAATCAACTTAGAAAGCATATTTGTGGTTCTTTTTACCTTGGTAACACTTTTAGAGAGTAACTAGCAATAATAAATCAAATTTTACATGCTTTAAGTTCCGTGAAATTTTTCAACAAATAACAGCTGTTTGAAAATTCAACAGGAACCATTTTGGGTCGTTCCCTTAATTGCTGAAATTTTTTGTTGAATTTTCAACAATTCAGCAATTCAACAGTTTAGGGAATCCCCCTTAAATATTTTTTGTGTTTACTGAACTGAACTTTATTTTGTATTCTAATTTTAAATCGTTTTAAGTGTTCGACTATAATCTAAAATTTACAGGCGAACTTAAATTTAGCTATAGCTACGGGGCCTTAAGCTAAACAATTCCAGTTTTCATTCTTTTACTATAAATTTACAAGCAAAATTAGACTATCAATTAGGTAACAATAAATTTGTATACTTCAATTCGTTCTGTTATTAATTACAGGCTTAATCTCAATTTTATTATTTACGTTATTCTCTGAAAACTGTAATACCGCTTGATACCCGCGCACGACTATCGCATCCGCCTATCGATATTGCGGCGCTGCGGCAACCCTGCTGCGTTGTTTTGGCGGGCGGCAAAAAAAACACAGGATGCTATGCTAACCTATGTGTGTTTGTACAGTGCGCTGCTCACAATCGGCAACAACAAAACGAAAATAGTCGGCAAATAAGCAGGAAATTGTGTTAATGCTAGTGCAAACTAAACCACCGACCTTAAACCGATCGAATAGTAAGGGTTAAAGCCTGCGGCAGTGAAATATCGGGCCTTCAAATCGGGCAATAAAAACGCAAGAACGCGCAAGCGAAAAAAGCAAGAAAAACGAGGAAACAGACGACGCCGCCTGGTGGATTGGATGTGGTGATGCTCCGCTGAGCCGGGAGTGTCCAGCCATGGAGTCGATAGTCCTGCACTCGGATGTGGCGCGCCTGGTCCTGGGTAAGTTGCCCCCTTGGAGGTTCCCATTGGAATTCCATATTCCCGCAGCATATTCTTGATTTTTGGATTATATTTTCAGGCTACCTGGTCAACCAGAATCTCAAGAGGGCCGCCCACACCCTGTGCCGCACTTCGCCGCACCTGCGCCACGAGTTCCTGGCCCTCAAGCAGGGCCTCCAGACGCACAACTTCCTCAACGGCGGCCTGGAGGAGATCATCTGCGAGCATGTCAAGATCACCGGATTGGGTAGGATTAGGGGTTTCTTTTTAGAAAGGCTATATAACTGAATCTCCTCCCTTTTCCAGTTGCAGGCGCCGTGCAGAAGCTGCCGCTGGAGACGCGCCTGCAGCTGCAGCAACTGAAGCTCTCCGAACGAGTGGGCGAACTGATGGCCACCGGCGATGGGAGCAGCTGCACCCAAGGGAGCAGCACCCCCGGCGAGCCCAGCGTCGCACCGTCGCATCGCAAGAGGAGGCGCCTGTAAATATGCTTTCTATACCCTTGTCCGTTTGTCCGTTTCTAAGCAAACTAGTCTCTCAGTTTGAAAGCTATCGGAATGAAACTTTCCCAAAAGTCTTCTTTCTATTGCAGGTAGTATATAAGTCGGAATGAGACAGATCGGACAACTATATCTTATAGCTGCCATAGAAATAATCGGGAAAAAAATTATATCTTGGGTGTTTTTTAACATATAACATCCTTCTTTTGGAAATACCATTTTTTGTCTAATTCTGAATTTCGAATTAAATTTTATCAAAATCTTTCTACTATTTCATATAGTACCAATAGGAATAGCCTGAAAAATAATGGAACAAAAATTATAGCTTCGGTGTTTTTTAACATTTTACCTTCGTCTCTTAGGAATATTATTTTTTAAACAATTCTGAGTTTCGGATTAAATTTAAAAAAAAATCGGACAACTATATAATATAGCTTCCATAGAAATAATCGGGGAAAAAACGTAAAAAAATTATATCTTGGGTGTTTCTTAACATATAACCTCCTAGCTTTGGAAATACCATTTTTTATCTAATTCTGAATTTCGAATTAAATTGTGTCAAAATCAGACGACTATATTATATAGCTGCCATAGGAAAGATCGGAAAATGAATGGGAATATAATAGGATACAAATTATTGCCTCGTTGGCTTTTATTGTATTCCCTTCTACTTTGGGATACGACTCTTTTTAAATATTTCCGAATTTCGATTTTAATTCTATCAAAATCGGACGACTATATCATAAGTAAATAAGAAATAATAGGAAATGTAATACTTTTGCGATTGATAAATAATAGGAATGATTTGGAAGGGTATATAAGTTTTCCCCCTTTTATCTCACATTTCTCATGCTCAAACTTTCCACTTAATCCCCTATAGACGCACCCAGTCGCCCGTGAACAGCCTGTCCTCGCCTTCCTTCAGCAAGCGACCGCGTTTGCTGCCGCCGCACTTTTACTGCAGCGTCAGCCGCGACAAGATCAAGCAGAGCTTCCTGGGCAGTCAGGTGGGTCCAGAGGAAGCGGAGGAGGAGGAGGAGAGCACCACGGCCACCGACGACCTGGAGGAGGAGGAGGAGGAGCTGCCTGGGCCGCGCAACAATTCCACGCCGCGTCAGCCACAAACGGAGTCCAATCCCCTCGTGCTCACGCCGCAAAGCATGCCAGTATGTGATGAATCATCATTTATTTATTTGATTACTTAACTAAAACTCTATTTTAACCAGGAACTGGCCAGTGCGATCATCAAGAACCAGGACTTTCAGGCGACGCTGGTGAAAAACATAAACGTGGCCCTGCAGACGGTGACTGTGACGAATCCTTCGGTTAGCTGCGATGCGATGCTGGATGGCCTGGTGAAGAACATACTGGAGGCCACGGAGAAGGATCCCTCGTTCGATCGCATCATCCAGGAGGTGGTGATTGGCGATGAGCCGCAGGAAGCTCCTGCAGCAGCTCCTGTTATTCCCGCTGCTATTGCGGATCCCCCCGTGGATCCTGTAGATCCCGTGCCACCGCAAACGCCGCTCATCATTCGCACTGCCGTGGCGGCCAGCAATTCGGCGGCCAGCAATGCCGATCCCAACTTCTCCATCTCCAAGCTGATTGTGCTCAATTCGAACGAGAGTGTCCAGAAAATGGTGGCCAATATGGATACCTCGAATGTGAGCTTCACCAGCGACGGGCTGAATCTAAACTTTGCCGATCCCGCCTCCATGCTCTCGGATGCCGAGGCGGCGGCTGCCGGTCAGGTGTGCGTGGACGCCACCACCGGTCAGCTGACCTTTCCCATGTATCTCTCGAATGGTGGGTTGCTCTCGCACCTGCCCTTTCTGGTGAACAACGAGTGGGTGGCCCAGCAACTGGGTCCCGATGCCTTTGCCAATATGGATGACTCGCACATTGAGATCTCGCTGCCGGAACCGATTACTCTCTCGGCCAATCAGCTGCCCCCCAATTCGATTATTATCAACAGTGCTCAGAAACAGGCGGCGCCACCGATTCCCAGCTTGGAGCCTCCGGTGCAGTTGATCAAGGAGGCGGTTAAGCAGCAGGAGAAGCCCCCACCCGCTTCACTCGACTCTTCCCGACAAGTTATGGAGCGGGTGACGCCCTCGACGGCGGGAATAATCAATGTAAAGGCCTTCCGTAGCTTATCCACTCCCCGCAAGAGAACCTCGCATGTACGAACTTTAACTTTCTCGCCCAAGGTTTCTGCTCCAGCACCTGGTAGTTCCATCCTTCACCCCAATACGCCGCTCTCCACCCGGCGACCTGGTTTGCTGGCCAAAGCCAAGGAGAAGCCCATCATCAATCATGTGGAGATCATCCAGGCAGCCTGCGATCTCAGCAGCAACGAGGGATTAGGCGGTGTGCCGCCTTTATTTGCCATGGAGGAGTGCAGCAACCAGACGGTGATTAGGGCTAATCCTCCAGCTCCTCCGGCAGCTGCGACGCCCAAGCGAAAGCAGAAGCGCCAGGCGGCGGTGAAGGCGTGCAAAAGAATAATCTCGCAGGCGGAAACGGAATCGAAGGGGGATCAAAAGGATCAGGATGAGAAGAGTGCCTCCCACGACGACAGTGCAGAGGCGAGCAAAGAGAATCTCCAGGCGGAGAAGAAGGCGGAGGCGCCCAAAGAAACCATTGCTAGCGAGAGCGACATGGCCGCCTGGCAGCGCCAGTTGCATGGCTCCAATTCCGACTTGGAAAATAGGTTAAGAGAGATAAACTCCAAGCGGGAGGAGGTCAAGACCACCGGTGGTCGTGCGAGGCGTCCGAAAAAGAAGGAAACGCCCAATTCGGCATCGTCTAAGGCCAGAAAAGTCAAGACAAAGGCGACGGCGAAGCAGGAAACCAGCGAGAAGATCAACATCAAGATTATTACGCCACAAAAACCGAAGGCTATCAAAAAGAAGAAGCTGCCAGAGGCGCCCAAAGAGGAGATCATTGACGAGACCATCGAGGAAACCATAGACGAAACGAGAGAGGTGGAAGTGGAGGTGGAGCCACTGGTGCGTCCCAACATGGCCATGCTGCTGGATACGCCTTTCAAGGCTTCTCCCAAAGAAAAGGAAGAGGAGACTGCCGCAAAAGAAGCCGCTATTATTCCACCCACTCCTGGAATGGCCATACCACCGCCAATGGACACGCCATATGGCAAGCTGCCCAGCAGCAGTTTCCTTTTTGGCTCCGATACCAAGAGCATCATGGACACGCCCCAATTGAGCGCCATTACGCCCGGTTTCCGGCTGACCCCGTTTGGCCAGATGCCTGGCACTCCCGTGGGCAGTGCCGCCAAGACGGAATACTCATCGGGCAGCTCCTATTATCGTCCCGACGAGGCGGAGCACACGGATGCGAATGCGCAGTGCGCAATACAGCAGTGGGAGGAGCAGCAGGAGAAGAAGCAGCCAAAGGAGGGCTCTAAAAACAAGGAAGAGTTGGAGGAAGAGAAGAAAGAGCAGCATCCCGAGGATAATAAGGCCACGCCCAAGAGACCAGAGAGGCAGCTTTCACCAGAGGTGGAGAAACAACCTGTTGTCCTCTCCCTGGAACCCACCGTCCTCCGCCGCGTGCGTTCCTTCGGCAGCGAGGCGGTGGACAGTGCCGAATCCGCGGCAGCCGGCTCCTTTACCTCCTCCGACCTGCCGCACTACAAACTGCTGCCCGGCCTGCCCGAGGCCATCATCGAGGGCTCCAGCAGTTCCAGCAGCTCCTCGGCCACCAGCTCCTCCTCCTCCTCGAGTTCGAGCTCCAGTTCATCGAGTAGCAGTAGCTCCTCCTCCTCGCAAAGTTCTCACAGCGAAAGGGAAGACAACGATAAGGAGGAGGAGCAGGAAGCAAATGCCCAGGAGCAGCTCAACATCGACAACCTTTCGAACATCAGCAGCACGGAGGATGAGGAGTGGCTGAAGGCAGCCGGCTCCCAGGATGCCGCACTGCCCATGGACAGCCAACCTGGGCAATTGGTTAGCCAGGATGGCGAGGTGCGCTATCCCATACGCAATTGGCTGACGCCCAGCAAGGAGCAGGCAGCCCAGGAGGCGAATATCAGTGGGGAAGCTCCTCCAGCAGATCCTCCTGCTGCTCCAGCTCCTCCACCTCCCTCTGCCATCCAACGCCAGCAGCTGGACGAGAAGCGCCAGCGTGTCATGGCCAAGTGCAAGCAGCAATCCCAACCGATCAGGAGCCAAAGCAAAAAGACTGCCGCCAAGAAGCTAACGGCCATGCGTGAAACGGCCAAGTTGGCCAATCCCACGGCCCACAAGTCGCCTAAAAAGCGCGAGCATGTGGAGCCGCTCAAGACCAAGGCGGCCAAGAAGATGATAGATCCACCAGAGGCGCCGCCAATCGATCCGCCAGCCAGCAAACTGGATCCCGCCCTGCTCATCGCCCTCAATTTGTCGGCCAAAAAGCAGGAGCCATCCGGCAACAAACCAAAGCCGCCGATTAGCCGGGCAGCGGTGGAGATTGCCGCCCAACCGGCGCCGGGAAAACAACGTGGACGTCCCAAGAGGCCGCTCAACGGAGAGCCGCCCAAGATCTCTATGCGTCGATCCTCGCGACTGATTGACAATAAAAGTGAGTAGAGTAAAAGGGTGAGATCTCAGAAACCACAAAAGCTAGAAGGTTGAGATTTTCCACATATATTCTTGGGCTTCCTAGGCAGAGCAAGTTTATTTCAGCCGGGCGCCACGCCCCCTCTAACGCCCACAATCGCCCACAAACGGCGCCTTTAAAGATTTCCCAGAAGTATAAATGCAATTTTGTTGTGTATCTTTATACCTATCGAAATGTAGAACACATTTTTCAAATCGCACCATTCACTAAAAAGTTATGCGCAATCAAAATTGTATATATCCATCTCCCTCGCACTTCCTTTAGTCGAGTGACGGGTATTAGATAGTCGAGTATAGTGTTCTCTCTTGTTTTTTAAATATTACCTTCCACTCTTGGGAATATTATTTTTTAAATATTTATGAATTTCATATAAAATTTAGAAAAATCGGAACATGATATAGTGTATAGGAACGGTCAGAAATTTAAATGCAAATTTATAGGAATAAAATGATTGCTTCGTTGGTTTTTATTGTATTCTCTTCTACTCTGGAATATGACTCTTTTTAAATATTTCCGAATTTCAATTTTAATTTTATTAAAATTGAACATATAGTAGTTCATTTAGCTGCCATAGGGTCAATCGGAAAATTAATGAGAAATAATAGGAAATTGAACCATTTTGCGATTTGTAAATTAATAGAAATTATTATTAATTATTATTTTACCCAATTAGCTCCTGCTCCGCTGGAGGAGGCACCCAAAGCTGCCCAGGGCAATTCCAAAAAGCCTGTGAAAAAGCGCGCCGAGGCCAGGGTGCCCATGCCCATGGTGGCCGAGGCGGAATCCACGCAGAGCACACCGCTGCAGAAACCACAAGACGACAAGCAGATGCCAGCCAAAGCGGAACCAGATGAAGGCAGCGATTACGAGCAGGACATTTGCCCGAGCAGCAGCCAGGAGCGCTGCACTTTCAGCTACTCTTATGCGGACAACGGACCCAAATCCAGCAATCCCATGATGCGCCAGCCGCTGAGCTTCTTTCGCAACTATCAGATGCGCATGATGACCGACGACGAGCAGGTGCACACGATGCGCATCGCCGACGAACAGTTGATGCAGCTCGGCCAGCAAATGGCCAGTGTGATACGGAATATACCCAAGAAGCGGATACGCCGCCTGACCAGCAATAGTGGAGCAGCTGCAATGGGAGGAAGTGCAACGGAAACGGAAGTTACCGCCGCCGCTGGAGGAGAACAGCCATCGGCCACTTCGACGCCGCTGGCGGAGAAGCCGCCGTCCAGGAGCGAACCGCAGGATGAAGACGATCTGGAGGTGGCCACCATGTAAGTGGTGACTAGATAATAGAGCCCTGAATTATTTTAAATTGTTTCTTTTATGCGAGTGAATTAATTAGAATTTTGAGTCTAATAGAATTGAATGAATTTGAATTTTGAGTTTAATAGAATTGAATGAATGAATTGCATGAATTCCGAAATAATTCAAACGACAATTTCTTTTAAATAAGAAAGGGCCATCATTTTGTGATTAAATCTGCATGAATTTTATTTTCTAAGCAGTTAACATTGATTTGTTAAAAATGTTCACTTTTTGTTCTTAAAAAATTCTTAAAAATTCTTCATTCATTAATTTTGAAATGAATTAGAAAAACATTAAATGTATTTCACATAGAATTGAATTAAACAAATCATAAATTTCATGGCATACTATGATAAAACAAAAATTGAATGATTCACGCAGGGCTCTACTAGCTAACTAGTTTTGAACATTTATTAATTATCCTCATCATTTCCACAGCAATTCAGCTCCTTTAGCAGCGAGCAGCAGCAGCGGTGGTGCAGATGGAGATGGAGAAACCGGAGAAACCCCGGAGAACTCTGCCCAGCAGAAGGAGCCGCACAGCGTGGAGATCGAGGACATCGAGTCGATACTGTCGCACCTTCACGGCACCTGATTCCATCATCGTTTCAACGTTAAAACCTAAAGCTAGGCAATCACAATCACCCTAGTTAAGTGTAGAAAAAAGAAGCAGTCTTGAAGTGAATTTAACCTACTACCTTGGGCCCAAGTTATTATTATTCGGCCCCAGGGATCGTTATTATTAAAGTATTTATTTTCGCTGTAAGTTGAGACGGAGCAGCACAACCTGCTCACAACACAACATTCACAAGAATATCCCCGAAGGAATCACTAATTTATGTTTCATTATCCGCATTCTTATCTAATATATAAATATATATATAGAAATATATAGCGCTGTATATTGATAGCCAGTTGATTTAATTGTTAAGAGTCGTTTTTTTTTTTATTTGCTATTATTAGTATTACTTAGGCCCCGACCGAACAAAAATTTATGATTTGATTTTGTACTCCAACGGATAAAGAGAATATAAGGAAATAACCAAGCCAATCCGTCGGGTGATTTGATTTGACTTTCTGTGGGAATGGAGGTCTCTCAGCTGTCATTTCCATCTGCTGAAATATGCATATTGCATATTGCATATTGCCCAATGATGAGCACCGCACGCAACCTATAATTGGGCATAATTGGAGGGCAATTGAGGCGCTGGTTCGGTTTGCGACACCGCCAGGACGCGAATCACTTTAAATCCCGGCGAGAAGTCTGTGCAATCGGTTGGAGCCATGGAGCTGCTACTAATGGTAATGGTTCATCTGTTATTTCTACCGGCCAACGCAGAGGTTCTCAAGCTGAGTGGGTGTTCTTGGAAATTCGTCTCGATTGAAGAGTTAAATTTCTGATTACTCCTGACAGCCTTTTGGATCGAGCCCGTTCAGCGGGCGGACTTCGATGCGGACATGGTGGTGGTTCTCAAGGAACTGGAGGCCCTTCGTCTGGATGTTAGGATCGCCGACACGTCCTTGACCCTGACCCGCTCGGAAGATGGTTTGGACATGCAGAGGTGTAAGTTAATTGGAATTGATGGTATTCTCGAATTTTGGTTCAGCATTGTAAACCTTTCTTTTTAAATTGGATTACAAAAATATAAAGTCTTTTTGGTTAAAAATATTTTTGTAGATTGATATGATATGATGGTCATTTTGATAGTACTTATTTGATAAAAATTCTATCTTCATATAGCTCATATTCTTTAATCTTGGTTCTACATTGTAAACCTTTCTTTAGTCTAATACCTAAAAAATGTGCTTATTGGATTATGGATTATATGAAGTCATTCTTGTTAAAAATATTTTTCTAGATTGATATTATATGATGATCATTTTGATGATATTTGGTATTAATTCTATCTTGATATGGCCCATATTCTTGAATCTTGGTTTTACATTGTAAACCTTTCTTTAATCTAATATCTCAAAAAATGTGCTTATTGGATTAAAAAAATATGACATTCTTCTTAAAAATTTTTTTCTATATTGATAAATCTATCTTCTTCTATCTATCTTCCTATGCCCCATGTATCATATCATATAAAAATAGTTTTCTAGATTGATATTATATGATGGTCATTTTGATGATATTTGGTATAAATTCTATCTTAATATGGCCCATATATTATATCATATCATATCATTTAAAAATATTTTTCTAGATTGATAAGATATAATGATCATTTTGATGAAATTTGGTATCAGTTCATTTCATATCATATCTTCTCAATTTTAACTTTCGTAGTCTGTGAAATCCTATCGAGTGTCGGCACCAGCGCCGTAATCGACCTGACCTACCGCCACTGGGAGGAGGGCTACGACCTGGTCCGCTCCCTGGGCATCGGCTACGTGCGTCTGGAGCGGCTGATGCGACCCTTCCTGGACATGTTCGGGGACTTTATGCGCCAGAAGCGGGCCAATAACGTGGCCATGGTCTTCATGAATGCCCGCGACACCGGCGAGGCCATGCAGCAGATGCTCATTGGCTATCCCTTCCGCACGATCATCCTGGACGCCAGTCAGACCGATCCCGGCCAGAATTTCCTCGATCGCATCCGCTCGCTGCGCCCGCCGCCCACTTATGTGGCCTTATTCGCCCGGGCGGCCGCCATGAACGGACTTTTTGACAAGGTGGGTCAACATTTAAATAACCAGAAGATTTTAAAAAGATCTCCATAAAAATTCTAGTTTATAATTATTATTATTTTTGAACTATGACGGAATATAGCTCGGTTTATAGTGGTTCCCCCAAAGATTTGTAACCTCTTTCTTCCCCTAAATGGCAGGTCCAAAAGGCTGGACTCTTCCAGCGTCCGTTGGAGTGGCACTTCGTGTTCCTGGACACTCGGGATCGGGTATTCAAGTACCGCCGGCAGGCGGAACTGTGCACCCGGTTCACATTGAGTCCTCGGGCAATCTGCCGGTCAATGCCCATGCCGGATCTTTATTGCGGAAGTGGATTCACGGTGAGAGAAGTTAATAGTTTACAAATTTCGATTTTAAATAGCTTATAACGATGTGGTGATAATATTTCATCGAATTTTTTTTTATGGAAAATTAGAATCTGATGTTTTGGTAAAAATTTGAATTTTTTCTGTTTGTTTTTTGGCTATAGCTTGGCCAAAAATGGCCCTACACCAAAAATGAATACTGTTTTGAACAGATAACTAAATAATAAAAACATTCATAAAACTTCCCTGGTGATCCTGCAAAAATAAAATTTTCCCCAATTTTCAATTTTTTTGTAAGGGGGTACCTCATGATTTTTTACGAAAAATGGCAAAAAAATAAAATCTTTAGGTTTGAATGCCAATCAATAGGAAATTTAATAACGAGTTCAGAATGGTATGACAATCCATATTTGAAACAGTATTTCCATTGTTTGGGGCCGCATATCAAGCTAAAATTGATATTACATACATAATTTTGGGTGTATAAAACAGAATATTTTGAAGAAACTGTTCTTAAATCCTAAAAAGACACTACATTTTATAGAAAAGGTTCTGGGATTTAAAATAAATAAATATTACACCATAACATTTGCACCCCTTATCCATCCGCTAATTAATCCTGATTCCAATCCCCTCCAGATCCAGCGCGCCATGCTGCTGAATGTGCTGCGCAGCCTGATAAACGCGGCGCAGGTGAGTCCCCTGTATCCATCGGGCATTTACCAGGACTGCAATGCCACCGCCATGTCCTCCTCCTCGGAGGTATCTGGGGATGATCTCCCCGATGACGACCACAACTGGCTGGACATGGTGCACTGGAGCAACTTCCTGGCCTACGCCTCGCCGCCGCCGCGCGTCCAGGATCAATCCGGTAGCCCCCTGCCCGGCTTGACCTTCGCGGTGAACATCTCGGCCGGCTACTGGAGCTCCGAGCACGAGGCCAAAACGGATCTGGCCGCCTGGTCGTCGGTGGCCGAGATGCGGCTCCTCAACGAGACAATCAGTCCCGCGCGTCGCTTCTTTCGCATCGGCACAGCCGAGAGCATTCCGTGGAGCTATTTGCGTCGCAACGAGCGAACCGGTGAGCTGCTCCGCGATCGCAGTGGTTCGCCCATCTGGGAGGGCTACTGCATTGACTTTATCGTGCGACTCTCACAGAAGCTCAACTTTGAGTACGAAATTCTGGCGCCCGCTGTGGGGCATATGGGCGAGGTGAACGAACGCGGCGAATGGGATGGCGTGGTGGGTGATTTGATTCGTGGTGAGACTGATTTCGCCATTGCCGCGTTGAAGATGTATTCGGAAAGGGAGGAGGTGATAGATTTTCTACCTCCTTACTACGAACAAACGGGCATTTCGATTGCTATTAGGAAACCTGTGCGTCGGACTTCGCTATTCAAATTCATGACCGTTCTGCGCGTGGAGGTCTGGCTGAGCATCGTGGCGGCGCTGGTGGGCACGGCCATAATGATCTGGTTCATGGACAAGTACTCGCCGTACAGCTCGCGGAACAATCGGGCTGCTTATCCGTATGCCTGCCGGGAGTTTACTTTGCGGGAGAGCTTTTGGTTTGCCCTCACCTCGTTTACTCCACAGGGCGGCGGCGAGGCACCCAAGGCGATTTCGGGTAGGATGTTGGTGGCTGCTTACTGGCTGTTCGTAGTCCTCATGCTGGCCACTTTTACCGCCAATCTGGCCGCCTTTCTCACCGTGGAACGCATGCAGACGCCTGTTCAGTCACTGGAGCAGCTGGCCCGCCAGTCGAGGATCAACTACACCGTGGTCAGAGATTCCGATACCCATCAGTATTTCGTGAATATGAAGTTCGCCGAGGATACGCTGTACCGGATGTGGAAGGAGCTGGCTTTGAATGCCAGCAAGGACTTTAAGAAGTTTCGCATCTGGGATTATCCTATTAAGGAGCAATATGGACACATCCTGCTGGCCATCAACAGTTCGCAACCGGTGGCGGATGCCCGGGAGGGATTCGCCAATGTGGATGCCCACGAGAATGCCGACTATGCGTTTATCCATGACTCGGCGGAGATCAAGTACGAGATCACGAGGAACTGTAATCTCACCGAGGTGGGCGAGGTGTTTGCCGAGCAACCATATGCCGTGGCCGTTCAGCAGGGCAGCCATTTGGGCGACGAACTGAGCTATGCCATCCTCGAACTGCAGAAGGATCGGTTCTTCGAGGAGCTGAAGGCCAAGTACTGGAACCAGTCGAATCTGCACAACTGTCCGCTGTCCGAGGACCAGGAGGGCATCACTTTGGAGAGTCTGGGCGGCGTCTTCATCGCCACCCTCTTCGGACTCATCCTGGCCATGATGACGCTCGGCATGGAGGTGATGTACTACAAGAAGAAGCAGCGGAGCACGCTGCAGATCACCCAGGTGCGTCCGGTGGATGAGTCTGGCGATTCCTCGACTGCTCCGCCCACCGCCAGCAGTACGACAAAGCAGGCGTGGCACATGCCCAATCCGGAGGAGCAGAAGGAGAAGGAGCAGAAGGATAAGCAGGTGTCGCCACCGCCCTCCTTCGAGGCGGCCACCTTTCGGGGCAAGAAACTGCCCGCCCGGATCACCCTGGGCGATGGCAAGTTCAAGCCGCGGCAGGGACTATACGCGCGGAAGAACCTCGGTGCCACCGACTCCTCCCAAGGGGGCTACATGGAGTAAATAAAAAGCTATATATTTTGAATTTTTTTCTCCAGCACCTAGTCTTTAGAAATTTGAATATTCATCAATAAAGCAAGCGAGAACTTAAAAGTTTCATTTGAAGAAAACTCAAAATTGTATTTTCTTGGCTAGAAAACTTTATGTTTAAAAGGTGAGCATTCCCAAAATTTCCACTAATAACTTAAATTAGTACCTAAAGAAATTAATTTAATAAAAATATGACGAATTTCGTGTAAATTACTATCCCATCTTTATAAATTCAAAAGGGATTTTGAAATGTAACGGAATTAGGGGATTCCCCAAAGGATTTTTATCGAACACAGGGCCGGTTGCCGTTTTCTAGCTGCTAGCCTACGGCCACACTGGCCTTGAAATTATCGATAACTATTGAGTTAATGTTATCGGTGTTTCTCCACCTCTAATTCCAGACGAGAGAATTTTCCCCCCGAGCGAAAAAGGAAAAGTCTTTGCTGTTTTATCAAGGTGAGAGGTGTGAATAATAGCGACTGTGACGGCGGTCGCGGCAAATCGATTGCCGCTTTTCGAACGCACAGCTCCGCGGCGGAATTTTCCTGCGGAATCGAGGAATCGAGGGGTTCAAGTGCCACGCAGAGGAAAACTCGGGGAAAACTAGGGAAAAATGCGTGCTCCCGGCGGGGATGTTAAATCAATAGTGGTGCTGGCGGCACTGGCGGCGCTCCTCGTTGCCCCGCTAGCGGTTCTGGGGAGAAAGCATCACCTGGAAGTTCGGGTGAGTAGAAAAAGAGGAGCAACTGCCTCCTGGGCAACCAACTGACCAACTAACCACCGGTTCATCCACAGAATGACCAACGCCAGTACATCGCACTCAGCACCTTTGGCTTCTACACCAACGGCCATTTGGATGTGCAGCTCAGCAAGCTGACGATCGACGAGGAGCAGCCCACTGATTTGGTAGGTTATTCACTAATCCTTTTATCCAATGATCTCACTATTTTCCCTGACTTACAGCTGGGCCTCTCGCTGGACAAGACCACCATTGACCAGCTGAATCCCTACCTGGACTCGCATCAGAACAAATGCATTCTGGAGGAGTCGCCCAAGTCGCAGATCAGCGGTCCCATTCTATTTTTCGTTTTGGACCTCAAGGAGCTCAAGTAAGCGGGCTTTTTCATTGGTAATCCCCAAGATCCAATTAATTTGAGTCTCCCTTTGCGCAGAGTGCGCATCAAGTGCTCCCCCGAGTGGGCCAACATGCACATCTACAACCAAATCCCCTCCAGAACCAAGCGCAACTCGCGCATGGCCAAGATCAGCGATTCGGTGCTCTTCCGCACCACTCGCGATGTCCAGCAACCGTACTCCGCCGAGGGTCCCGACGATTCCATGGAGGATCCTTTGGATCCGGAGCCACCGTCTGAAATTAAATCCTCTTCGCCCGCTGCGGTGGCCGGTAAAATTGAGCTGCCCAAGGAGGAGGCTCCTCAGGCTGCCAATCTGAATGCTTCTGCCAAGCCGGAGGTGCCGGCTGCCGATAAGAATGAAGGGGAGCCTGAAGAGGTGCCCGTTAAAAAGGAGGAGGTGCCCGTTAAACCAGCGGAGGAAGCCCCAGCAAAACCAGCAGCCGTTGAAGCGCCCAAAGTGGCTGCCCCACCACCACCACCAGCTGCTCCCGTTCAAGATGACACGCCGCCAGTGGAGAACAAAAATGAGGATACCGATTCGAATCCCGGCAATCCCTTTCCCCACGACGATGACTCCTCGTCGGATGATCTGTATGCAGCCGGCTCCTTCAAGCAGTCGCAGGAGGATCTGTGCAAGGACTCGACCATGCCGCTGGTCAGGGAGACCATCAACAATGTGAACTACTACAGCTTCAACTTCTCCATGCTGGTGGCCACGCCCCGCGACGAGGGCCTCTACAATTTGTACTTTCACGCCTGTCCCAACTATCACAGCTCTAAGATAATGTCGTTTAATGTGAGTAGCATCAAAAGAATCGAATGAAAAGCTGTAACTAATGTTTTATCTGGTTTTCCAGGTGGACATCGAGGAGAACAACAATGGCAACTATCTGTCGGCCGGCGAGATGCCTCTGCCTGCTTTGTACTTCATGATGAGCCTGCTCTTCTTCCTCTCCGGCCTCTTCTGGGTGTTTATATTGAAAAAGAGCAAGTGAGTGATCCTCAGTCTTTATGATTTATGTAACTAACAATTGGGCATCTTCTTATAACAGGCACACTGTGTACAAAATCCACTACCTGATGGCCGTGCTGGTGTTCCTCAAGTCGCTCTCCCTGATGTTCCACTCGATCAACTACCATTTCATCGAGAAGCGCGGCGAGCACGTGGAGACCTGGGCCATCCTCTACTACATTGCCCACCTGCTCAAGGGCGCCGTGCTCTTCATCACCATCGTGCTGATCGGCACCGGCTGGACCTTCATCAAGCACATTCTCTCCGACAAGGACAAGAAGATTTTCATGATTGTCATCCCGCTGCAGGTGAAGTTTAAGCTTTTTCCATTCGTTATCAGTAATTATTGTGAGCAACCTATGACTAATTTGTCACGTTCATGGTGAATCAAGACGTAGATTCTTAGTAAGAATTGATTCTTCAAAATACAAATTTACATGTTTTTAACATGTGTGTTAAATTCCGAAACCTGGTATTTAACACACATGTTAAAAACATGTAAAATTGTATTTTACACTGTGAGCAAAGTTTTTGACATGTGTGTTAAACACAAAAGTGTTAAAATGTGAAAAAATAATTGTTAGCACACACAGCTCAATTGTGTTTTTTACACAATGTGTTATTAACACGACGTGTTCTTGCGTTTTTAACACAAACCAGGCTCTAATTCTTACGCATACGAAAAGCAAAGTTTAAGCATAAAAGGAATACTCTTTTTCTATGTATTTTTTTATAATTTCTCTCTCATTTTCGCCCTGCAGGTTCTGGCCAACGTGGCCCAGATCATCACGGATGAATCGGACCAGAGCGACGCCGAGTTCCGCACCTGGCACAACATCTTCTTCTTCGTTGATCTGCTCTGCTGCGGCGCTATCCTGTTCCCAATTGTCTGGTCCATCCGCCACCTGCACGAGGCCTCCGCAACGGACGGCAAGGCGGCCATCAATCTGCGCAAGCTGAAGCTTTTCCGCCAGTTCTACATCATGATCGTGTGCTACATCTACTTCACGCGCATCATCGTCGACCTGCTGCAGATGACCGTGGTGTTCCAGTACGCCTGGCTGGACGAGATGTTCCGCGAGATGGCCACCTACGTGTTCTTCGTGCTGACGGGCTACAAATTCCGACCGGTCTCCTCGCATCCCTACTTCACCGTGCCGGACGAGGACGAGGACGACGACGAGGTGGAGGTGCTCACCGAATCCGGGCTCACGGAGACGGTTCATCGGGTGAAGGCGCTGAATCGGAACCACGGCAGCGGCTCCGGCGGCATCACCATCATCGAGGGCAACGACGACGAGCGCGAGAATCTGATTGCCAAGCGGGAGTCGAGCCATGAGTACGATTAGGAAGTCAAGCGAACTGCATCACCCATATTCCCTGCATTAGTCGGTAGTCTGTAGTTCTACCCAGGGTTCGGAAATTGACACACATGTTAAAAACATGAAAAATTGTATTTTACAGTGTGAGCAAAATTTTTGACATGTGTGTCAAATACAAAAGCGTTCAAATGTGTTTTTTACACTCTGTGTTTTTAACACGACGTGTTTTTTACACACTGTGTTTGTTAAAAACAAATTACATTTCACAGACATTACGAGTCGAAGTCGTGTTAATAACACATCGTGTAAATAACACAAATGACATGTGTGTGTTATTTATGTTTCTCACATATGTAGGATACAATTTTTTACACACAAGTCAATAATTTTTTTTTGACCTTAACACTTTGACATTTATCATGTATTTTAAAGTGTGTGCTATTTTCCGAACCCTGATTCTACCCCTACTTTAATATATATGTTTTATGTTCAGAGAGTATCTTGCGGATAGTCAAATCAAAAGCTAAGAAATGCGTTGGCCATGGAGGGGTTAATCTCGTCCTCCACCTCCTCCTCGTCCAGCCGCCAGCCAAGGAGCCCTTGTAAATAATTAATACATAATTAATGGAACGCTTGTGACACCCAGGCCCTTTCCTTGGTTTAAGATATACATATAAATAAATACACTTGTGTAGTTACGTATAATTTTATGAATATAACAAAGCTTTAATATGTAAACTCTAGAGGTTTGTTTTTAGCACCCTTAAGTTGACTGTGTAATATGTAATCCTTTTCTACGAGTACTGATTGCTGAACTTTGGTATAAACTGGATGGTGTAGATCATGTAGGTGCCCACCGAACAGGCAATCTGCAAGAAGAATAGATGAGTAGAGAAGTCGAGGATTCCTTGAGGATTAAAGATAACCCACCCGCGTAAGAAGACTGCAATCTAGAGTGGTCAAACCCAGGCAATCGATTCGCATCGGCTGATGCAGCAGTTGCAGCGAAAAGTTTTGAATCTTTTGGAGTAAACAAGAGTGAGGATCAGATATATCATTACATATAATTAAAACCTGCCTGCAGGGAGAGATCGGGGCAGCTGCAGCAGCCGGAATCGGTGACTATGTTGTGCAACTGGTGGGCAATCCGCGGCACAATGACCATGCAGCTCTGCGAGGCGTAAATGAAGGCGGGGATCTCCAGCAAGGCGGGCAAGATTAAATAGTAGTCTGCAATGAAATCACTAATATATTATCTTTTTATTCCAGCAAAATCTCACCCACCTATATTAACCACATTATTATATATGCTGTAGTACATGAAGTAGCAGTCCACGGCGATCCGGATGTTGATGGTCAGCAGGACGGCCAGAATGGAGAAGTTGAAGGCGCCGAGGAAGCACCTGAGCATGTCGTACACATCGCTGTAGATGAGCTGCTTTTGGCGCAGTCGTCGTCGCAGGAAACCCTCGAAGTTGGGAAAACTCCTTCCAGTTTCGCTGGCAAACCGGGAGTACTCCGCCAGGAGGCCGAGTTCCCGCTCCAGGGCAATCAACTGCTCCCTCACCAGCTCCAGATGCATCACAAACTGAATGTTCCGCATGTACGTGAGGCAGACGAGCGGCTCGTAGGTGCTCCAGAAGAGGAGCATGTGGTTGGTCAGCGGCTGCACCTGCCACAAGCCCAAATGGAGCAGCAGCTCGGCGCACATCATGGCGTACAGGGAGATTAGGTAGCGACGGTGCTGCTGGCACTCGCTGCGCAGGCTCGCCTGGAAGTGCTGCCCATTCAGCTTGGAGTGCAGCCACCAGAAGTTGGCCAAATGCCGCTGGCTGCTCAGCGTCTCCAGATAAATAGCAGCCACGGCCAACTGGGCGAATACGTATTTCAAGGCATCATTCACACAGCCGAAGGCATCGCCGCGATAGAGGAACTCCTCGCCGCTGGTCAGGCACATGATGATCAGGCCGCTCAGCGAGACCAGCAGGAACAGGCTCCAGGCCATCAGCTGCCTCCGCATCCTCGCCGGACTGCCGTCGCCCGGCAGGGGCAGTCCATGGAAGCCGAGCACCTGGTAGAGCCGCAGGTGGAACCGCAGGACGCGACCCAGACGGCCGCTCATCGTGGACTGTTCGGCGCGGGGAGACTTTTCCCATCGAAAGGGAATTATCTGGAGGCCCGATCTGCGCTTTAATACCATTAGCCTAAGTGGGTGCTTAAGAATACTGAGAAAAATAATAATAATAGATATTGGATTAGATATTCTTATCGTAAAATCTGTTTATGAAAAACCCATTTCGTTTTTACATGAACTACTCATTTCGAGCATATCAAATTTAAATTTCAAGTTAATATTTATATTATTTTTTTAGAAGAAGAGAGCAAATAAAAATCTCTTAATATCAAAAAAAAAAAATAAAAATTGACATTACTTAATGTAAAATCGATCTTCGCTTCATATCGATTTTTTTGAATGCATTCAAAGGAACTTATTTATGATATATTTTTGAGAATAATTTATTTGTAATCATAGTGATTTTTATACTCTTCAGTTTACATTTGATGAAATATTTTTAAATGATTAAAAATAGTTTCATTCCAAAGATCTCATTCATTTCTGATGTTTGTTCTACAAGCGGTTTTCAATGGCGGCGTTCAGCCTTAGGATAATTGCAATTAGCAGATAGTACTTAAAAACAGATGGCTAAGTGAACCAGTATTTAAAGTTGGAAATTAAATGGTACTTAAATAACTGAGTGCATTTTCCTATTGGACCATTAAAATGGATAATTTTATGTGCTTGAATTAAATTATTTGTGGATTCAAGATCAAATTATGTGCACTAATTGGACAGTCTCTTTTTTTATACATCAACTTTCGAGAAAATGGCCACGTTTTCGTTACTTGATAGTTATTCCGATTTAATATATTAGTTTTTATTATTATTATTAAAATTATAACACACAAAGAAAAGCATGTAAAATCGATATGTTCGTGTAAATTTCTGGTTATGCAAGTTAAAATTGATATTACATTATGTAAAATCGATCTACATTTCATATAGTTTTTTGTTTTGGGTGAAGAATAAAAACTTATTCATTTATTATTTAAACCTTAAAATTTATTAATGTTATTTTTAAAATTATAAGAACACAAATTGATTTTTCTGAGTGTTTGTACGCATTTATTCATTTATCATTTAGATCTTAAAACTGAAATAATCAACTTAGGGGACTAGGAAAAAAAAGAGCAATAAATAGATCTTAGATTAGGCGAGGTGTTGGTCCCGTTGGTCCACCTACAGGTAGGGCCCACTGTACTGGTAGCCCTGGACATGGCCCACATTGTAGCTATCGACGCCGCTGTAGGTTTCCGCCGCGGCACTGTTGAATCCCTTGGACTCGGGCCAATCCACGAGGGAGGATGAAGGTCGCGGGCGTCGGCGAGGCGGAGGAGGTGCGTACGTGTCCACCGGCTCCTCCTCCTCCTCCTCCTGCTGGCCATAGGGATCGCTGGAGGAGGGCACCTGGACGGAGGGCCGGAAGTCGCTGCTACTTCCGCTTGCAGAGGAGGAGGGTCTGGAGTAATCGTATCCGTAGGAGGAGGATTCCTGAGGAGCCTCTAAAGTGTAAGCAGGTTGCACCCGGTTTGACTTGGAGCTGCGATGCGCCTGGCTGGGCGGGATGTAGGCGTGGCTGGGCGGGGAGTAGCTATAGCCCGAATCCGTCTCCTGGTGATCCACGTGCTCCTCCACGGGAGCTGGCTCCGCATAGGCGCCAATGCCCAGCGAAGAGTGATGAAGATGATGTTTCGCATAATGATAATCCTCCTCCTCCGCCTCCTGGAGATGCTGATGATGATGATGATGGTGATGCGCCGACTGCTTGGGACGCGACTCAATCACGCGATATGTCTCCACGGCGGGCTCATGGTGATCCTCGTAGTCGTAGCCATGTGGACGGTGCTGCTCCTCGATGATGGTGTAGGTGTTGACCTTCTTTTTAGGCGGAGGAGGAGGCGGTTTCTTGGCGTAGGTCTCTGCGAGATGATCGGCCAGCTCCTTGGCGTGATTGAGATACTCGGCATGCTCGCTCATGTGCTGCGGCTTGTCCAGATCCGAGAGGATCACGCTCTCCAGCAGAGGACTCGGCTTGGGTCTGGGTCGATTGGCGCGACTCCGGAGCAGCTGGTGGGGATGCGGATGGTGGTGGAAGTGGTGGATCACCTTGTGCGACGGCTCCTCCGCCGGAGACTCCTCCTTGGGTACATGCACCTTGATGTGGACATACTCGTTGCCAAATCCTGCTGTCAAAATGGGCAGGAGAAGCATCAGGAGGAGTAGCAGATGGGAGCCAATCCATGCCATGTCGTCTCGTCGAGTGGTCATCACCTTATGGCCGCCGCCTTGCCAAAATTGGTTTAAACCGAAGTCTTTCTTTTGTCAAAATTTATATACAACCTCCATCGGTGGCGACGACAAGCATCTTGACCTACGGGCCCTCGGGTGAAATGGGTAGCACTTGGCCCTCAGTCGACCCCCGAATGCCCTATGTTCCCGAAATAAGCACTGTGTGTCATTCGTGGGATTTGTACTATTAAGTGGGTATACTTTATTGCAAAATTGGAAAATTATTTCTGAAAATATTATATTTCGCGTAGAGAAATGTTAAAAAAAAATATTATAGTCTCAAAAAAAAGTAGATTATGGTTTTCTTCGTTTTTTGTTATCGCAAAATTACAAAATAATTACTAAAAATATTATATTTTTTAGTGTTAAATAGTTATATCAAAAAAATGTTATAATCCTAATAAAACGTAGATTAGTTTTTCAGTTTTTCATTTTTTAAAGAGATTACCAGTGAAAATATTATATTTCTTAGTTTTAAAACTTAAAAAAAAATATTATAATCTTAAAAAAACTTTTTTTTCTTTGTTTTTAAAACTGATAAAACTAAAACGCAATAGAGTGATATTTTTTAAAAAAGATTACTAATAAACTTTCCATTATATTACGTATACGCCCCTTATGTTTCTTATCCATTTGCTTCTGAGAATTATGATTTCTTGGCTGCTTTCTTTGTGATCAAAAGGAATTTTGCATAATTGATATGTATTAATCAATTTCTGACGTCTTGGCCTATCAATGGACCTATTCCCGATATAATGCGTAACGTTTACGATTGATAAATGGAAAATAAATCCCATGACGTATTCTTTTTTTATTTATTTATTTTAATGTTTTAATATCGTTCTATTTGAAATTTTTGTTAGATGATCTTATAGTTAGGTACCCCGAAAAATAATATAGGGCGTAACGTTTTCTATTGATAGCTGAAAAATAAATCCCATGACGTATTTTCTTTCCTATTACCGTGTTTTAAAGTTTTATTATTTTTCTATTTACATTTTTTTGTTAGATGATCTTAAAGTTAACATCCCCGAAAAGCAGGTGAGTGTGGATAGTGTAAAAGGCAACTGTAAAATGTCATTTTCTTGCAATCCACCGTTCGACAGCATCTCATTCTCTCTCTCTCTCCCTCTCTCTCTAACACCAAATCCAACGGTGTTTTTGGGTTTTGTGGGTTTTATTTGTTTTAACTTTTGTTTTCATTATTATTGAAATGCGATGCATATATTTTTCTAGCCGCCAGCCAAACGACGACGGCAACAACAACGAAGGAAAGTTAATACAAATTGAATAATGAAAGCGACCTGATCTGTTCGAACTATCGGGGAAATTACAGTATCTATGGATACAGATACAGATACAGATACAAATGCGCGTTCATTCATAATCGAAATTCTCACTTATATAATACAAATATTTTTTAGTTTCGCACCGCTCTGTGTTTTTCGCCACGAAATCAATAAAAACATTTAATTGTGATGCTAATGGGCAAAAAGATACTGAGAAAGTTGCGCCTCGGCATCATTATCATGATCATCATTATCAGTATCATTATCATTACCACTCTGAAAGCTCTCTCATATAAAAACAAAAAAAAACCAAACAAAATTTAATTAAAATGCAAGTGGCATATCATATGGATTGAATATATTTCGAGAAGTTCGGGATGAAATGTAATTTATTCGCATTTCATTTGCTCGATTCAATGGATAAAAAGTTCTGATCCCCGAAACCAATTTATAATTCCAATCTATAATTCATGAATATTAAATATCGGTTCACACGCTTTTCAGTCGGCGTGGAAATTAACCAGAAAAATGGGGAATGCAAAATCCAACCCAGTTAAAAAGCAATAAATGGAAAGAAAAGAAAACGGCGAGCGAAACAATCGAAAACGTGTTTATATGGACGGCAAACAAAAGCGAAAATATTCATGGTCAGTTGTTGGATGGGGGTACTTCGGGGTATATCGGGTATTTCTAGCACTCATATTACGTATACGCAAAAGAAGAGGGTAAGAAAATAAAACGAAACCGTTCCATTAAGTCGTAAAGCCTATTAGACGACGACTAATTGACTTAGCAGCCGAAAACATTCTAATATCTGAATTTTTGACAGCCAACGCTTTATAATCGGAATTCAACGTATTATCGTAGAATAATCTCTGCCTAATAGAATCTGAAAGTAGCAAGAGCCCTTTTAACCCTTGAATTGCCGGTTCAATATTGACGGAAGGAATAGTTGAATAAAACATATCGGAAATACCACTGGAAAATAGTTGAATAACAATAACTGAATAGAATTCTTCGGGTTTACTGGTCAAAGTGAGTATATTTAACCTGTTATTTTAGAAGAAACTTTTTTTTATTTTATCCAATTTTATTTTTGGGTTCTACAGAAATTAAAACATTTAAGTTTTCTAATAAAACAGTCTTTAAATTGTATTTACATTTGTATATTATTGTTATATCTGAAAATGTTAGAGATTATTATTAAGTTTTGAAAAAGCAGTGCTCCAGAATGTTTGAAAAACTATTTTTGTGTTTTTTGGTGATGCAAATATTTGTAAAAAATGAAATAGTGACATATATTAAACCATTTTTAGTGTCTAGTTTAAAAACAGCAATAAATAAAAGTCGTTAAACTTTCACTTTTTTGTAAAGAGATAGATTAGAGTCATAAAACTCGATTCAAACAACATCATTTCCAAATAAAATATAATAAAAATGTTGCTGATCTAACCATCATGAATATTAGTTTGTAGCCCAAGTTCGAGGTATACTTGGTCGTTAATGGGTTAAACTAACGGCCGTAATCGATAACGCCGCCGCAGCGCTCTCTGCCGACGCCGACAGCGACTGCGGCAGCGGTGGCGACTGCGACGCCTGCCTGCGTCGGCGCCAAAACAAAACAAATCAGTTTGAATTCTGCCTTCAAGCGCTCTAGAACAAATCAGCCAATGTTCTGAATCTGAATCCGAATCCGAATCCGAATCGAGACGTTACTTTTGTTTACAACTCACGTTTTGTTATCATATCAACGGACGCGACTCTTTCTTTTTATTTTGTGTTTGCCGAGAGCAAAAGAGCTTTTCACTGCTTTCGTGCGATAAGAACTCATAAGAACTCCCCACTTAGAAGCCCGAGTTCCGAACCCTTTCAGATCTCCCAGCCAGAATGTCCTCCGGAAAGATCCTGCCACGTCGCCAGGCGGTCCCAGTCCTCTACACCAGGGGCACCCACTACGAAGTGGGCTTCGATATGGTAAGTAATCAGTGCTGCCATCACTCAGCTTGAAAAACAGGACAGATAAGCCAAAAAAAACAGGGAAAAAAAGGACAAAAAATTTTAAAAAAGGACAAAAAAAGGGACAAAAGTAAATGCGCCTCCATTTTTCTGTTTTACCAATGGGTTATATAATTACTTAATTTAAATGGATTTTATATTAAATTCAATTATGTAATGACCTACTGCGCCCGACTCACATCCTTCTTTGTTTGAACATTTTACCATGGTAAATTTTTGTGCGTACACACAAAAAAAAAACTTGGTAAAATCAACTGTAATAATTGTCAAACAGGCCCCAACCAGCAAAATTGTCAATTCTACTAAGTAAATAGTCATTTTACAACAACAAAATACACACAATTAGCAAAGACACAAACCCAAAGCAAAAACAAAATACACGTAACTATTATAATAGTTACGTAACTATCTTTGTTGGTCAATTTTACCAAGCAATTTTTTTGTGTGTATACGTAATAATCTAAAATTATTAAAATAATAAGAGCATTTCAAGTAACTATATTGGTAATACAAAAAAATTCAATATCTGCCTCAAACCCGACGAGACGTAAAAATCTGAAATTTTTTTCTGACAAAAAAGCAGAGAGTAAAAGTTGAGAAATTTTTAAAGTGTTTTCCTCTTTTTTTTGCTACAGAAAAAATCGTACTATAAAGAAAATCCATCGACTGCTTTACGTCTCTTTGATAATTTGTAAAAATAATTATTTTTTAAGTGCCGAACTGTAAGATTGATGGTTAAAAAGGCGTTTTAGCATATAAAAACAGGTTTACACACTTTCGACTGGCAAAAATAACACTCAAAACCTTATTTTTGAAAAAAGGACAGATTTCCGGATAGGGGATGTTTGAAATTTTTTCCGGATAAACCCGTTAAAAAAAGGACAGATCTGTCCGGAAAAAGGACAAAATGGCAGCACTGTAAGTAATCGAACTCCCCCCACCAAAACCTTTGCGACCTTTAAGAACTTTCGTTTACCTTCGGTCACGGCAGCTAAATTTTTAATGAGTTTGTTTATTTTGGGGATACATTCAAATTTATAAATTTAAATCTAACTATCAAGAAATAATTTCAGTAATAATAATATAGAATATTATAATTTCATAGCCTACTAAAAAATATAAATAAAAGAATATCAAGTTACCACATAAAGATAAAATATAATATTATTTTTTTGGGCCAAAGTCTAGCATAATTAGCTACATATTTTAACCACAAACGATGACCTAATGGATTAGGATTATCTCAACCCAATTACTTAACTGAGAATGAGGTAGAACACAATTCCCACCAAACCATTGATTCTTTTAGGCAGTGCTCCCTGTGATATGAAAGACTAGAAATTTTGCACTTTTTTGCACCCCCAAATGGGTCGTTCTTATATGGGACTCTATCTGATAACCCACATTTTTATCTGGATTGCGGTTGCTATAAACTAAAGCCAGTTGGGCTATATCTTAATGTCTGGCCCCCCAAAGACCTCGATTCGTTTGACAACTCCCGGACCCAGACGCTGTTTACAAATGCAGATTCGTGATTCTCGTGGCTTTGTCTAACTGTCTTTTTTTATTCTACCAATCGGGCCAAGAATATTAGCTACACTTGAAAAACAATAGAACTTATGAAGATATAGAACTAACAATAAAGTAATATTATATTGTAAAGAAAAGATTCCATGTAATTATATTCCCATTTTGATATTTAAATATTATAAAATATTTTAATGCATTTCTAAAAATGAAAGACTTGTTGGCTATGCAGTTCAGGGACCTTTTCCTTTCGGTAATAAAATATTTAGCATTTTTCGATGGACGTGCCTCGGCATCCGTGTCCATTTATGTCGCTATGTTCGGGACCCGCCCAAAAAGGTTACCTCAAGTCAAACTCTATACACTTTGCAACGGACAACGGACAGCGGACAACGGACAACGTGTTCAATATATTGTTTAATTTGTATAATTATTCATATTTTTTGTGTCTTAGTTGGTGGCTTTGTTTACCCCACCGATCGGTCGTGATCGATTATGTTTCTGTTTCTGTTTTCGATTTCATTGTTGTCTTCCATTAAACAAACACCCCGAGCGTTTTGGCGAATCGATCTGAGAGTTCCGAGATCGTGTCCAAATGGGAAAGCACTTAATCGTTTCGAGTAATAAATGTTATAATAAAAAAAATACATTTTAATTGCAGGGCCGCACATTTGGCTCGATGATCAAGAACTTTCTGATCTTATCGAAGCCCCTCAACGAGACCTACTTGCCGCTCTATCATTCCCCAAAAGGCAGTGAGTACCGAAAGTGATGGTGTAGTGAAGATTTAGTGATTCATGATGATCTGGCTTGCTTTCCAGGGCAAATCTACAATGAGACCCTGGGATCGGTGAAGGACAGCTTCCCCCAGTACATTCGCGAATTGGAGGGCGTGGCCGATGGTGCGGAGGTGGAATTCCATAAGGTGAGTCAAGTCCACACAATTAGCACCCAACTGTAAACGGGCCGCTAGTCAACTAATCAGCTAATAAGCTAATAAGCATTTTAGCAAATATAATATAATACACAATTAAATGGCCATTAAAACGAATACACATAATTGCATTGCACTGGCTGTGGCTCAAATATTGTAATGGCAATCGAATCGAAACAATAATAATCGCACCGCAAGGCCCGTCGTCGTGGGAGTGGGTTCACATGCTCAAAAGTTCCAAGTTCTAACGGTAATGGGGTCTATCTATAGGTCCGAACCCAAGTTTAAGAGGCCCAAGTTTCGTGTTGCGTGTTCGGTTGCCAATTGTAACCCCAATGACAACATTAAATGCGATTTGCGAGTGCACTGCCCCAAGTACAGTGGTAATTGGCTACTGGCCATTAGCCTATTCCATATTTATGGGATGGGATCGAATCGCAATCGAATCGATCGGATGTTATCTAATCAATCGTGCAATTAGATGGTTTGCCTTTAATTCCGTTTTAATTAATTCGATTGCACAATCGATTAGGTGGCTAACAAAAACAAATACGCTGTTAATTAGCCAGTCGTGATTAGCCGGTGACCACTGTGCGCGAACAGAACTCGAAATGTTGACCGTGCAGAGCGCAGACATTGAACTAGTTCCGTTGCTGGGGTCTTGAGAATAGAATGATGTGATAGACAGCCGGTCTTTCAGCCAGGTGACTGTCTCTCTCTCAAAACTATATACCCTTTTATGGGGGATCACTTGGCTAGCTGTGATTTCGTGCTACGGTTGGGATCTTAAATCTATAACAATTATTTTTCTCATTTATAAACTTGTAGAGTTAGGATCTCTAAAGATATTTTTCTTACTGCTTTTTTTTCCCAATTTTACACTTCGTATTATAACAAACTTTTAAATACTTACATATTTTCTATATTCAGTATAATATCTTTATATCTACATTTTGTTTTTTATTTTCTTAAATGAGGGATTTTATTAGGTTAGGAACTTAAATCTATAACAATTCTTTCTTACTTCTTTTTATCCAAATTTACCTTTCTATATTGAGGATAATATTATAGTTTCTACATTTTGTTTTTATTTTCTTATATGAGGGATTTTATTAGAATATCATAATTATTAAATGGGAAGGGTATTCAAAAGCTTCTATACTCATTACCTTATTTTCTAAGCCAATTTGTCATTGGCCAAGGCGCACATATAAATAAAAAGCCGTCAAGAGAAGCCGGCGAAAGAGGAAAGACGGTGAGGAACCCTTCTTTGGCTTCTTCGAACTGCGATTCGAATTCGATTCGATTGTTTGAATTTAAATTGGGAGTAGGATTGGGAATGGGAATGAAGATTGGGAATAAGAGGGTGCTGAGAAGTAGAAGCCATCAATTAAACGGGCTCATTTGCATGGCTAAGTAGCTCCGCCATGGGCAGATGGAGATCGGATCGGATAGTTTGGGGGCCTCGATAATGTGTTATAATTTCTGCGCTCGCCTCTCCGATGCCAATTAATTGCACGCAAAAATCGCACCGACCTTGGCCAAGTCTACATAGAATATCTGGCTATGGTCACGGTGCGTCGCCTTCGTCTTGGTCTTTTCTCGCTTGGATTGTTGGATTGCTTGGATTGTCGGATCGCTTGGATTGATCATTATGCCGCTCAGGTGGCGGTGGCATTTTATAATTCAAATTAGTCGCATTATGAGTGCATTAAAGCAGGCGATTTTATGAGACACACAATTATTATTGTCTTGCGGTCGCTACAATTCTTTGCCTTATTAGCAGGGGCTGCCAAGATGATAGAATAATAGATAATATATACCCGAGATAAATACTTAATTATTCCAAATTTATTGGCCCGCTCATTTAAGTTTTAGAACTAATGAGCCATTATATTACTGGGTTTCGTTACAGTTTATTAATCACTTGATAATGAGACTACTTTTAAAAATACTTTTAAAATATTTGTTAAACGACATTGAACTTAACATTAAACTTTAGCAAAATGCAAAACTGGTTATAAAAATATATGGAAAAATGTGCAGCAAAAGATGTTGCCAAAAGCGCAGCAGCTGCTTTTATGACCAAAGCGATTAAAAACAAATTATGGGCACATATTATAAATAATAAATTGAGAACTATTATATATTTCAGCTATTTTTACTGCATCTGGATGAGATTCTGCCGCAGGCTTTGAAGCACCAGCCGCGCAGCAAAAACCAACCCACCGGCTGCTCCACGATCATTGTCAACCAGAAGAATTGCGTGAGTAGATTTTTAATTTTTATAATGTTTATAATTATTAATATTTTTTAATTTAATTTAATATTTTTTAATAGCGTCTCTTGGGCCACACCGAGGACGCCCTCACGGAGACCCTCAACCACTACTACTTCGTGGTGGCCCACATCATCAGCGACAAGCCGCAGGGCAAGTACAACGTGAAGGAGGAGCACTTCATGTCCCTCTGCTACGCCGGCCACCTTCCGGGATACACGATGAGCCAGAACCACCACGGCCTGGTCTTCAGCATCAACACTATCAGTGCGGAGCTGTTGCGCAGCGGCAAGACCCGTAAGTGTGCTAAAAAGATCTGGGAAAATATATTATAATATTATTGGAAGGCCCTAATGTCTAGACTTCAATTTGAATATACCTACTTTAAAATATACATTTTTTTAAGTGATAATAATTAAGTATTAATTGAACCCACTGATGTAGCATATTTTTTAAATTAAAAAAAAAACTATATATCATCTCTGCTAGTCCTAAAATATTAATATGGATTTTTAGAAACAAAAAAATAGTCAAAACATTTATTAAAAATATAAAATATTATTGTAATAATTTAAAATATATTTTTTAAATTAAAAAAAAACGATATATCATCTCTGCTACTCCTAAAGTAATATCAAGAATTTTAACAACTAAGAAATTGTCAAAACATTTATTAAAAATATAAAATATAATTTTATTATATTATGTTCTGCATTCATTTTCCCCTTAAAATGCGGGAAATTGTATGAGAATATTATGCGAAGGTTTTAGTATCTATCATTGAAAAAAAAAGATTTAAAAAATATATTTTTTTAGAGAAAATATACTTATTTATCACAAATATAATTAAACCCAGTATTAAAATCAAAGAATAAATAAATTGAATAATCCATTTAAAATCCTTTTAACTAGCTTTTTAAAATACTCTATATTTTTATAAATTTTCCCCCTCAGCTCGACACTTTATCACCAGAGCTCTGTTGGCCACCAGCAACGTGGACGATGCCTTCCGGGTGCTCAAGGATGCGGGCGTGGGAGCAGCGGATGCCTGCTCCATCAACTTTACCTTCCTGGCGTATGTGAAATATATATGTAAAATTAAGGATTCCCATCTTATATATGTTGTATATCCCAAAAACCAGCGATCCCCGCCAGATGTGCTACAATGTGGAGATGGCTCCTTCGCCGGAGCGCAAGAACGAGTCGCATTTGAACATCAAGGAGGTGCCGCTGGGCGAGCATAATTACCATGTTAACCAGTGGGTTGAAATATATATTTTATTTATTATATTTTATTTAATTTATTTTATATATTTTGCTAACCAGGTTCGATCGCATCCGGCAGGATCAGGCCAACGATCTGATGATCGACTCGAGTATCTCGCGAATGCAGACCTTCGGTAGCTACAAGCCGCCGATGAGCGAACAGGATGTGCGCCACATGCTGGGCGACGTCTCCGGCGGCGTCTACTGCGTTTGGCGGGAGAACAAGAGCTGCGACGAGGTGGTGAAGACCATTGCCGTGGGCATCTTCGATCTCTCAGCCAGGACGATCTCCCTGTACTCGGACAATCCCAGCGAGACGGAGCCCCACTGCCGCCTGCCGCTGCTCTTCAAGTAGATCCTTCGCTACTTAACTACTTAACCATTCTCAAATGACCATTATCTGTACTCCACCATATGCAGGTATTGCCACGTTTTTGTATTCCGAGTATTGCATTTCATTCAATGTTCTATATTCCTTATTTTTAAATTTACCAGTGACTTACATTTCGGAAATCTAAAAGAATTTAAAGAAAATTAGAAATTAAATTTTAGATATATTTTTTATTTTTTTTAGGCACTGTAAGAAAATTTTTGTATCATTCATTCGATTTTGTGGCTACTGTTCTTAACATCTTATTATGCATTGCTTTTGATTTTTGCTTTATTGGCTTATCATATTTGTATTAACCTCTACTCAAAGACCATAAAATATACTCATTGAATTTATTACACTAAAATATCAACTTTTTCAGTATATGTATACACACTCTTAACTCATTTTCTTTGTACCAAAAATAGTTTAAATATTTTTTTATCTATCTAAAAATTAGTCAAAAACATTTTAGTTTGATTTTTGTAAATTTAATCCAAATGTTTGAAAGTTTGCATTTTGGCTTTCCTTCAAAAATGTTATAGTTTTTATTTATGAAAATTTAAATCTGTATACGGAAACTGATATAAATATCGTATGTATGATGTACATTAATAAATATATATTTTCTATATAAAAAAAATATGGCAGTAATTTATTTTGACAGATGAAAATTATTATTATTAACATGAGTTGAAATATCAAAAAAATAGCCTTCTCCCAACTTCTTCAGATTAAAACTAAAATTGAAATGAGTGGTGATTGGTGATGATTTATTATAGCAGTCTACCACTTAATTGTCTTCCCTTTTGTGTAGCAGAAGGTGTTGTTGCTTTTGACGTCTCGGGATTTTTTTTTGTCATGTCATAGCCGTGACAGGTCCTTTTTGATTGGGAAGGGGGGGTCCTGGGATTGTAGATTACAGATTAGAGATTAGAGCTTCCTCAGCTTGCTGGCCACGACGAGGGGATTGTCGCGGCGGATCTCGTTGGCGCCCATGCCGCGGTAGTCGAAGCTACACTCATGACGGTCACTGTAGCGGTGGACGGCGCAGTAGGTGCCGCCGCAGCGGCAGGGGAATCCCCCGGTGAGTCCGAGCTTCTTGCCGCACTTGTCGCAGCGCTTCTTCTGGTTATCCTGGTCGCGGTTCTCCTCTTGATTATCGCGATTATCCTGCTGGCTCTGCTTTTGGTTTGAGTCTTGACCTTGCCCTTGGTTTTCACTGGATCCGGAGGCACTTTGACCCCCGTCGCCGCTGTTCGCCGCCTTCGAGTTCTGCTCACCCTGCGCCTGCTGCTGCTGCTGCCCCTGATCCTGCTGATCCTGCAGGGGCTCAGGGTCGCGATGGTCGGATCCTCGCGGCTCTCCCATCATCCTGCCCGCCTTGCGCCCCATGATGATTGACTTCGGTTCGCACAGTTTTCCGGCTTTCATTTTTCCTGATTTTCCTGCTTTTACGATCCTCTCAGCCGAAGGCTCTGCGTTGGATTGGCTCTATTGTAGCAGATTTTCGAATTTTGCAGCTATGACATGACATGACCTACTACAATTTCGGGCAAAGCGATTTCCAGGCAGCCACACTGAGCATTTTACTACACTACTTGGCAACCGAGTTCCGAACCTTGTATTTTACATTCGATTGGATGCTCTAGTAAGTAACTAAATATTAGTTGTAAATTAATATGAACAGCATATCTTTAGGTAGCGCATATTCTATATTCATGAGTTCCCATTATTTATATGAATATATTCTGAATTTTACTTATTATAAATTACTAAGTAATTACAAATATTTTTGTATTTTTTTACGGTTATTATTATTTGTTGGTAATCCTAATTCTTTATATGGAAAATCCCTTTTATATACTAAAATTTTGTTTTTATATCTTACTAATTAGTTACAAATATTTATGTATAATTTTTGTTTACCTTATTGTTGGCAATCCCAATTCTTTATAGCTATAGAAAAGTTGGTGACAATCCTAATTCTTTGTATGGAAAAATTACTTTGCTTATTTATTTTTTATTGATTTATAATGTAGAATTTTCATGAATTCACATTCTTTGTATGGAAGTATTCTTGTTTTTATAACTTACTGAATAATTACAAATATTTATATATTTATGTATAATTTTTGTTTACCTTACTGTTGGCAATCCTAATTCTTTGTAGCTTTAGACAAATTTCTTTGACACTTATATTTTTTTTTATGAGTTTTTTATATTTTATTCTTAAACTATAAAATTCGATTTTTAGGCATTTCCATTGATGACATCGGACATGTGGCGCCTGTACCAATCGCCCACTGGCGTGGCCAGCACGCAGACAAAGGCCCGGAAACACCAGTCGACCACTGGGACCTGGGATCTTGATTGGGATCCTGATCCTGATCTCGAAACCGATCTCGATCCCGATCGAAACCGCGTCCTCGCATTGCACCCATTGATGGCCGGCAGCGCCTGCTCCACATTGAGGCGTCTCTCGCCACCGAAACTCTGGACGATGCGCAGCGCCTGGAAGCCGGAGGCATCCTGCCAGAGCCGCAGGCGCGACCAGAAGCAATGGAGGTAGTGGCGCACGTGCGGAGCGTCCTCGAACTGCATCCTGTCCAGGTGGAGGCGCTGGGCGAGGGTCAGCTGCCTGCCGCACTGATCTCGAGCCCGCAGGAGTGCCAGCGACTGGGGCGAGCGGATGGCCAGGACCGCTGAAGGATCCAATGTCAACGAAAGGAGCAGTAAATACAGCTGCAAATGAACCGAAACTCTTTTGAGTACAAGGAAAAATTGTAATTCTGACTGAGGTCGGAACAAATACTATATCATAAAGATATTCTCATACAAAGATATTAATAAAATAAAATATATATATAAGTATATAATATTTATGAAAATGTACAATAACTACCAAAAAAAAATAGGAAAAAATAATGGATTGGAAATTAATTTGATTCATAACATATTATTAATATATGTATAATAGGTTATGAAAATGTATAATAACTACCAAAAAAAATAAGCTATAATAATGACTTGGAAAATTAATTTTGTGATTTTATATATTTATTTTTAAGGGCGGGAAAAATAAAAATAGGTACTCTTTTCTATCCGTTTTCAATTGTAATTTTAACAATTGCTAAAATCCGTACTGTTTTAAATTTTTAACCAATTTTTTAAATATAAAATAAGAAGTTACATCAATGATTCCCAAAAACTGCCAAAATTTTCTTCATGGGTTGAAGAAGTCGTCTCACATGAAACGCACTTTGTGGCCTTGGCGTTGGAATTAGTCGGTCAGTGAAACCGAAAGCCTTATCGCTCGAAAAGGAGGCAATCGTGACCCAACCGATGCGATAATCCCCTGAGAAATATATATGTATGTGCACTAATTAATGGACCGCTCCGATGGCGATTAATCTATGGACTCTGCTATAAAAACCTAGCTGGCAGCAATCGATCCATCAGTTTGTTTATTTCGTTGCAATCGAAACAACAGCAAAATGTTTCTCGCCAAGATCCTAATCCTCTTCACCGCCTGTTTTCTGGTCAGTGCAAATGGCCATTCATTCGGAGCAGTTGGGGCTCCAAGAACTCTTGAGGGCGAGGATTTGGCCAGTGCTCAACGGACTCTTGAGGCATCTCTCACCAAACTGGCCGCTGGCGAAGGACCCCACTATCGGTATGGGACAGAGCCCAGGAAAATCCCCGAAATACTCCTAATAATATTCCTTTCTCATCGCAAAGCATCTCCAAGATCCTGTCTGCCACCTCTCAGGTGGTCGCTGGCTCCAAGCACGTCTACTCCGTGGAGCTAATCGACAACGAAGGTGCCACCAAGGTGTGCAATGTGGACATCTGGAGCCGCAGCTGGGAGCCAAACGGCATCCAGGTGACCTTCCGGTGTCCCAACGAACCGGAACTGGTTAGGAAACACAATGCCTAGGTGGATATAAGTGCTTCTTGTGTGTCGAAATGGAAGAAATGTGCCCCCTTCGTTAACTGATTCTTTGAATAAAATTATATTACGTTTTTCAATGTTCAGCACTGAGTTTTTAAAAAAATGTTTTCATGTTTTTTTGCAAAAAATTGTGAATGCAAGTCGATTGGGAATTTCAGTACAAGCTCGGAAAATCAGGATTTGGATTTTTGGTGCAAATTTAAAATTTTTCCTAATCGATTTTTTGTTGTAACTTGGTCAAAAATGGTCCCAAATAAGAAAGGCGTACTGTTTTGGGCAACTAACAACCTAATAATTAATATCAGTAAACTTTCAGTCTGATTTGGAAAAATCAATTATCGACCCAATTTTCACTTTTTTGATAATAATTTTTGGCGAAAATTGGCAAAAATTAAAAATTTCCAGGTTTAAATGCAGATCGATGGGGATTTTTATTACGAGTTCGACGAGGTATGACATTCCACATTTGGATCACTATTTAAATTTTTATGACCAAAATACTACATTTTTTTGGGTTAAAAATCAGGATGTTGATTTTTGGCGCAAATTTGAAATTTTTCTTAATTGACTTTTTGCTGTAACTTGGGAAAAAATGGTCCCAAATCAAAAAGGCGTACTGTTTTGATCAGCTAACAACCTAGTAATAAACATCCGTGCATTTTTCTGCTGATTTAAAAAAATAAATATTTAACCCAATTTTCACATTTTAGACAAGGGGTTACATCATGATTTTTTGCAAAAAATGAAAAAAATTAAAAATTTTCTGGTTTAAATGCAAATCGATTAAGAATTTTATAACGAGTTCAACAAGGTAGGACATTCCATATTTGGATCTCATTTGACACCGTGCCGGACAAAATACTGATCTTATAGGGCAGAAAATAAGAATTATGACTTTAGACAAAATGACCGTGTTTTCTTATGTTGATCTTCACTCGCACAGCTTTATATATCGACTATTTGATAATCTTCGCAGCCGACGGCAATCTGAATAATCCAGTATAACCGCAAATGCATGACCTATTTGAGTGGTTCCCTTAATCTCCGCTCTCAACCGGTTCAAATGGGCCTAAATCTCATTTACTCACCCTGAGCAACCAGATATGCGATCGCCGTGCCATTCCGTTGGAGATCTCCTCCGCTGCAGTCGCAAAGCTGGACTAAGTTCTACAAAGATCGGTGGGACTTATCCAACCCGACTAACCTGGTAAGTGGAAATGGGTTGCCCTGCGATAACAGTTCTACTTAGTATTTTTACAAGTAAATTTAGGTAATTCATCTTACATTTGTTTCTGAAATTAATAAAGATTAAAGAAACAGCTCATATAGCATTTCGAATGGCATCTGTTTTGAGAAATTCGAAAATCAAAAGAGCACTTGGTAAATCGATATCGGCCTTTTCAAGTTTTGTTTTTGATGCGAAATTGGCAGTCACAGCTGCCGTTCGTCATCTGTTTTATGTTAGCACATAAGTCGCTGATATATATATATTTTTTAAAAAGTATATATACACAGATCATGATCATCCGCAGATCATGTGCATATGGATTTGGAATGGAGCGCAGCAACATTTTCGATTTTCATTTCATTTTCGTAACATTCCACGCCAGCATTTAGCTTGTAAACAAGTTTCTCCCTGCCACATCTCGTCTCGTCTCCGCCAAATCGGATTCTTCAGGTGTGGCTGTGGACCCAAGGAATCCAAATTCGAATCTAAATTCAAATCCGCATCCACAGAAGCCCAAAAAGCAAATCAAATTGAATTCGATTCGACAGGCAACCGCAACGAGAGCAATAAAATTGATTGCGTTTAAGTGTATTAAAATCAAATGCGAAATTCGCAATTCGCCAAAAAAAAGATGTGCGGTCGGTGGGTGGACTTTTGGGGCTGGGACTTTGAAAATGTCCATGCCGTGTAATTGGCATTGAGGTGAATGAAGTTTGGCACGCCATCTGGCGGAGGGAACGGGGACTCATGCGCATCGGTTCCGATTGGCCTTACACAAATTTTGGAAAATACCCAGGTCTTCTTGGATTTTTAGCTGAATGGAATTCCATTCAATTTTCATTTGTAATAATTAGATAATAATTATAATAATTGTAAAAATTTTAATAAATGAAGAAAAACTTTAAAAATTTTACAAAATAGTTACTTACTGCCAAAAAGTATGCTATAAAATAGTTAGAATTAAATTTAGTTGGATAACCTTTATTATTTATCCCAATTCTTGTCTTTAATTGACTTTTCGTTATTTTGTATAGGTTTTTAATATACTATTTTTACTATTACTATTTTTTTCGACCTCCAAACGAACTCTATTCACTCACTAATAAATTAATAAACTTATTATTTGGCTACACCTCATTTTCTTAGCAAGCAATTCAACTAAAATCGAGTGCGATATGAGGTAAACACAGACCATTCCCATTTATATTCACATTAATTTTGCTGAATAGCTAAATAGATATAAATGAAGCACTCTATATATCCTATATATATCTCCAATCAGCGGCATTATCCTTCCATGGCGAGATCATCCATACGGCAAATGCAGTCCATTCGACGGCAAATTTGCCGCCATCAGCCACGTCCTCCGCCCAGCCTCCGCCCACCGCCCCCAACGCCTGTTTTTGTGTTTGCCGACGTGACAAAGTCGCGCAAATATTTTAATTGCCACTTTTTTTTTTCCTCCTCGTCGTTTTTCGTCGTCGCATTGCATTTTTGCCTACCTTAAAATTATAAGTAAAATTAACAAATTTTAATTGACTCTGAAAATTAAAGAGGAGGAAAAAGCAGGCGGCGCAACAAGAAGAAAAGCGGGGAAAATGGCATACATTCGGTTTTCAGCTAATTTTCATAGATTATTTTCGTGCGGCATATGGTGGAGGATATTTTTAAGGGGAGAATGATGGAATCAAAGTCGAAATGTAAATTTGTAATAAATAATAATTTTATTGAAGATACAACATTGCGTATGAGTGATTTTTGTATACGTATGAGTAATATTTATATGTTTTTAAAAACTCTGATTACAAATTGGGTTTAGTTGGGCTAAATATTTATTAATATATCTAGAAAATGTATTAATAACTTAACTTGTAATTTTATTTATTTTTTAATATATATTCTTTTTTTTTTTAAATTATAGGGTACTTTTAATGCGACTTCTACCGCCTAACAGACTTTCATTTGTTTTTCTTTTTTGTAATAAATTGCGAAAATATTATTTTAGTATCTGGCTGCCGTTCTCTATGTTTTTTTCAATTTTTTGCCTTATTTTTTAGTTGCAAGTGCAGCGTTGGCGAGATTTTGCAGCGGCACCAATGTGTTTTCATCTCGATTAACTTGTAATTAGCTGTTCCATTTGCATTTCAATTTCCCCAGCGGAAGTGCAGGTGAAAAGCCGACTGACTGACAGACAGGCAGGCTGGAGTGCAGTCACCTGGCGAGAAAATAATTATTTCTATTTTTTGGATTTTTTGCTTTTTGGTTTTTTGCCCAAACGGATGGGATATTCCGCGGTGGCAACTTTGTGACACGGACGACGACATGGCCAATGGTGGCGCCAAATTCCCCATTGCCAGCGGAGCATGGCAAAAACGCGTCAAAGCGCCAATAAATTGTTTGGTTTTTTTTCCGTATTTTAGAGATACTTTTTTCTAGTTTTTTTTTTCCGCGGCATATGCATATTTTGCAAGCCATTTGCATACATCGAATTTTATTATAATATTTTAGCTAGTTTTTGTTGCTCTTCTCGCGCTGCTTGATTTGCTTGGCATTATTTTGCATTTCATTAAATTAAAGTTGCTGCTGTCGGAAGGCAAAATGCGGAATAGTTGGCCAATTTGCGATGCATTCGATGCACGTGAGGCGTCTTCGTCATCGCTGCCACCAGGGGCGCACCGAAAAGGGGGTGGAAATGGGAATAGGAATAGGAATAGGAATAGGAATCGGAATCCCAAATCTGAAATCTTAAATTTGAAATCTGAAATCTAGAGTCTGAAATTCGAAATAGGTGACGAAAGGGGCGGCGAAGGCAGTGGCCAATTTGCAATTTGTCGGATTCATTAGGTTGATTTTCTGGCACTTGCTCGACGCATGATCAGCATCCCAAAGGAAAACAGAGACTAGAATATTCAGTTAGTGAATCAAAACAACTTTTAAAAATACAACAAAATTTCCCATGAATTAAAACTAAATTATTCAGTATTAACACTATTTATTTATTGGGGGTTTATAGTTAACAATAAATCTGCTAACTTATATTAACATAACTATTTACTTAAATAAATATAACTTAAATAAGAGTTTAACAAAGCAGTGTTATTAGTACAGATTATTCGAAGACTCAAGAAAGGAGTAAATTTTAGCTGATAAACATTCAATCGAGTTTTCCAATGATATTTCAGTATACAATAAATTATAATTTGAACAAAGAACCCTAAAGGGCTCATGAACTGCAACTATATCAAATAATAATTAAAATACCAAAATAAAACGCAAATTAGTAAAGCTACAAAAATAAATCAATAAGATTAATTTTTGCCATTAACAAAAAAAAAAAAACAAAATACAAACAGTCCGAAATTTCGTAATTTAAATGAGGAATTTGTGATGTGATAATTCCTGAACTCAAGGGAACTGACAAATAGTATTATTACACCCAGTTTTTAGATCAGAAAACATATTTTGTGAAGTTTTTAAAAGCTCCGTGATTTTAATGTTTTCTTTGTGTAATAATCAAATTTCCATGATATTTCCTTAGGCATTGTGGGTCCTAACCAGTTCCGGTTCGTTGGGGCACCTGAAGGTCACCTGAATGCCGTTGGGGAGCCAGGAGCGCGACCAAATGTCCACATTGCACACCTTAATGACACCTTCCCTATCGATCAGCTCCACGTTGTACTCGTCCTTGGATCCAGCGACCACCTGAGTGGTTGCCGAAATGATCCTGGAGATGCTGTAAAGGAAAAGAAGAAGGAATATCAAGGCTATTCCCGAATTTCCTGGGGTTCCGACTCACCGATAGTGGGGTCCTTCGCCGGCGGCCAGTTTGGTGAGCGATGCCTGCAATGTTCGCTGGGATTCGACCAGTTCCTCGCCCTCCAGGGTCTTTGGGGCTCCGAATCCTCCGAATCCCTGGGGAGTGCCACTGACCAACAAACAGGCACTGCACAAAATCAGGATCTTGGCGACGAACATTTCGAATGGTTTTTTCTGCTTGCTTTACGATTGAGACGAAATAACAAACTAATAGATCAATAGCAACAGCCTCGGTTTTTATAGGAGCGCTCAGATCGGCTAATCTTTTAGGGAATATACAAACACATATATTTTCAGTGGAATCTGAGATCGTTGGGTTATGTTTACCGCCCTTTTTCCGGCTGATAAGATTTGTTTTCATTGAAACGCCTAATTACAATGCCAAGGCCAAGAATGGAAATAAAAAAATATTATATTGATAAATATTCCATAGAAATTCCTGACTAAGTCCCCGAACTTTGTAAGCTATTTTGAAAATATTTTTAAATATAAGTTTCAGTGCACCTGCGTAATTTAGGTGGAATTTATTCCGGTTACGGAGATCATTTCTTGGGGTCTTTACTCCAGTGGACACGTATTAATTAAACTATTATATTGATAAATTTTATATAACAATCCCAGAACTCTGTAAGCTATTTCGAACATTTCTATAAATATTTTAGCATTTTTTCAGTGTACCTGCTTAATTTAGGTGGAATTTATTCCGGTTACGGAGGTCATTGCTTGGGGTCGTTACTTCCGCGGACACGTATTAATCAAAGGGGGCGAGATAAGGGGCGAGGCTGAGTGATTTAAGCCACCCCAGACACCCCAATCTCCGCCAGAAACACAAAACCCCGGCGGAGATCGTTCATCATCCGCTGATGGGCGGCATTCTTGGCTCAACTCCAGAGCGCTGTCAGAAGTGCACAAATCCATGCCGATCTGTATCTGTATCTTTGGCTGTAAATGTATCTGTATGCCAACATTCCCGTACACTCGTTTCGAATGTACGGATATCTGTACATCCGCCAGCCGACAAGTCATCCGTCCGCCCGCAGAATCACAGCATCGTAGCATCCACCATCCATCCGCCCGTCCATTCAACTGCACGGAGGAAAAATATGACCAAATATTTAAGAAGTCCCCATTTTAAATTACCAAAATGAGGTATTATTTTCCGGTAATACTAATATCTATTTTAAGACACATTTCCTAAGCGAGTCTTGATTAAAAACAAAGCAACTAAAATATAATCAAATATTAGTGAGCTACGCAAACGTCAGACCCTGATCATAAAACCGAATTCCAACCTGTGAACCTTAAACATAAACTTGAAATGTTGATAAGAATTCGACACTTGGCTTAGTGAAATCATAAATATAAAGTAATGGAAATATTTATAAAAAATAGAACAAATTGATAAGGATACAGGTAAATACGAATATAAATTTTAAATGTATTATGTGAAATATTTTCTGTTATTTTGTAGGATTTTATTAACGCTTTAAGGAATATATAATAACATTGATAAAAAAGGTAATAGTTAAAATAAATATTTGCATATTGAAGACAAAGATTACAAAATCATAATTTTTAATACAAAACAATTTAGATTGAATTATTTAATTAGAAAATATTTTAATTAGGCTCGAATATATTAGATTCGTTGTTATTCATATTTACTTAAAAAAAGAAAGAATTTCATATTTCAATCAAAGTTTAAAATATAAAAATTTAAATAGATAAATGTTAAATGTAATATTTTCAAATTTAAAATTAATAAAAACCGCAATGGATGAATATTTACATTTCATATGAAATCTTTGGATATACTAAGTTTTTTTTATCTGTGAAGGAATAATTTTACTTTAAACGTTACTCAAAGATGAAGCGATTTCTGGTACACCCTGAGCTTGTATAATCGTAATTTCTCCCAGTGCACCCTTCAAAGCAGGCATTCAACCATGCGCTGTTCATCAATCCATCCGAGTGGACACCAGGATTGCCCTGGATTGGGATTGTCTGGGCTCCTCCCTTCCCATTTCTTAACAACCTCCTCCCAGATCCATCGATCAGCCGAAAATTCGGGGATCGTATCGTCACTGTCGGAAATTCGGCGGGGGAAAAGAGAGATGCCACCGCCACATCATCGGAGATCTTCGTTAACCGCTCGGCTCTGGCGATCGTCGACAGCTTTTCGAATTTTCAGCTTTCCGCCGACTTTTCACATAAAAATCATGTAAGGCTGGAAAACGGCGACAGTTTACTCACGGCAGTCGCGAACCAAACGCTGCAGGCGAATCGAATTTTTGGGCAGAGAAGAAAAGCGATCAAATCTAGAGATCATAAGAGATTGTGTTAAGGAAAGAGGAGGATTCCTTGTGATAATATTTTTTGTTCGAGTGCCACGGTTGAAAAACTCGCTTGTTTTTTGAGTGACGCGTACGTTTAAAGTCCTTCCAAAAACCCAAAAAAAAAACCCGAAAAACCCGAGATGATCTGCCCGAAACGCACCTCGGAGCTGCTGGACCTCCACTTGGCGCCGTTCAAGGACAAGGATCCCGCCTGGGAGATCGGAGTGTCGAGGATCGCGGGACGCGGAGTGGTGGCCACGCGGAGCCTGAAGAGGGGCGAGATTATTTTCCGGGACAGCCCGCTGCTCATAGGATTGGCGGCGCACGAGGAGGACTCCCTGAATGCGTGCAGTGTGTGCCTGAAAATGCTTCCCGATACGCGGTTCATGTGCCGCCAGGGATGCGGTCTACCGATCTGCGCCCTGTGCGCCAAGAAGAAGGTCCACAAGAGCGACTGCGATCTCTTCAAGAGCTGGGGACCCAACGAGCCGGATGTGGCCAATTCGGTGATCATCCGGCTGCTCTGCGTGGCCAGGGCCATTAATTTGAGCAAGGAGCAGCGCGATCTGATCTACTGCCTGCAGGCCAATTTGGACAACAACCATCGCACCGAGGTGAGGAACGCGGCCAAGTGCTTCAAGAACTTCCCCACCGACAAGAAGCTCATCGAGATCATGAACCGCACTGTTGCCGTTTTGAGGACCAACGGCTTCGACAAGACCACCGACCGGACGAACGACAACCAGGAGTTCAACTACAGGGCCCTCTATCCGCTCTTTGGGGTCGTCAACCACGACTGCATTCCCAACGCCTACTACACCTTCGAGGAGAAGACCAACAACATGATCGTCCGCGCCGCCATCGACATCCCCGAGGGATTCGAGGTGACCACCACCTACACCAAGCTCTTCACCGGCAACATCGCGCGCCACCTCTTCCTCAAGATGAAGAAGGGCTTCACCTGCAAGTGCCCGCGATGCTCCGATCCCACGGTGAGTGAATTGGAATAAAATATTAAATTTAATATTAATATAAGGGATTTTTAATAATGGAGAACTGTATCTGCACAGAAAAAAAATTTGATATGAAATAGGATCACTTCTACCATTTATTTATGTCAAATCTATGATTCAAACATATCAACTTGATATTTTATCACATCATATAAAATACATTTGAACAAGTAATGTAAAATAAGATAAACATATTCTTTATTATAACTCGATCTTTGGAAAATATAAAAACGACCAGCACATATCAATCTTATCTTAATATTAAGATTTTAGATTACTTTTAAGCTCAATATCGTTTTAAATAGATAGAAAAGAAGTATTTTTAAAAACGATCTTTTGATTATCCAAACAAACCTTTTATTTAACCAGGTAATAAGTTTTTACTTTTAATACAAATCAAATACAAGTAATTGTTTATTTAAGTTAGTATTCATAGATTTTATATTATGTTTAGATTTACTAAATACAAAGCCCGACGGGATTTTTAAAATATATAGTACAAAACATAAACTATTTAAATTGTGAAAACAACTCACCTTTTAGAACAAACTTAGTTTAAAGACACTCACTTAGAAATGAAATACTCATTTAAGAAAGTTTCCAAATATTTACAAATTGAATTCCATTTTTTGGGATATAAAATCCCAAAGATAAATACTATTTTAATAGAAATATTTAATAAAGGACTTCATAATCTTCTTCATTTCTTTGAATGTGTTCCTTAATTTGTTAGTTTTTAGTTTTTAGTGTTATGGATTATGTTATACCCCCCCTTAAACATCTTAATTTTATGATGATTACTCAAAAGAACAATTATTTTGCGCATCTTCTGGATCGGAAATCACTTGGCCAGCAATCCAATACGAAAATCCAAAGATCCAAAAATCCCAGCGATGATCGATGGGCCAGCTGAATAAACTATTTAACCAATTAAGCAAAGAAATAATCAAACATCTTTATAGTTTTGCCGAAGGCGATTGAGGTCGGCATTGTCTTTGTGGACTGAAGTACGTGCTCCCAATCGATTTTCGATTTTCGCCCATTTTCGGGCCACGATCAATCAAAAGAAGACAATTTCCACAGTTAGATGCTTTTTGATTTTCGCCACAATTGTTTCGGGTGCGAAAAGTTTCATTAAGGATTTCCTGCGCCCATCAAAATTCATCCGAAAACAATTAAAGACTCGCGGCCAGATCGATTTTTGCAGCTATTATTACAAGAGGCGGACTTTGTTGTTCTTGGCCATCGATTGATTTCCTTTCCCCCGATTTTCCCTCCGTTTTCCCTCCATTTTCCAGGCGCAACAAGTGGCAGGCCACAACAACAAAAAAACATGGCTATAAACAACTTTGTTTATTTTTAACGGGCCGAAAACAATTCAATTAAATCACAAATAAATAGATGGATTCCAAAAGCTTTTTAATTCGTTTGGCAATCTCTTCGAAATAAAGAAATTCCTGCAAAAAGTTGGAATTAAAAAAAAACACAAATTAAAAATCACAACTCTCGGTTTTCATATATCTTGTGGCATTTTTGGTTTTCGGTTTTCGTTGGAATCTTTCTGCTCATATTGATTTGATTTTTGTCACATTTTTCTCATGTTAACCGACTGATATATTTTTTATTCGCCCCGCATCGCCTGTTGTTCTTTTTGTTTTCATAGCAGCTTGCATATAGAAACAGATTTTCTTGGCCATGGCCACATATAGCGCCTCGGATCGTAATTTCCCGTTTGACATTCGCCGAGAATGCGAGGCGCAACTCAGAGGCCAAATGATGAAAGCCTAGAGAATTATGCCTAAACGAAAAACCCTCGAAATCATCTTAATTTAACCATAAACAGACTGTAGAACGAGTCTTTCTGTTGTAAATATCGACGGGGAGCTATAGAAATCCCCGAAATGGCTAAATTCAGGCCAAAACAAACAATTAATATTTCTTTGATACCAACAATACAAATTTTAATTGACAAATGTTCCTTGTAAGGAAGGATTTAAGTGAAGGTTTTTGTTATGTTTTTCTAGTCTTGATTTTTCTTGAAAAACCTTCGTTTTATTTTCTATACTCAGTTTTAAATAAATTAATTTTTTATAAGAAGTACAAAACTTCTTCACTTTTTTTCCTTTTTTATACAAATATTTTCTGCTTGCCATAATTTGTAAGAATACATTTCCCTAATGTTTTCATCGCTACAAAGTTTTTCCATTTATCAATTCCACTTAAATTGCCCATTTGTTAAATGTCAAAAATAGCCACAACTGTTGCTAGTTGCTAGTGGCCTGCCCTTGACTGTGGCACGTGTTGGTGTAATAAATTTTAAATATAATTCAAGCTATAGTTCAGCGAACTCCCGCAAAGGGACTTTATATTTATGTATTATATTTAGGTTTCCTCCGCTCCAAGTGTTCATCATCCGCTAATCGCACCGATTCTTATCCAGAATACTATGGGCAAAAAGTATATTTTTCTAGGGAAAAATATTAGGATACAGGATTAAGGTTTTAATTAGGGTTTTATGAATATTGTATAATTATTTCTTATTTCACAACTAGAATTTAATTATTTTAGGTACCTATATTCTTTTTTTTTGGTTAATACATATATCAAAAGAGTTGACTTTTGTTGTCTAGTCTGTATAGTGCAGTCTGCGGATCGGAACCATTAATTATCCGAGTTAATTTACGAGCAAGCAAATTGGGCGAACGATCATTCGGATTGAGAATTTTATGGGGATGACGTGGCCGACATCCTTAACAACCTGTGTGTGGATATTTATCGATCGCACGAGCGAATTCTAAAACGCACACGGAGCGACATCTTTTTTTATTTTTATTTTAATTTTCCATCTATTTTTTATATGTCAATCTCGCGGATCTTCGGCAGCAGATACATATTCATATCGCAGATACACGGCGATCACTTGTTGGAGCGCTTGTTCAATCCGTTTTCGGATTATTTTTAGCTGGAACCGAAATCGGGGAATCGGAATAGGAATCGGAATCGGAATCCCAGAAATGCGAAAGCGCTTTTCATTAGCCGAGACATTTGGCCCCAATGATTCACGCGCCAAGTATCCCGAGTGCTGTGCTAGTTCCCAAAGTGATCGATGGCCTGGCAAGTGTGCCGATTATCGATGGGATTGATAATTATGTGTCGATCATCGGATAATAATGGCCATAAATTGTGGTGAATTGTGATGTTACTTAAATAAGTATCCTATCTTTATAAATTCATAAAAATTGGGGAATTAAAGGTATTGTTTAACAATTAACAAATTAACAATTCTTATCCAACTATTATATCTTTAAAACCTCATAAGTTAATGTGTAAAAAAATGAGGTTCGATATTTCATATAATTTATAATTTAAGGATTTTAGAAGTGGAATCTTTAATAAAACGTAGGAACTCCATAAATATACGCAAGAGAAATAAAGTTATGAACATGGGTGCGAGAAAGGGTTTTGATTTATTTATCCGAACTTTAAATTTAAAGGCAGGTTTTTTTTAATGCCAGACGATATATACAGCAAATTAAGTAATTCAATTTCTTTCTTTCCTCCGAGATGACTAATATTTATAGTTCTGTTAGGTAAAAGAATTGGGAAACATCTAACCTAAGCTTTAGTTCAAAACCAGGTTATACGATTTTAAGTTCTGATTAAATATATACATACACAATAAAAAACATGTTCCTGTAAAATCGATATGGCCATGTAAATTTCAGGTCATACAAAACCCATATCGTTGTTACATGAACAAATATTAATATTTACAAATTAAAATTGATCTTAAATAATGCAAAATCGATCTACGTTTCATGTAAATTTTTTTTTCTACATCCTACAACCGCTAACCTCTCGATCCCTTGGACCTCTCGATTGCAGGAGAAGGGCGCCTTCATCTCGGGCCTCTACTGCCGGGACACGAACTGCACGGGCCTGGTGGTGCCGGAGATCTCCGGGCTGCCGCATCCGAACTGGAACTGCCTGGAGTGCAAGCAGAAGTCCACGCATGCGCAGATGATGAAGTCGCAGGACTTTGCCAGCGGCGCCATCAACGCCAAGGCCAATTCGAATTCGCTGCGCACCCTGGTGCAGTATCTCAACGAGAAGAGCGACGCCTTCATCCCGAGCTCCAACTACGTGGTGATCGATGCCAAGATGTCTGTGCTGCAGCGACTGCAGCAGGGACGCGAGGACTGCTCCGAGGAGCTGGCCAACAACACGCGGCTCCGCTACAGCCGGGACATCACCCAGGTGATGGACAAGCTGGGTCTGGGCGACAGCCTGCTGCGCAGCCACCTGGAGGAGCAGCTGCGTCGCGAGGAGGAGCGCCGGGCCAAGCGGCTGGCGGACGAGGCCGAGAAGCAGCGCAAGCTGGCCGAGCTGCAGGCCAAGGCCGCCGAGGCGGACAAGCTGCTGGAGGTCCTGGAGAAGGAGCAGCAGGAGCAGCAGGAGCAGAAGGAGGCGGCAGCGGGCACAGCTGATCCTGGAACGGCTCCTGCTCCTCCGCCGGCTTAGATGCTCACCGGTATCCAGCCACCTTTGCCAGGACTCGAGTAATCTGAAACAGTTGTGTGTGTCTACATAGATAAAAAAGGTTTTCAAGAACTTAAATTAAATTATTAAAAATATATTAGCAGTGAAAATATTTTCAATAATATTTAAAATATTATATTAAACACAGCTGTGAGTTCAAGAACTCAAGATCCCGAAAGACGTGGCTTCATACAAACGTGGCTTCAAGTGTAGTCCCCCCAAAACAGTCCTCTGGCCACCTCTCCTAGTTCTGTGTTGTGCGTACTAAACTAAATAATTGTATCTGTATTTGTATTTATTTATTTATAATAAATTAAAAATTATATACTCGACGAGTGCTAATTCCTTGGCGGAGTCTGCCAAAAGATCTGTCTTTTGGGGGCTTTGGAATCGTTTTGTCAAAACGTTTTTTAATCCATCGAGCTAGAAATATTTGTGAAATCATAACGAAAATATGCTGGCAAGCTATATTTATTAGTTTGCTGTGCGGTGTTTTACCGGTAATTATGAGAAAGTTTTGAAAAATAAATAATAATTAAGTTGGTTTGAAAACATTTATTAGAAAAAGAGCTGTCAATTATTTTCAAAGAAAATCAGATCAATAAAGTTTGACAAATGGCTACCATTTACACACCTTTCAGTTTAAAAGCAGCATTTATGGGAACCTTAAAAAGTAATTGCCGAAAGTAGTTTTGGGGGCGGAACCACAGGAAACGTTAACGATCCACCAACTTTGTGTTTTGTGTGTTTGGCTGCCTTATTCATAAATTTCTTGCCATTTAATTCGATTGGCCCGCCCGGCATTTGTTTTATTTGCCATTAAAAGTTGCAGTCGTCGACTTTGGGCGACCGTTAAAGCTGGCGGCCGTATCTATTTTTGATTTTCTCATTTTTGATCGCCTTTGCGACCGCCTCCCGCCGCTTTACGATCGAATATATATATATATTCAGATTCAGATTCATAAGTTTCCACATACATATAGTACATGTATTCATACAGTTGTCCAATGTCTAATGTCTAATGGGAATTGGCCATTTGCCGCATTCAATATTCGATTCGATTTGATTCGATTCAGTTTTGCCCCAGTAAACTGCTCATTAAATCGAAAATCGTGTACATGAAAATAATTAAATAAATCTCTCAGTGCCGCCGCGGAATTATCAGAAACATATTCCTGCCACCCATATGGATATAGATTCTTGTTCAGTTCGTACAGCTCCACCTGTCTCATCAATTTGTTCGAGAGTCTTCGCCTTTTCGATGTCATCGTGTGATCTTAATAGATGGCTGTGCGAAAAGATATAGTAAGCCGATATATATATAGTATAGTATAGTATGGAATGTATTCTGTATCTCTACAATATCTCTATCTGCATAATGGCAATAACAATAAAAGCTCGGCGAAAGCGGAGCACATCCAAACAAATTTGAAAACTCAGCAATCATAAATAAAATTATAATAAAAATGCCAATAAATTATGCGGCATATTCGTATGGCCGAAAATAATGACCCACCGACGTGTATCTATCCGTCGATCTGCGATGCGATCTCCCCATCTATATGTCTAAATATCTGCTCTCTATATCCCTATCTATATCTCTATCTGTATCTGAATCTGTATCTGTAGCGACTTGTCGCCAGATGAAAGGCCCAACAACTCGGGGAGCTTGTCGCATGTGGCTGTTCTAATCACAAATTGCTTTTAGCCCATGCCATTTTCTGAGATCCGATGGGACGGGGACAAGGAGGTAGGTGGATGGTGTGCAGTCGGTTCCACTTTGATTAATTGCACGCGTTTTCCATTCCCAAACACGACATTTGTCTGCCTTAGAGATACCCTGTAAAATGGAGTTACACTTGAGCATGCTGGACTGGGAAATTTAAAAAATGAAAAAAGAACTTTTGACAAAATTTGTCTTAATTAGGTATTTATTTATTGAATTAAATATTTTTGATGTAAGAGTAAAATTAATTAATTTTACAATGGGCCACGTCATGGATAATATTAATTAAATAAATTTTACCCCTGTGAGTACTTATAATTCCCAACTAGTTCTAGCTAAATATTTACGACCTAGGTGCCGATAAATCAGTTGACCGAATGTTGGTGTGGGTGTTGGTGGTTGTGTAGTGTCTCCAGGAGATTCATATATTGGGATGTCATCTGGCTGGAACTGGACTTCAAGATGCAGTGCATCAGGATCATCTACAGGTATGTGCCTTTACTAGGAATTTATTTATTTAATTTAATATTTTTAATCTAAATGTAATGTTAATGAAATTGACAATGAGCTATATTATATTATATTATAAAATCGATACTTCCTGGGTATCTACCAAGTCGACCCCCTGTTCCAATTTATTTTCCCAGTGATCCTACCCTAATTGCGATGGCGCCTTCACTCTCGATTTTCTCGGCCCTCCGTCCGAGTAAAAGTATTTCCACACTATAGTATAGTATAGTTCGAAATCCCACCCACAAGTTGAGTGAGCGATGTGACAATGGATCTGACAATCTGTCCGGGCAAATCCTAATCCGCTGTCGAAAAGGGGAAAAATAGTGAGTGGAATCCGGCAGTCAACACGTTGCGTCGAGACGAAACAAATTTGAGTTTTGGCATGCATTTCGAATGTAATTTATTAACCGCCTGCATTGTGTATTAATTAAACGCTCTGATTTACTACGAGACGGGGTTTTTGAGGCGCCCCCCCGCCAGTCGCGTATAATTTATGCCTTTTTAATGGCCAGCCAGTTGGGGGGCTGGCAGGCGTAATTGGCCCCCCTTTCCGGGGGGCGGAAGGAAGCCTCCCCCCAGGAAAATGCTACTGCAAGTGCCGAGATCATCCCAAGTTTATGGCCAATGTCATGTGCCACTGCCAATGGCACTTGGCACTCACAATGTCCGCCAGTTAATGGCCCAAATGATTACAGCTTCGTAAATCAAGGCCCAGACACCAGAAAACATGCCCAGAAATATTGTTTATGGGTGCGAAATAAATTCAAACATTTTTGGAATTCCCAAGACTTTTCAAAAATTATAGATTTTTTCCTAAAACTTATGATTAATCCCAAAGTAAAGGAAAAATCCTTTAGGTTAAACTAACATATCACATATCTCACTTAAAAATGTATACAATGTAAATTTATGAGTAAAAATCAATTGACCGTTTATTTAGGTTTATTTAGGTTTATCTTTTTGGATAATGTTTGCAGGGCATACTTTTCGGCTCATTCGAAGTAAAAATCGCGTAGATGTATTTAGGTTGTATGAATTCTTTATATGTGTTTAGGTTCGTTTCCTTAAAAATCTCCAGCAATACTTTTGTTCAATTAATCAAGCAGCCGTTTTACTAAATCCCTTTTTTAAGCATATCTTAGTAACTATTTATAAAGACAAAAATAAAACATTTCTAATGTCATTCTTTTGGACTGTTTTGGACTACCAAAGTGACAGTATGCTACAGTAAACTCTCTGAACTGGATCTACGCAGAGCTAAACTAATTTTGATAATATTTAATACAATACTATTTAAAAAAAAAATACGTCTTTAAAATATTTTAAAAGTTTTTTTAAGTTATGTATACGCAAAACTGTGAATAAAAATTTGGTTCGATTTTAAGACAGATGCTCTCCAGGGCGTTTACTGTAATAGCATGTAATGATTTTACATCACTTTTTAAATCAGCAAGAGCGAAACTGAGAGAGGGAAATAGATAAACAAGACAAGAGAGCCGATCGCATGGCACGCCTTGAAATACATTATCTACACGGAAAAAAGAGATAAGATAGTGCAATAAAGATACATTAATAATATCAAATGATAAACTATCAAGGATTAACACGGTCTTGCGATATTGAGCCTAAAATAATATAGTTCTCTGGAAACCTTTTTGAAAGTGTAGAAATCGATTAGATTTTGATCGGGTCGAGATAATACAATTTTTTCTAAGTGATCAACAATGTAAACAACTAGAACGAGAGTTTTGCAAGTTAAGCAAAGACGGCTGTCGGTTGGCATGGGCGTAGTTTTAACGAGCCCATTGAAAGAAGGGGGTAACGTGTAGGTTAACTTTAAAACGTAAAAAAATCAGTATTATTTATTTACCATTACTAAATTACGGTTAGTTGTAATAATGATATATGTGTGAGTTGGTTTTTTTTTAAGTGTATTATTATTTAGGGCAAAAACAAGAAAAGAGTTTTTTATTTAAACAATTTTTTTTTATTCTAAACCAAAATTTAAAAAATCTTGTAACTGAACCAAAACTTTAATTACATTTTCTTTTTAATATATTTTCGAGAATAAAAAGTTTTTTACCCCTTTTCTCTAAGCCCCTGTCCTTATATATATATTTCAGCTGTGAATGATTGGAAGCTGGCGTCGGCAGCGAAGTCGACTGCGATGCGACACCGAGTCAACTTCGATTTGGAAACCGTTCTCCAAGAGCATTTTCAATTTGGCGTTTCCAGTGTGAAGACCAATTAAAGTTTTTCGTGTGTTTTTTCCGTATTTTTTCGCTTTTCGTTGAGCTTGTGTGCTAGTGTTTTTTTTTCCTGTGCCCAATCAAAAGATTCCGCTTAAAAGTGACCATAAATTAACTAATAAACGTTCCTTCAATCGGTATGTATTTCGGCCAATAATCTTGATACAATCGCACTGTTTGTTGGCCAAAAAAAAAAAATAAGACAAAAAACTAATCGAAATGAAACCCAATTTAAGCATAAGCAGCTCGAATTCTGAACTTGTTTTTCGCATTTCGCCATTAGCATAATACCTATAATGAAAACATATTCAAAAACTTGCCGGACCATAAAGACAAACTGATAATGGGATGGATTGGGGGGTTTGAGAAGGGGGGATGAGGAGGCTTCAACTATTATGTCAAAAAATAAAAAAAATTCTAATCAGCGATGGAGTGTGTGCGAGAGCGAGAGGGCGCGAGGTGAAGAGCGAGAGAGCGCGTGTTACAAAATATAAATTAAATTAGGTATTGAATGAACAAATGTACAAATGTGTAAAAGTATGCGAAGGCCTGTAATAATTTTACTGTCTACGCTAGAAATTTTGTGCAATAAACTAAGTTTTTTAGCTATCATAACTTTAAATTTATGGGAAGTTAAAAATAATATAAACTTGACTTAATTGAAATTCAAAATTCTGTCAGCTTCCGCTTTTTATTTAATTTTGATTATCAGGAGAGACCAAATTTAGATAATTTTAAAAATTAATAATTTGAAAATTCTAAATTCTAATTCTAATTCATCTAAATTTGATTAGAGGATTTTCTAAGGAAACACAAGGCAAATATTTATGTTATCAATTTGAGTAGGTAATCAAAAAAAAATGTTTACAATCCAAACCAGTGAGTTTTGAGATGATGCGCATAAAATCATCTTTCGAAAGAAGCGCTTCGACTTTCAAAAGTGCGTCTGGTTTTCGCTCAATTATAGCTGAGAATAAAAAAAAACGGGCCCCCACGCTCGTGACCTTCACCCGTCCCCCTAATCTTGGCTCTTCGAGGGGTGGCCCCATTTATTTGGGGCCCCAAACTAGTCGAATAGGCAAATAAAACGAGAATTCGGGGTGGTGCCACAATGTGTTCGGACCATAATCATAATCTCCGCTGGCCGTCGCAACCTTGACTGATAAATGATAACGCCCTTATAGATGATAAGACCCATGGTGCCGTAAGTGCACATAGATACAGCCGGCGTCTGTCCAGGATCGGTTCGAGTGGGGGCCCCGATAAGACTGGCAGACGCGATTAGGGTGAACCGTTTGGGCGATATGGGAGGTAGGAGATCCCCACGTGGCGCCCCTCTATAGTATTATTTATATTTAATTGATATCCTAACCTGACTCTTTTTCAGTTTCCCGGAAGAGAACTTCGAGATGAGTCCGCCGCAACTGCTGAGCAAGGACTCCCCGGACATTGAGGTAGGTCTAAGTGGTGCACTGCAAAAAATATATTACCAACTCCCAGTCAAGTTACTTACATGTATTTTATATAGTTTTGATTTTAAAAATTTTCTAAAAATGATTGATATAATTTAATATGTTTTACTGAATATTACATAAAAAAATTGGTTTTTTGAAATAGGAAGAAGAATAAATACGATGATATTGAATTATTTTAATATTAAATATTTAACTTTTTATGCACAATGAGTATTTATTATCTTTCAAACTCTATAAATCATGATAAATCATTGTAACTAAGATTAGATGGATGGAAATATATCCACAAATTGTTCGAAATTGTAGAAATAAATATCCTCCATAAGAAAATAACAATTTAATTATTTTGTTGTTGAAATTGTTGAATTGTTGTTGAAATGAAACATATTTCAATATTAAATATTTAACTTTTTATACACATCGAGTATTTATTATCTTTTAAATTCTTTGAATCATGATAAATCATTGTATTTAAGATTATTTAGATGGAAAGATATCCAAAAATGTTTGAAATTGTAGTTATAAATATCCCTGATAAGAAAATAAGAATTTTACAATTTTTTTTTAATATTTTACTGAATAATTACTTTAAAAACATGGTTTTTCGGATAGGTAGAGGAATAAGTTTGAAGAAATTGAAATATTTTAATATTAAATACCTAACTTTGAATGCACAATGAGTATTTATTATCTTTTAAATTCTTTGAATCATGATAAATCATTGTATTTAAGATTAGTTGGATGGAAAGATGTCCGAAAATGTTTAAAATGTACACACAGAAAAATAATATCGCGCTTTTCTGGTTATTTTTACATGAAATACTCAATGTGACCATGTCAAATTTACCTGGCCCGCATGTCAAGTTAAAATTGATATTAAATAATGTAAAATCGACCTACGTTTCATATCAATTTTTTTTAGATATATATTTTGTAGATACAGATGAGTAAAATAAAAACGATTTAACCCATTTCCAGGACCTGCTCTCCCTGAATCCCCGCGTGAAGACGCAGTGCTCGGTGGTGCCCACCAAGCAGACGAAGGAGAACAAGAAGCACTGGAAACGGAACAGCGACCATGCCGCCCCGCCGTGCACCACCCTCTCGAATGACTTCTCGGACATCAAGCACACGACCTTGTCGGAGCGCGGAGCTCTGGAGGAGGCGGCGAGGTGCCTCAAGTGCGCCGACGCCCCCTGCCAGAAGTCCTGTCCCACGCAGCTGGACATCAAGAGCTTCATCACGAGCATTGCGAACAAGAATTTCTACGGTGCCGCCAAGGCGATCTTCTCGGATAATCCTTTGGGGCTGACCTGCGGCATGGTCTGCCCCACCAGCGATCTCTGCGTGGGCGGCTGCAATCTGCAGGCCTCGGAGGCGGGCGCCATCAACATTGGCGGCCTGCAGCAGTTCGCCACCGAGGTGTTCAAGAAGATGGGCGTTCGCCAGCGTCTTTCACCGCAGGCGCAGGCCAATCCGCTGCTCCAGAAGGTGGCCCTGCTGGGCGGCGGACCCGCCTCGCTCTCCTGCGCCACCTTCCTGGCCCGCCTGGGCTATCGGAATGTGACCATCTACGAGCGGCGGAGCTACCTGGGCGGCCTGAGTGCCGCCGAGATACCCCAGTACCGGCTGCCCATCGATGCGGTGAACTTTGAGATCGATCTGGTGCGGAATCTGGGCGTGCGCATCGAAACGGGTCGCTCGCTGGGCACCGGGGATCTGACCATCGAGGGTCTGCTGGCCAATGGCGCCCATGATGCGGTCTTCGTGGGCATTGGCCTGCCGGAGCCCAAGTTGAACCCGATATTTGCGGGTCTGGAGCCGGGAAATGGCTTCTATACGTCCAAGAACTTCCTGCCCCTCGTCTCGGATGGCTCGAAGCCAGGTTTGTGTGCCTGCAAGGCAGCCGGCGGAGGATTGCCCAAGCTGCATGGCAATGTCATCGTCTTGGGAGCTGGAGATACCGCCTTCGATTGCGCCACCTCCGCGTTGAGATGCGGCGCCCGTCGGGTGTTCGTGGTCTTCCGCAAGGGCTCCTCCGGCATTCGTGCCGTGCCCGAGGAGGTGGAACTGGCCCGCGATGAGCGCTGCGAACTGCTGCCCTATCTATCGCCCCGCAAGGTGATTGTCAAGGATGGTCTGATCACGGCCATGGAGTTCTGCCGCACCGAGCAGAACGACCAGGACGAGTGGGTGGAGGATGAGGAGCAGACGCAGCGTTTGAAGGCCAACTTTGTGATCTCCGCCTTTGGATCTGGCTTGGAGGACCAAGATGTTCGTGCAGCCCTGGCTCCGCTGCAATTCCGCGGTGAGTTGCCCCTGGTGGATCGCGTGACCATGCAGAGCAGCCTGCCACAGGTTTTCCTGGGTGGTGATCTCGCTGGAGTGGCCAATACCACAGTGGAATCGGTCAACGACGGCAAGGTGGCCGCCTGGAGCATCCATTGCCAGCTGCAGGGTCTCCCGCTGGACACCCCAGCTGCTTTGCCGCTCTTCTACACGGACATCGATGCCGTGGACATTTCGGTGGAGATGTGCGGCCTGCGCTTCGAGAATCCCTTTGGTCTGGCCTCCGCTCCGCCCACCACCAGCACGGCCATGATCCGTCGTGCCTTCGAGCAGGGCTGGGGCTTCGTGGTGACCAAGACCTTTGGACTGGACAAGGATCTGGTCACCAATGTCTCGCCGCGCATCGTCAGGGGCACCACATCGGGCTACAAGTACGGACCGCAGCAGGGTTGCTTCCTGAATATCGAATTGATATCGGAAAAGCGCGCGGAATATTGGCTGAAATCGATAGGCGAACTGAAGCGCGATTTCCCCGAGAAGATCGTGATAGCCAGCATCATGTGCAGCTTCAACGAGGCGGATTGGACGGAGCTGTCCATCAAGGCGGAGCAATCGGGAGCCGATGCCCTCGAGCTGAACCTCTCGTGTCCCCATGGCATGGGCGAGCGTGGAATGGGTCTGGCCTGCGGTCAGGATCCCCAGCTGGTGGAGCAGATCTCCCGCTGGGTTCGCAAGGCCGTCAAGCTGCCCTTCTTCATCAAACTCACGCCAAATATCACGGACATTGCCTCCATTGCGGAGGCAGCCAAGCGAGGAGGAGCCGACGGAGGATCGGCCATAAATACGGTCCAGGGATTGATGGGCCTGAAGGCAGATAGCACCGCCTGGCCGGCAATTGGCCGGGAGCAGCGCACCACCTATGGCGGCGTCTCCGGGAATGCCACCCGTCCCATGGCGTTGAAGGCCATTTCGGATATTGCCCGCCGTGTGCCTGGCTTCCCGATCCTGGGCATCGGTGGCATCGATTCCGGCGAGGTGGCCCTGCAGTTCATTCAGGCCGGCGCCACCGTCCTGCAGATCTGCTCCTCCGTTCAGAATCAGGACTTTACCGTCATCGAGGATTATTGCACGGCGCTGAAGGCGTTGCTCTATCTAAAGGCCAATCCGCCGCCGGTGGATGGTCCCTTCTGGGATGGCCAGTCGCCCCCGACGCCCGTCCATCAGAAGGGCAAACCCGTCGTCCGGCTGACCGGCGAGGGCAACGTGACCCTGGGCTTCTTTGGTCCCTACCAGCGGCAGCGCGACCTCAAGATGGCCGAACTGCGCGCTGAAAAGGGCGCCCTCTGGGATGCTGAGCAGCAGGTGGAGAATACTTCGCCGGCGGATGGTGCTCTCAAGGCGGCGCCCCGCATCCAGGACGTCATCGGCGCCGCGCTGGACAAGATCGGGCCGTACAACAAGCTGGACAACAAGCAACAGAAGGTGGCGCTCATCGATGATGTGAGTAGCATTGGTCTAAAATTTAGGAAATTATTTTTTTTTTATTTTTTTTTTTCAATTTGTCATCTGATTTTTATTTTTATTTATTAATTATTTTTTTTTAGTTAGTTAGTTGTTAGCTGTTCAAAACAATCGGTCTTTTAACTGTAGGCCTTGATTTGTTTAAATTACTAGTGAAAAACCTCACAAGAAATGTTTATTTTGTCTGATTTTCTAATCCATATATTCCATCCTAAAATATGAGTTTTTTGGTCGTAACAATAGAAATAATGATCCAAATATGGAATGCAATACCTCGTTGAGCTCGTAATTTAATTCCCTAACGATTGGCATTTAAACCTAGAAATTTTTGAATTTTGTCATATTTTGCTAAAAATTATGATGTAACATCATTAAAAAATGGAAAAATTGTTAAAAAAATTAATTTCCCAGAAAGTGATGGGGATCGTTAGTTTAGGTTGTTAGCTGTTCAAAACAGTCGGTCTTTTAACTGTAGGCCTTGATTTGTCCAAATTACAAGTGAAAAACCGCATAAAGATTTTTATTTTTGTCTGAAATTCTAATCCATATATTCCACCCTAAAATATGAGTTTTTTGGTCGTAACAATGGAAATATTGATCCAAATATGGAATGCAATACCTCGTTGAGCTCGTAATTAAATTCCCTAGCAATTGCCAGTCAAACCTAGAAATTTTTGAATTTTGTCATTTTTCGGAAAAAATTGTGATGTAACCATCATAAGGTCGTTAGCTGTTCAAAACAGTCAATCTGTTTTGCTGTAGGCCTTGATTTGTCCAAATTACGACTGAAATAGTCAAGTTTACTTTTCAAATCATTAAAAACTGTAAACCTCCTACACTAAGAGTTCGTGAAAAATTGTTTTTCCTTTGCAATATTACGCATACTTAAAACTCATGATATATAATTGAAACCTCTTTCAGGACATGTGCATCAACTGCGGCAAGTGCTATATGACGTGCGCCGATTCCGGTTACCAGGCCATCGAGTTCGACAAGGACACCCACATTCCGCACGTGAACGACGATTGCACGGGCTGCACACTCTGCGTATCCGTGTGTCCCATCATCGACTGCATCACGTGGGTCTCAAATATACCATCCCCCCTTCTAGATACTCATTTTCCTCCCTTTTCTTCCGAATTTCCAGCATGGTGCCCAAGAAGATCCCGCACGTGATCAAGCGAGGAGTCGAGGAGAAGACCTTCTACACCCATGCCCTCAGCCAGTGCCAGTGAATGTGCCTAGTTCTACGCTAAGTTGATATTAAAAGCCATCTATATAATTCAATTAAATACAATACATATTCCAAAAGCAATTAATGGGTAACATTAGGGGGGTTCTTTATTAAAACTTAAAAGGCGCGCGCATTTTAAATCTAAAGAGCTTTTCATCGGTTTTTTTTGCCATCTCTAGGCAAAGTTTCCCATCGATACTATCGCATCAGCTGTTCGTTGACACTGAAAAATTGGAAATTCGAAAAATGAAACTAGGCCGTTGGACTTTTAGCAAAATTTAATTATAGTTGATTTGATAAATTAAAATAATATAATATAAACAAGAGAGAACGTTATAGTCGGGTGCCCCGACTATCAGATACCCGTTACTCAGGTAAAGGGAGTGCGAGGGAGATGGAGATAGAGATAGAAAACGTTGATCACGCATAACTTTTTAACGAATGGACCGATTTGAAAAATTTCTTCTACATTTCGATAGGTATTGATAAACACCATAAAACTGCATTTTTACTTTTCCGAAATATTGAAATTTTTAAAATCGTATATAAGGGATTGTGGGCGTTAGAGGGGGCGTGGCACTCTTTTGAAACAAACTTGCGCTGCGTAGGAACTCCTAGAATCTGCATGCAAAGTGTCAATCTTCTAGCTTTTATAGTTTCCGAGATCTCAGCGTTCATACGGACAGACGGACAGACAGACAGACGGACAGACGGACAGACGGACATGGCTAGATCGACTCGGCTAGTGATCCTGATCAAGAATATATATAGTTTATAGGGTCGGAAACGCTTCCTTCTGCCTGTTACATACTTTTGCACGAATCTAGTATACCCTTTTACTCTACGAGTAACGGGTATAAAAATAGGGGTTTTTCCATCCCTAAGCTTAGACTATATTATCGGATCGCATCAGCTGTTCGTCGATGCTGAAATAATTATTAAAAACATGGAAATTCGAAAAATAAAACTAGGCCGTTGAAATTTGTAGTAAAGTTCAATTATAGTTACTCTAATATCTAAAAAATATATATTGATGTATAGGGGTTTTTCATCGCATCAGCTGTTCGTCGATACTGAAAAATGTATTATAAACATGGAAATTCGAAAAATAAATCCAGGCCGTTGGACTTTTAGCAAAATGTAATTATAGTTACTTTACAAATTCAAAATAATAATATAATATAGGTGTTTTTCCATCCCTGCGCATAAACGATACTATCGGATCGCATCAGCTGTTCGTCGATACTGAAAAGTTTAGGAAAAACGGAACTGCGTAGAAATTAGATAGCAGCCGTTTGGATTCTGGCACCGAAAATAAGACTCAACAAAAGCTGGTAGCAAAAACTCAAACAAAATTCCACGTTAAATTCGACGGGGTGTACGGAACCCGGCATTATCTTCGAACCCAGAGATCCCCAAAGATCCCAGCTCCTCCAGAAGGTCGCATCTGAAATAGCAACGATTGCCAGCGGATTCTACGCATTTGCCGAGGCAAGAAGTCTATGATATAATAATGTCGCGCTCTCTGAGTCGCTGGGTAATGGGACCCAAAAGACTGACGCCGCTGCGCGGACTCCTGGGCGCCACCTCGTCCTCCTCCTGCACCTCGCTAATCCCGGTGGCCGGCTACTCGAAGCGCAACGGGCCGCCCTCGGATGCCGGCGAGCCGTTCAAGACGGTCTCCAAGTCGCGGGACCTCGACGGCGACGAGGAGCTGAACAGTTTGGAGAGCGAACCCAACTGGGAGCTGACCGCCGCCCGGAGCAACCGCTTCTACCTGCCCCATGCGACGGGACCCGCCTGGCAGGGCGACACCACCACCGTTGGCCTGCTGACGCCGCTCGCCCAGCTGGTCAACTTCCTCAAGGAGTCGAATGCGGACAAGGCGCAGCTGGAGTTCGCCTGCTGCCAGTGCCCCCTGCTCATCCGCGAGTCGCTCGTCGAGCTCTTCCCCGTGCGCGTCGTGGCGCAGCGGGACTCGTCCATCACCATGCTGGTCTTGAGCTACGACGGGGATATCGAGATGGGCGCCGCCAAGGTGAGGATGTAGATTGGATAGCTTTAGCCTTGATCTTAGGTCGTAGCAAACCAGTTTCTCAAGCTAAAAGCTATGTACACATGTGGCTGACCTTCCTTAAAGGCTACTATATCATACAGAATTGTTAGCTTTCTGCTCTTAAAACTAGAATATTATTTTGTAATACAAATTACTGCTTATTTTCCGAGTTAAGAGCAAATATTTCGTACAGAATTGTTAGCTATTCTATGAATTAAGAAATGATTTTTACAGTATTTATGAAAGCTAAGCTAGAAAGATTCGATTGTTTCCAGTTAAATACAAGTATTTGAAAGCCATAAATGAAGATTTAATTAGATTTAAGGCCACTTCCTTCCTGTCGAGCTACTATATCATATAATATAATATATAATTGTTAGCTTTCTGCTCTTAATACTGGGATATTATCTTGTAATACAAATTAATATATATTTTTTGAGTTAGGATATGATTTAATTAGATTAAATGCCACTTTCTTCCTATCAAACTATCAAACTATACAGAATTGTTAGCTTTATGCTCTTAAATATCTCAGATATTTTTTTTATGAGTCAGGATATGATTTAATTAGATTAAATGCCACTTCCTTCCTATCGAGCTACTATATCATGCAAAATCGTTAGTTATCTGCTCTTAGAACTGGGATATTATCTTGTAATACAAATTAATATTTATTTTACGAGTTAAGAAATGATTTTTACAGTATTTAAGCTAGCTAAGCTACGAAGATTCGACTGTTTCCAGTTAAATACAAGTATTTGAAAGCCATAAATGAAGATTTAATTAGATTAAAGGCTGCTTCTTCCCATCGAGCTACTATATCATACAGAATGGTTAGCTTTCTGCTCCTAAAACTGGGTTATTATCTTGTAATACAAATTAATATTTATTTTACGAGTTAAGAAATGATTTTTACAGTATTTATGTTAGCTAAGCTATGAAGATAAATGAACATTTTGTTAGATTATCCATTAACCACACAAGTAAACCCAAACAAATCCCTATTTTCAGTTCGTGCTTGCTGCCCGGGACATGTGCGATCGCCTGCTGTCGCTGGGCTATTGGGCGGACTTCCTGAATCCGTTCAGCGGACGACCCTACTTCCTGCCGCGCGACGGGGCCAAGTTGTACAAGCAGGACCACCGCTTCCGGGGAATCAACATGCGGCTGTCGCAGCAGAACCACTGCACCGTGATTGCCGCCGAGGAGAACGATCGCACCCGCTTCTCGGGCACCATTTACTGCACGGCGCCGAATCACTACGAGCAGCTGGTGGAGCTCCTAGTGCCGCCGCCGCCACGCAAGGCGTCCCAATGACGCAGGCTTCCCAGGGGAAGTCTGTTTTAGTGATGAGATGACTGTGTTAACTGTTTAGGTTTTCTGTTCCGACACTGTATATAGCTTGTGTTATATATGCTGCGAAATATATTGGATAAGAGTTGTTGAAAGTAGAGATTAGGCCACCTGGCTGCAGTGCCGCTCGATCTCCTTGAGCCTATTGATCAGCGACTGCAGCTCCTCGGCGTTGCAAACGAACTCCACGATCGTCTCCCGCTCGCCGCTGCTCGGCCGGAAGTTGCCCAGATTGATGTGGAAGCTGGCCACGCCCGAGCTGCAGTCGGAGGTGGAGGACTTGACGTCGCAGACGATGCGCCACTGGATGTCGGTGATGTGCGGAAAACTGTGGCCCACCTGCAGCTGCCGGAGGAGGAGCTCCCTGCGATTGTCCTCGTACACGCGGCACAGTTCGTCAATGGCGCTGGCGTCCAGCGAATCCAGTTGCTCCAGCTGCTGGCGCAACTGCATCCCATCCCAGTTGTGCTTGGTGGCCACCGCGTAGAGGGTGACCACCGCGTACTCGCTCTGTTTGGCGCAGGCGGCATTGTTGGCATAGATCTCGGGCACGGGAGCAATTGCTGTGGGATGAGGGAAGATGTTTAGAATATGGATAACTACTAGGCGTAGCTTTAACTCACTGGCATCCGGATGAAGGGTCAGTTTCAGCGAGTTCGCAATGAGCAACTTGGTCAGCGGCGGCGAGATGATGGCTCCCAGGTTCTTTAGACCCGCCACCACGGTGGCCGAGAGCAGGCTGGGCTCTGCATCCAAGGCTGGGGAGCTGGCCATGACTGTCAGCCCAAATCCTTCCAAGATCGGACGAGATTAAGCTTAAAGCAACGAGGATAAATCAATTGGACCGGTTGTAAACAAGAAATGCGGATAACAGCACAACGCACATAACAGCAAGAGTTAACAGCGCTGTTAGAAAACGTTAGGGATATTCCTTTTAACATTTAAAATCGGTTATTTGGTTTCCAGTTTTTGTAAACGGTTTAATATTTAAATATTTAATTAAATAACATGACTATTTTCTAAACTAGTTCATAGTTAATTTGCTGTTATTTGTTAAGATTGTGTTGGAATAACATCAATAGGTACTGACATTAGTTTAAAATTTATTATTTAACCGAATTATTGAATGTCACAATTCTCATTTGCATTGGCTTGTATAAAAACAATACTATATATACTACTGATTTTTATTAAAACCGGAAGTACCGAAAGTGCGGTTAACCTCCCCAAATGCATAACCTTTAAATTAGATTATTAATTTGTATTTACGCGCCAACCATCGTTATCGATACATTCATCGATTCCCTACACTGGCGAGAGACCGTATATTTGCAAATTTGAGTGATTAAATACCAGCTGTATAAAGTTAGTATATTTTTCTGAGCCGGACGGTATTATTCACCCACCCTACCCAGGGTCATACCTATTACTGCAGCTACGATAACAAGATTTGATTTTGATTTGGCTCGTCGTTCAAAAAAAGAAAACCCAACGTGCGCGGAAAATATTTGAAAAATATCACAAAATGCCATTTGTTCTGCAGTGAGAATACAAATATAAGTGCATTCAAAAATAAAACAGGCACAACCCTGGATTCATTGAGAAACCGAACATAGCGGTTCTTTTCGCGTTTTGTTGTTGTTGCAGAGCGCGTAAAAATTCAAAGCAAATCGCGCGTACCTGCTTGTTTTTTGTTTTTGTTCAGTGTTTTCTTGGTATAAATCAAAATATGCAAACATTTCGGAATGCCAAGTGAGCTAATAAACAAAAAGGTAAAAACCAGTGATTTTCCAACTTCTTTAAAGGAATTTCCCATCGCGTATGTGTGTGTGTGAGAGAGAGAGAGTAAATGTAAGCGCACTTCAAGCCACCGTTTTTTGTACTTTTGTTGTTGCTGCTGCTCGAAGGTGGAAAAGTGTCGCAGTGTGTGTGCATGAAATGCCGGCAGAACCGGTTTAGCAAGTGGCCAAAGCAAAAACAAAAAGAAAATAAAAATAAAAAAAATAACGATCAGATACTTCGTTCTCACGTCGATCGGTATTGCGATCAGGAATTTTGTCACCTCATCAGAACGACTGTTTGGGTGTTATTCGTGTAATTGACACAAACGATCGTTACATAAAAAACCTAATTAACGATCAACAAGTTTCACAGGTTGTCACGTAAATCAAATTTAATAAACTGTATTATTTAAGACATTATAATCTTCGATCACTGATCATGAATGAATATCGCGATCTCTTCGCGTATAAACGCAATAACAACAATTCTGTGTCGCTCTCTCTTTTTTCCGTCTCCTCCTCCCCCTCTCATTCGTTGCAAATGCGCCTGCGTGTCAATTCTTTTATTTTTATTTTTATTGTTATTTTCCTTTCCCAAAATTCCCGTAATTAATGCGTAAGAACGGCGGCATCGACGTTGACGTCGGCAGAGCTGCAGAAGTGCAGCACGTCCCGAAAGCAACAACAACAAAATCATAATTTAGAGATAATGAGCCGGTGACATTGAAAGAAAGAGACACCGTTAATAACCTTGATCTTGGGCAGGAGAATCTATAGATCTTAACGCCTGATTGCGGACTATTTAGTTTTAGTGAAGGTGTCGCAAAAATATGTAAATCAAGTCAGTTAGAACTTGGAATCTTTTTCCACTGATTTTTCAAGGGAATATAACAGATTGTTAAAAAATCAATTTTTTTTAAACTGTTTTTTCTATAAACCTAAAAACTCTATAATTTTTTATAGAAGTAAACGTATTTTATAAATTTTTTTTTATTATATGTATGTTATAATATACAAAATTCCCATCGCAAAAGATTATAAGCCAAAATTTAAAAATTTATTTAAAGTTTGTTCCCTCAAAAGAATCCATTGTTTCCCCTTTGATAATTTGATTATAATGTCGATTTGAAGTGCTTCCTGTTAACGTTTTCCTTGGCAAAGTTCCTTCCTTTTTGTCCCACTTATTTTCGGATTGCCGCTATGCAAAAGTGAACCCGCTGTTTTTCGATTGTTGTACGATCCATTGTAATGCTCACGCACAGAATTGGAGCTACTAAATCCCCAAAAACGCCCCCGTATCTTTTTTCCACCTTTCTCTACCTCCGCCCGCATTTGTCACTTTTCCATTGTCTTCGTCACTCGTTACGCACTTTTTTGTCCATTGGGAACAGCAAATAAAACACTCGAAAAGCTAACCTTAACCGCACCTTTTTCCGTTAAACGGTTGTTTCACGGTTTCAACTTTGCGCTCGAGTGGGTTTTGCATACGGGGGTTAAGATCAGCAAGAGATACATAGCTCAATTTGAATGACTTACAGACCTGGTCATATGGAATATGATAGTTTACAGATTTTTTCAGTATTTACTAAATTTCGAAAACCATTTAAAGGTTTTCTAGAATTTGAGATCTATACTTAAAATTCAAAAAACATATTTTTATTATAATTTTTCAACATATTTTAATTGTTTATAATTAAATTATTCAAAATATTTTTTTTACAAATATATTTAACTGAAATCCCTAATTTTTTGTATTATATTATAATTTAAATACTACAACTTACAGACATGCACTGCATTTACTGCATTTGAAAATCCATTAAGTCTAGATCTTAGGTTCTACTCCCCAAAAAATTGTACAAAAATGAAAAGTGAAACTTCTAATAAAAGATATGTCTTTTTAAATAAATTTTACTAAAAAACTATTATTCAGCTATATAATACATTGTACACCACACTACACATGTTCTTTGCCAGCTCAATTAATTACAGTTTCATGTTTGGAGTGTTTGCTCGTTCGAAAGCGAAGTTGCATAAGCAAACATTCACATTCGCATTCACATTCCCATTCTGCAGCTCTCAATTTGTCGACTTTTTAGTGGCTTCGACTAGGTTGCCGACAAATTGTTGACACATTTAACAACTGATTGCGGCGGTGGGTGGTTGGGTGGTCCCGGGGGGCGGCGGGGCGACAAGGTTATCATCGCACCCAAAGCTGCCCAATCAACACTTTTGATAATACTAGCGACGTTCGGCGTGCCATTAGCTCAAATTAAATGTCAATAGGGGGGTGAAAAAGTATAAAAAGTCTAAATTAAGTACGACAGGTGAGCAAATCGCTGTCAAAATACGCCACGCTCAATTAGCCGCAAAGTCAAATTGATTTTCTAATTCCCTGTATTATTCCGTATGGCTAATATCTGTTTAGCGCCCGTCAAAATTGTCAGAATAAGGCGAATAGTATGATTTTTTAATGCCCAGTATTATTTTTTAGTGCCTGTCAATGTTGGTCAGCAAATTTATAGATCCCCCACCCTCCTATCTTTACTTTAGTTTTTTGTTTGTTATCTGTTGAGATTTATATGGTCGGTGGTGATTTATGCGCGGCATGTTCAAATATGGTAACCCGAACGGGAAAGGAAATAGATATGGGAGGGGAAAGTCAAAGTCAGAGTCTCTTTTTGGTCTCACAAACGAAACACCGGTCTTTTTTTAGGGAAGGGGGAGCGGAAATATTAGCCGGATAATGAATAATGTCTTCATTTCATTTTCGTGAAGAATTATTGCCTCATAATGGAAAAGAAATGCAATGAGGAAAGAATAGAAATCTGGTAATAGACAGTTTTCCATTGAAAATATCTCTATCAAGATTTTAAGAAAGGAACTGAAAAAAATTCGAAATGAAATATGTCAAATTTATGATTCAAACATATCAAAGTGATATGTATTTATTTAGTATTTTTTGAACAAAGAATGTAAAATAAGTCTTTATTAATGTCAAAATGATATGAATTCTATGTGGTTATTATAAAAAAAATAAGAAGAAAATCCCGCTGACTCGCACTTTCATTTAGTTCTCTTTCCTTGATTTTTATCAAAGTCAGTTTATCTGCGACTCCTCTGAGGGAATTTCCCACACCTCTTCACTTGCCATATTATCTCCATCCCCAATCGAACTGCGTCTCAACTTTCAATTGCGCTTCGCTCGGGAATAAGCTAAATAATCGAGAATCCACCCCAAACTAAATGACGCCGCAGCTTCTTAATATTTTCTACTGACTGAGATAAAACTTCGCTTGAGTTTCAGTTTCAGCTTTATAATCACCCCCTGAAGGTCCCCCCCCAAAGAACTCATAATCGAATCAAGCCAAATAAGCATAAATCATCAGCCTTTCAAGAAAACAAAAAACCGAAATCAAAGCAATTGCAACTTGATAAAGCCCGATGAAATTGAGCTCTGGTTTTTGGCGCTTGTCTTACTGCGCACTGCACATGTGGAGCGTGTGTCCCCAATAGTTTGAGTACTTCTCTGAAAATTCGCCACAGCGGCAGAAGTTCTTTGAGCCGCCAAAGTGGCCCATTAAATCCGAGAAGTGACAACTCATTTTCGAAAAAAAAAAAGAAAAGGCTTTAAAAACTGAATGAAAGTAAGAACAGAAATTTAAATTCAGAAATGCGGAGAAGAAAGTATGTATTAAATGCAAGTGCGAGTAAATTGTTGATTAGCGTAAGCTCATAAGATTTCTAAACCTTAAAAACATTAAAAAAAAAATAAAAAAATGTTTTTTAATTAATTAATTTGTAGAAATTTGAATTTTATCAAAATTCAAATGAGCTTAAACAGACCACAAACAATACAATTTTAAAATGCTTTATGAAAAGAAACGGGTCCCTTGGTATCTGATAAAAATCAAAACCCAAATGGCACTTGAAAATTGTTTCTATATCGGTTTGCCCAAATTTAATTAAAACTGCGTAGTTTAGAAAAAATGAAAAAATCAAAAAAGATTTTATAAAGAAAAGTAATACTATATTTTCAGAAATATCTTTTTTAAATTTAGAAAATCACCGCAGTTAAGCTGTTCTTTTTAAAGGATTTATTTACTTTTTTTTACTTATTTTAAATTTTAATAAAAAAATCTTTTTTTTCCTTACTTCAAATTAAACTCAGTCAATAAAGCGTTTAAATCTTGGTCTTGCTTTAGTGTGTCATTTATCTTTATGTGACTTTTTTTTGAAGATCTTATCGCTTGATATGGTATGGATCCCGAGAAGTGTGGGGTTGAGTTGCTCAACAACCGGAGATAGTCATGAGTAACAGTCATATTCCCTCGCAACCTTCAGTTTCTCGAGTGGGCTATATAGAGAGGGCTAGACAGATAAAGTCAGAGATATTTAGTACGGAGATAAAGGTTTATGAGTTACCGAATTTTTTACCCTCAAAGTGAATTTAATTTTTTAATTAAACCCTTAGAGGCCATCTACAAAACTAGTCTGGCTGGATATTACAAAATAGATTTATGCTAACCGTGAAATATATAGAGGTGAGCCCTATTATCAGGGTTAGAAAATAAAAAGAAGGCCTTAGTAGCAGCGTCTAGAAATGAGCAATGTATTAGGCAATAATCTCAACTCGATAAGATAACCAATAGCTGTTTTTTCTTTCCGTTCTATTCGCCTATTTCGCTTACATTTTCCCCTAGCCAAGTCCCCACACAACTGACCACAACTTATCGCTATTTTCGGGACTCTAGAGATTTGCAGGGGCTTCGAAAACGGAATCTTGATTGAATATCGGACATTTTAAAATGCCAATGCGCTGAGGGTTCTTTTAATTAAATTTAATTGTGATTCACAAAGTTGTAATGTCCGGTGGCTTTTTTTTTATATTATAAATTTTTCTAATGCATTGTTATGGAAAATATTTATGATGCTCTCGAATTGCGCTTCATAAACTGTCGCGTGCATTGCAGTTTCATAATTAACCTGCCGCCACCCCCTTCTATTTTTTTGTGTGGGTGAATTGGCTGCTTTCCTCGCTCGGATTAAATGACAAAAATGCTATACGATTTCGCTAGGGAAAACAAAAGCTGGAAAACTATTTCAAGTCTAGCATAACCACAGACAAACAAAGGCAAGTGACGCCCTCTGGCGGTCGGCGAAGCGAAACTAAAGCGGCCTACAATTCAAATGGAACCCATTTGAAGATCGTAGGCCCAATCAATGGCCACCGAAATGCAGTACAATGCTTTCAAATAATGAAAAACATGGCCAGAGAGATTTTCACATTAATTCTCAGTCAATCTAGTAATATTTTTTAAGATCCCTGGATCTAATACCTGAAACTTTCTAATATATTTATTCTCTTAGGAATACTAGAAAAAGTAACCTGTTTTAAATTCCCAGACTGATTTTTCGTGCAATTAGCAATTAACCTAGTTTAATTTTTTAAGACTGCTGTCTCAGCCGCTGCATTTTTAATTATTTACACGGCGCTCAATAGAAATTTATGCATGTTTTTGTCTCTTTTCCTTTCTTACGGCCGTCTCCCTCCCACATATTCGGATATGTATTTTTTTTTTGCCAGCCGAAGACTTTTGCCAGTGCAAATTGCCAGCAATTGTTGTCAATTTAAAATTGAAAAGAAGTCAAATGTTGAACAAGAATGCATGCAACATATATATGCGCTAAGCGGCAAATATATAGCCGCCGATCTTGAGTACTTATACGTTATTTATACAGTTGCGGTGAATTAAAAAAGGTATTTCTTTTTATTTTATTTAAAATTCTTTATTTTTGATTGGGAAAATGAGAAAAAGTTAGTTAAATATTAACAATATTTAACAGAAAGACATACATTTTTTTGCCAACTTTTAAGTCCTATTTTATTGACCGCAAGTGTGGATCTGAGACATCAAGTGCCTTTTATCTCTGGCAATTTTCACTTATCTCCGATGCTCCACATAACGCAAAGGTTTCTTTATTGCCAGAGGTACATAGATGGGTGAGCGTATAGCCCCCGTATATCATGTCTCAAGGTAATCTTTTGATTAACCAGACGTTTAAGCCGCCTGGTATTCGAGGTATTTTTTACGTTTTTTACAAAATTTTCTAATGATTTCCTTGTTTTTTTTTTCAGAGCTACTTAAGAACCGATTAGAAATGCCGAATCACCTGAATTGAGGTGACACGAGGAGACACGAAGCGAGAGCCACTAGAATCGAGGATTAATCGAGGGGGAAAATCCAGTAAATATACATCCACGCCATGGCCATCAATCAGGGCAAATACAAACCGACGATCTGTGCCATCGACGAGGTGGATGACCGCAGCTTCAAGCTGCACAACAGCCAGGACGAGATCGGCGGCAAGCAGCAACACCAGCTGCAGCAGATCGAGGGCAGCGAGACGGCCCCGCTGACCACCAACCAGCAGAAGTTGCACATGGACGACGGCTCCCATCTGACGCCCAAGGATCTGGAGGCGGCGCGCCAGGATGCCCTCAACGAGGTGGGAGGAGCAGCCGGCAGGACACCGGCGGCCATCACTCCGAACTCCACGCATCCCTCGGCCAATGGACTAAGAGGTGAGAATCTAAAGTCATCGAGAGCACTTGCCCATTAACTTTTGCATTAAAAACCACTTAAACCATTGTAGCTGAAATATTAATCAAATTATTTAATTTTTATTTTGAATCAATTATATTTTTGCTATGAATGAATATCTTTAGGTCCCTAGTTTTATTATAAATTAAAAATTATATCATTTATAAATTTATATAAATGTAATTTCTTTCTAAAGATATTTAATATGATATTAGTTTTACGCAAATGAAATATTTTTCATGTAAATTATTCTCTTACTTAAACCCGCTTTAGTAAATTCAGTTTTTTAAATAATAAATCAATTTACTTAAATTTAATTTAATTTTAAATTATATTAATAATGATATAGTTCTAAATAAATTAATTACTTTTGAATAGAAGTCTTTCCTACCACTTTATAAAATGAGTTTCTAAATCGTTAATCAATTTAGTAAAATTTAAATCTAGTTTATTTTAAATAGGTTTGATACGTTATTAATTAAACTAAAAACGTTTATTTTAAATGTTATTCCGAGTTTTTAAAATTAGATAGTTATATTTAATTGTTTGAGCTCCATTATCATTCCATTAACTCTCACATCTTCCCTGTCATTCCTGATCCTTGGCGCGATGATAGCCTTGCTGCTTCCAGGCCGACGATCCTTCGACGCGCTGATGAGCCTGTCGCGTAAGCGACGCATCCTGTACGTGACCACCGCCTGCCTGTGCGCCCTGCTCCTGCTGATCATCATCCTGCTGCTGGCCTTCTGGCCGGAGGTGCCCTTCTACCTGCGCGCGCCGCTCTGCCTGGAGAAGGAGTGCGTGGAGAGCAGCCGGCAGCTGCTCCTGTGGGCCAACACCTCGAAGAGTCCCTGCCACGAGACGTACGAGTGGGCCTGCGGCAACTTTGCCAGCGACTACGCGAATCACGAGTACTTTGTGATCAAGCGCGGCGAGTGGAACTACGAGACCTACAATGAGTATCAGGGTGAGCTGGAATTTATTTAAGATCTCTCCAATCTGTTTGCTATATCATTATCTATCCTCCTGCCTTTACAGAACTCAACGAACTGAATCGCTTCATCTCAATGCTGCCCAATTCGCAGGAGGGCTCAGTGGAGACCATTGTGAGCAGTCTGTATCACAGCTGCCGCGAGACCGATGTCCTGGACAAGAGCCAGTCGGATCTGCTGCTCAAGCGAGCCATCAACGCAGTGTGTGAGTTCTAGGATTGATTACTATATAAGTATCATTGATATAAGTGAGATCCCTCATCCTATCTCTTAATCTTGGTTGTGATTTCCATTTACGAGGTCTATAAAAGTAAATATATTCAAAATATATAGTATATATAGTAGTAAATCTATCCAATATACCAATTTCGAACTTTCCCTATACTTGTAAACAAAGATATGACATACTTTTAGGCTCCCTATTAGAGTTGACCACTTAAGAACTTTTCTTAGGTTTTATAAGATATGAAGATTGAAGATGATAACATTGGGTATTCAATAGTATTAAGTTAAAGTCAATCCTCCGGTTAATCTTCCTTTTAATCTTCCGGTTAATCCTTTAAAGGGCTATTGATGTTGTTTTTCTTTTCCATAACTTGTAGATGTTCTGTGGATATTAAGTTGATTAAATAGATTATTTCCTATATTTTTTTTAAAAGTCCATTTTGACTTTCCCCATTCCACTAGACAAATCGCGACCTTTATTTATATTCTTCTATGTCGTTAAAAATTTATTTATGCTTTCAAAAAAAAAAAAACCTTTGACTATTGCATCACTGTACAGTAAAATTGTTGCTAAGCCTCAGCCACTTCAGAGTGATCATCTATTTGCCACTGGGAGGCAGATAGGTGGCACTCTGGGCGTTCTTGATGATGGCTCCTCCAGAGATTCCGCCAGAGATGCCGCCAGAGCTGCCGCCCGAGGAGGAGGAGGAGGTGTAGCTGCCGCCAGTGGATCCAATGGAGCCAGTGGATTCGCCGGAAACGAAGCCAGAGCTGCCGCCAGTGGAGCCGGAAACGAAGTGAGAGCTGCCAGAGCTGGCGGCGCCAACAGCACCACCATCCAGAATGCCCACCACCGACTGAGCGGGGGCCACTCCGCCATCCTGGTGCTCCGAGGTTCCCTCGATCCTGTCGTATTCGGCTGTTGGAAAATAATGGGATATCAGTTACGATTTAATCACATCATCATCCATTCTAAAAACACTCACCCTGAATCTGCTGCTGGGCATGAGAGGCCTCCGCATCGGTCTTGTACTTGATGAAGAAGACCTCCGGCTTGCTGGGCACCGTGGGTGCGGGCGTGGCAATATCGTTGACCTCCAGCTGGTTGTCCTTCTTGCTGAGCACATAGATGACGGTCTTCTCCTCCTTGGGCGCATATTCGGCCGACAGCTTGACATTCGCATTGCTCGACGACGGGGCCTTGATGAAAACGACACGATAGTTCTTCTGCGGACGTCCAATCACCAGATGCTTGGAACGCTCCAGATTCTCATGCTCTTCGGGTGCGGCGACTGTGAAGAATTGCTTGTGGATGATGGGCTCCTGGAAGCCGCGCTGCACCTCCTGTTCCTGCTGCTGCTGGTAGCTGGGTGCCTGATAGCCGGCCAGAACGCCGAATCCGATGTTGGGCGATGGGCCGAAGCCGGTGAAGCTGGAGCTGCCGCCGCCGTAGTTGGAAGAACCAGTGGAGTAGGTGGCTCCTCCATGACCGCCGCCAGTAGAGTAGGTAGCTCCTCCATTTCCGCCGCCAGTAGAGTAGGTAGCTCCTCCATTTCCACCACCAGTGGAGTAGGTAGCTCCTCCATTTCCACCGCCAGTGGAGTAGGTGGCTCCTCCATTTCCACCACCAGTGGAGTAGGTGGCTCCGCCATTTCCGCCACCATAGTGGCTCACAGCCTGGGGAGCAGAGGAGCTGCCCACCAAAGAGCCAACGCTGGCCGTCTGGAAGGCACCCAGCGGGCCATAGGAGGCGTGGCTGGGGGCGGCCAGGAAGGAGCCGCTGGAACCGCCGCTGGTGGTCAGCGAACCGGAGACTCCGCTGCCATAGTTGTAGCCCTGGGGTTTGGCCTGGCTGAGAGCCAAGAGAGAGCAGAGAGTCTGGAGAGAAAAAAAAATATAATCCTCTGGTTAATCCTCCGTTTAATCCTCCAGTTAATCCTCCGTTTAATCCTCCAGTTAATCCTCCTTTTAAACCTCCTCTCAACTCACCACAAATAGACGCATGTTGAGTGGTTTTCAGTTGTTGGCTTAATGATGCTACCCCCTGATGATTTGTTGGCTTTTATAGCCCGAATATTGGTTCCTCCGCTTCTTACCATTTTTCTATAATTTTTTTCCCTCCTCGCAGGTTTAATTAATTGCTCAATTATTTGACTATGCCGAACCTCTGACATTTGACTTGTTTGCCGTCTCTTTCACGCTTCCTCCTTTAATGTGACCCCTTCGAACATCCATCGATGTTCGTTTTGTTTCTTTTCGGTGCGATCATAAATCATAGTCGATTTTTGTCTATATATTCGCCGGTCGACGACGAAGTTCAACGCAGGTGAATCAATATCAATATCAGTATTATATCGAAATACGGTTGCATTTTTTCCGTTTTGTCGCATTGTTTCGTGTTTCATCTCAAAAGTTGTATGCAAAATTTTGCATAAAATCCTCGATTGATTGATTGATCTTTTGCGGTCCATCAAGTGTGGCTTAATGTAGAGGAACGTGTTTATGACTTAATTTGATCAGCATTGAAAAGACAAGCGCGTTTCTTTGGTATTGAAAGTGTATAACGGCTTTGGTTCTATCTAATTTGGATTCTTCAAAAGATTAAATTTGAAATTATTTATACCAAAATGTAAATATTCAACTTGCTTGCTTGCTTTTAATTTTTCAACATTTATTTAAACTTGCAAAGTAATTTTTTTTTCTTATTTCTTTTTCTAATTTCTTTTAAATTTAATTCTTTTAATCTGTGCTTTGGTTATCGTCTAACGACGATGGTTTTTTAACGATTGACAGGCTTTTTGAACGTTTCGCTTGGATTTCCTTCAACTTCTATAAATTTATCACTGTACAAAAAAATTGAAATTTTATAAAAAAATTTATCTGAGGATTCGAACTCACACTTTGAGCTCCAACTTGTAGTTGTAGGTGCGGCACAGCTGCATGAATAGGTCCTCGTTAATCTGCTTTATGATCTTTAGGACGCTATAGACAATGTCCCTGATATGTTGGCTCCAATGCTCCCTGCTAACTTGATACAGCGTGGGGAACATGATGGACATGATGTCCTCGTTGTTCTTTATTATAAGCCGAACGATCTCCTTTTTGCTCCACAGATAACAAGCAGCCTCGGCTACCTAAAATGTTTGGGGATGTAATACTGTAACTGTAACTGTATGTAATCAAACAAAAAAAACATACAAGAACACAAGGACTGGACACGCATTTGGCAGTCCGATGGAACAGCGGTATCAGGATTTTGAGAAACTGTTTGTGCTTGGTAATTTGCAGAATCTTAACCAACTCCTTCATGAATATGACCTCCTTCTTCGTTGATGTCTTGGGCCAGAGCCTTAGCAGGCCGTTGATAAACTTGGGAATGAGAGATGCATTCTCCTTCAGCAAATCTAGAACGCAGCTCTCCAGCTGAACGTTAAAGGTTTTTAGTGATTCGCTTTTGTGCAATGGCAAGAGGACATTGAGCAGTAACTGCTCTCGATCGGCCAGCGGTAGTACATCATAATTCTTAATTATTCTTATCGAAAAAAAACAAAACAAAAAATAAAATAAAACAATCAAGCGAGATATATGTAAATATCATTTAAAACATACACTTTTAACAGCTCCAAAAGCTCTGCAATGCCATCAATTTGTTCCGTTTCATGAATGAATCGATAGAATACGTTGGTAATCTGCTTTCGAATATAAGGACGCAATCCTTCAAACCTTCGGTAGATGCGAAACAAAAGCTCCTGTGAACAATCGCGCTCTCCCGAATCCTTTGTGTCTAGGTTCTCCAATAACTATCGAAACGAACCAATCGATAGGAATAGAATACTAAAGATCTGCAAGGACTCACCTTTACGATAATCTTTTCATCGATTTCTCGATTTTCCTCCACCGAGATATTCAGGAAGTGTGTGAAGATCTCAATGGTTAGCTGCCGTTTGGCCAGGGCCTCCTGCTCCATGGGAGCAATATCGTTGGCCACGATGGCTGCGGCATCGGACTCATCGGCCTCATCGGCGGGACTGACGATCTGATCGGAAAGACTCATTTTAGGGATTTAAAAAAAAACGTATTTTCTTATCTTTAGTAATATTTGTTGTGTGACTAGTTGACTGGTGAATGATGGGGGTGATAGAATAATGGGTGATGTTAAGGGAATAGGTAATATGATCCCAGAATGATGGGTGATTATAGAGGAATAGGTAATATGATCACAGAAAATGAAAGTAAAGTAAAAAATAGTATACCATATCTCAAAAAATTAAAAACAAAATAACTAAATAATATAAATAAATAATATAAAATAATTATATTTATATTATATCATAATAATTTCCCATAGCTAACTTTCATTGGCAGTGCTTTCATTTTCCTTTGGCAATTCTCTTTCTTTCGGTTTCTTCAAGTTCTCTTAAAGCATATTGAACATGTGTTCACATTTCGATTTGGGAAGCTTTACCTGTTACTTGATTGATGGACGCCAATTTGTTTGCTGTCTTTGTTGGCCAAACAAAAATGCCTTAAAGAATCTTCGGGGTTCTTTTCTTTTTGCCGGTGATTTTTCTTGTTGTTTTTTGGGATTTTTTTCTGTGCTCAGTTCTTAGAACAAAACTTGCTTCCGCCATGGGACTTTAGTCTGACGTATTAAGCCATTGTTAACAAGAGCTTAATTATGCTGGAATTATGGAGGAATTAAATGGCATCACTCAAAGAGCATTATTATTTTTTTGAGCCACAGGCGCAGCAATTTATTGGCGTTGATTTCATATGCCGCTCAAATGTGTGAACTCTAAATACTCTACGTATATTTACAAAATCAAATGCAATATTATTATTATTTTGCATATTAAATGAATATCATTTTTGGTATCTTTACCACCGAAAACAAGTTGATTTTCTGTTGTTGCAATAGCATCTCAATTATTGTTTGGCTTCAGTTTTTAGTTTCCGCTTTGATCTTCGCAGTTTTGACAAATCTTGGCTGGCACATAAATTATATCATTAGTTTTGGAAACGTTGGCGGCATGGACAGACAAAAAGCGCCGAAAAGGATTTAACGAAACAGGAAATACCCTCTGGGGCACTTGTATTATTTTAATATTTATTTATATCTAAGAGCTGTATAATTTTATTACATTTATTGGCTGTGATTTTATAAACACCCAACAAAGGGTATCAGCTAATATGCGTGGTTTGCATGGCGTTGTGTCACGGTTTATTTTTAGTTTTTGGTTTTTTTTTTTAGTTAAGGCGGCTAAAAGCAGAAATTCCAAAAACCACAAATCGTCGACTGTTTTGTTGATGAAAAATTTCAATATAATTGCCATAATTTGAATGCGTTTTGGGCAGGGCCGTTTTAGGGCCATTGTTTGTGTTTGCGCTTTTGGCCAGGCAACGAAATGTGTGATTTATTTATATATTTTGGTCTCGCCAGTGGCCACCTTGAAATAATAAACACTAATCATTTGGGGGGAAAGAAAGGCAAAGACTTAGAATTTATAGCTTGCAAATGATCGATATTTTCACAATATCGATTCGATAATATTAATGTTTTCAAGCTCTCTACTTAGAACCAAACTGTTTAGTTATTTTGGAATTTTTGCCTCCTCGACCTTGGGTTTGCCTCACCAAGATTAATTGCTGCCAAATTGTTGCTGCTGCCAATCAAAAAAAGGTCGCCCAGTTGATGCCCAAAATGGCTTCGAAATACAAAGAAAATAAATATAAAAAACAAATCCCATTAATTAAATGCAAATGCAAATAAATCCAAAAGAAGATTAACTAGCCAACGAGTCAAAGAGGAGACAAATCGCATAAAAAACTGCATTGCCGTTTTGCGGTTTCTGTTTTCGGTTGCGTATTGCAAAATTTATGCAGATTTTTAAGTTTTTGCTAACTAACAATTTAAGACGAAATTTTGAAGCCCCTGAAAATTGGAAATTACTATTATATTCAACTTAAAAAATAAAATTTTAAGTAATTTTCTTAAGAATTTTTTCCTTAGTGATTTAGAATTTTCCATTATTTTCCGTATTTTCTTATTAACATTTTTTGTACTTTTTTTACATTTATATTTAGCAAACTCCCCTAAAATATTTTCTTTTGTCACAGGGTCAAAGCACTTTTGCCAATATCTTTAGACACAAAACGCAAATCAGATGGCAAAGTTTGCAAAAATTATACAGAAGAAGATAAAAAAGAAGAAATAATTAAAAGAAACCATTTTTATTTACGCGTTCGCCAGTTTTTTTTTTTTTTGATAAATTCGCTAGTGGAAATGGCTTATCAATTAAATGCAAATAGCGTGGAATATTCAACGAGTTGCGGATATAAACGGCGCTTCAGTAGGATCGTTCCACTGGCGCCAAAATTGTGGAGGTGGTGGGTCTATCGTAGTGATAGCCATTGGATTGTGGAACTTGGTAGGGAGCTGAATATTGAGGACCACCGCCATCGAGGGCGCCAATCACCGACTTAAGGGGCCCCACATAGGGCGCCAAAATTTCGGTATTTCCACCAAGTTGATCGTACTGCGTTTGGATCTCCTTTTGGGCAGCCGCCGCCTCATCGTTCGTTTTGTACTTGATGAAGAATACGTCCGGTTTTTGTTCCGTTTGGGGTTTCTCCCCCGGCACCTCAATGTCCTTGGCCTCCAGTTCGTGCTGCTTCCGCGTGAGAACATAGATCACGGTTCGCTCCTCCTGGGGCGCCAACTCCGCCGTGTACTTCACATGCTCACTGTTTCCCGCCGGAGCTCGAATAAAGATAACTCGGTAATTGCGGCGCGGTTGGCCAATAAACAAATGCCTTGTCTTTGGCTCCAGATCCTCGGGATCTTCGGCTGGTGAAATGCTAAAGAACTGCTTCGTTATAATGGGTTCCATTTGCGAATTAGCTGCTGATGGTGGCAGATAGGAACGCGGTCCTTGAGCCCAGGAAAGAGCTGCCAACGAGGAAAGTGAAAGCCACACCACCACGAATGAGTTCAACATTTCGCGAATTTCAGAAGACAACTGATGAGGTTTTTCCAACGCAGCTTCACTTTTAAGACAGCTCTAGTTAGATCGCACAGCCAGATTGGACAGAGAAAATCTGTTAAAATTAGCCATTTCACATGCATTAAAACTGCTGCCAAAACAAAAGACTTGGGCAACGAACTTGCGTTGGGTCGAAAAATTAATTGTGCGTAAAATGTAAAAATTGCTATGTGGTAAGGGTTTTTGTATAATTAACAAATAATCCAGAAATATATAAGAAGAAAATTAAAAATATTTTAACATTATTTCTTGTATACTTCTAGTATTTATTACATGATTATACATTTTAAGATCTTTACTTATCTTCTGCTTTTCCTCATTCGTTCTTAAGACCACCAAGTTCAAGGCCCAATAGCCTTGAAAAATCTCAGTAGATTACCCCAAAAGATCCCCGTAACTTAATTTAAAAGCAATTAATTAAAGTTTGATGTTCCCTCTGCCCCGATTTGCTTCGCTTTTGACATACCTTTTCGTTATGCTCTTCTCACATCCCACCGATTTGCAGCAGGTCATTTATCATCAGGTGGTATTTGTATTTTGGTTTTAGCTTTATCTTTAGCTTTTGGGTGGGATAAAAGTAGAAGTGCTGCCTATCGCCGGGGCGCAGCATCCAACGCCCTCACCATTTGACTAATGATCTTGGCCAACTCAACTCTCGCCCTCTGTTTCAGTTTCTTTTTCAGTTTCTGTTACCATCTGCATCATTCGATTTCAGTTATTTGGTTCGCAACCTCGTCGCTGATTAGTAGATTAATTTGAGCTCCGTTTTTTTCTCGTTTTCGGCTCGGTGTTGTCAACAAGAGACAATTAAAATATCAACAATGGCTGGCCATATCTCGGCTATAGATATATATATATATATTGGCAACTGGTCCGTCGTCCATTGGATTTGCATAAATTGACGCGTAATTCCCACACTTTCATGTCGCATTTAAGCAAAATGGTACAGCTAATTTGATTTATGCTCGGTTTTTATTAAGAAAAATTGTTTGGCCAATGGCCATACAAGGTGCATAGATGGATAAGTTGCTTGCGAGGCCTATGAAGATGTTATTTTTCGGGTCATTTTTGGAAGACTTTTTGGGAGAGGTCAGATAAGATATAATGGTGTGCTAGGAAAAGATTAATTGGATTTCACTATAGCCTGGTATTATCAACTACTTGAAAAACTAAAGTCTTTTATTTGAAAAATCATAAATAACTGATATTCAAGAGTTTTAATAATACAAATTAAAAGTTATTTTTTACTATATTATATAAATTTATAAAGATATTTATTTTGAGATTTTTAAAATTAATTTTTGTTATTGAATCTTATAACTGTTATGGTCTCTGGTTGAAATACATCCCCCCAACAGTTCGTATATTTATTTTCTCACACTTATCTTTCTTTTGATTTAACTGCAATTAAAACTCAATTAATATTAATGCTAATGCCAATAAAGCGAAGAGATAACTTGCCTCATTTCCAAATGTTTCTGTTTGCACTTGATTGTTTTATTTGTTCCCTCGGTTCAATTTCACGATTTTTTGGAGTATCTGGGGATGCCATTAGCTGCGATTCAACATTAATCAATCGATCTTTGGCCCGACTTTATGCAGCGTCAGTTTAATGGCCCAATCAAAGCAACAAAAAAGAAAAAAGCAAAGAAGAAAAAACCTAAAAATCGAAAATATAAAAAAGTCAACTATTTAATTAAATTTGATGAGCTTATTTTGATTTCTCACTTCATTTACGCTAATTTCTGTTGGAAATTTTGACGGCAGCTTTGGCTTCGATTTTTATTCGGATTCAGATTCAGATTCGGATTTGTATTTGGATTTGGACATATTGAAATGTGACTGCTGATTTGAATATCGGGGAAAACAAAGCCTCGATTTATTTTTGACTTTGACTTTGATTTGGTTTTTGATTTCTTTGATTTCGGCTTTAATTTAATTGCGCCGAAGAGACATTTCAATTTATTTATACGATTTTTATTAATTTTCTAAATGACTGACCTTTGTTTTTTATATTAGGAGATAATATCTCTTGGAAGTTCTTCACTTGGTTTACCAACCCGAAATCCTTTTGAAGTACAGACACAATGCTTGATATATATTTTTTTAATATAAGCTTTTTATTAACAACAGTTCGATATAACAAGAAAAAAAATACAAAAAAATATTGAGTGATTTCTTAAAAATACGCAACACAACAGGGTAGAGCTTGAAAAAATCGATTCTATCGAATCGATATTGTGAAAATATCGAAAATATCGATTATTTTGTCAAGCTCAACAACAGGGGGTTCGAGAATGGGTTTCTTTGTTTTCTGATGATGATTCAGTGTGCTAATCCCTTAGTGCTTCAGCAGACTGGGCAGGTACTGGGCATTGGGCGCCACCGCCGCCGATGGTCGGTTGGCAATCTGGCGGTAGTTGTAGCTACCATCGGGATTCAGGCCATCCAGACTGCCGATCACCGAGGTGATGGGCGCATTGTTGTCCTCCTGGTACTCGTTGGTGCCGCCCAGCTTGTCGTACTGACCCTGGATCTCCTGCTGCGCCTGCTTGGCCTCGTCGTCGGTCTTGTACTTGATGAAGAACACCTCCGGCTTGCTGGGCTGCGTGGGCGCCGGCGTGGCAATATCACTGGCATCCACATCGTTGTCCTTCTTGCTCAGCACATAGATGACGGTCTTCTCCTCCTGCGGTGCAAATTCAGCCGAATACTTCACGTTGGCATTATCACCGGCCGGTGCCTTGATGAAAACGACACGGTAGTTCTTCTGCGGACGTCCCAAGACCAAGTGCTTAACCTTGCCATCGTTGCTGTGATCCTCGGGTGCGGAGACCAGATAGAATTTCTTGTTGATAATCGGCGCCTGGGTGGTGCTGGCCGGGGGCAGGTACTTGTCGCCGCCGCGATGCGGCTGAATGCTGACCAGACCGCCGCTTGCGCCTACGAAGGAGCCGCTGGGCGAGGAGAGACCGCCGCTTGAGCCGCCGTTGCCGCCGATGAAGATGTCCGAGCTGCTGGGCTGCTCGTAGCCGTACTGAGGACGGGCCTGGGTCAAAGCCACCAGGATCAGGCAGCCGGCTAGCACTTGTTGGAGGAACATGGTGATGGTTATGGGTGGTGTTGTGTGATAATCCTTGGTAGTTGGTATCTCCGGGTTGCTGGATGCTTCGTTGACGAATTGCTGCGAGGCAATGATTGCATTTTGGGCCGCTCCACTTGTCTTAAATATGCTCCGATTGTCCAATGCTTGGTTGCCGCCTCTGTCGGCGTCGCTGTTCAGCCGTTTATGCAAATGCAAATGCCGCACATAACCAGGCAAAGCCCAAAACTAAAACCACTCTCGATCGCCGTCATCTGGTCTCGGCCTATGGATCTGTGATCTGTGTGATCTGACCTAAAATTTATTCAAATTAGAACGAACGCAGCGCAGAGACCATAACCATAACCATGGTTCACATTCGACGAAAGAGTCTCTTCTCTGGCATTGAACTTGACTGTGCCGGTGCGGTGCGGTGACCCTGTGAATTCACGATGGATTAGCAAATATCTAAATATACGTCTTCATAACCCAACATAAGCTAAGAAAGATATACCAGTATATACCATATGCCTACCTAGCTGCAAAAACTATTGAATGGATTGGGAATCTAGCGAATCTCATTAAACGGCACCTCATCATCACTGGCAGCGGCATCAATCTTGTCCAGAAACACGTTTGCTGGGTTTTTCTCTCCTTCACGTCTGTCATTAGTTTCGGGCCTATTCGCCCATCAATTAATTTGCGAATATCTATAACAGTTGGATTAATCAATGAATATTTAAGGCTCGAAATTATCAAACGCTTTAGGGTTTTAATCATAGCTTTTTGGGTTTGCAACAGGTTAATAACGATAATAATATTAAAAAATATATATTTAAAACAAAACTCCATTTAACGTTTGATTGTAGTTATACCCGTTACTCGTAGAGTAAAAGGGTATATTGTATTCGTGCAAAAGTATGTAACAGGTAGAAGGAAGCGTTTCCGACCCCATAAAGTATATATATTCTTGATCAGGATCACTAGCCGAGTCGATCTAGCCATGTCCGTCTGTCCGTCTGTCCGTCTGTCTGTCTGTCCGTCTGTCCGTATGAACGCTGAGATCTCGGAAACTATAAAAGCTAGAAGATTGGCATTTTGCATGCAGATTCTGGGAGTTCCTACGCAGCGGAAGTTTATTTCAAAAAGGTGCCACGCCCCCTCTAACGCCCACTAGCCCTCTCTATCGCCCACAGTTTTGAAGCTATTATGAAAATAGTAACTGATATGTATTTGTTTCGTCAATACATATCGATTGGCCAAGTAAAAGTTTGCCACGCCCACTCTAACGCCCGCAAAACCCATTTAACGCTTAAACCTGTCTAGCGCCTACATTTCCGCCTTTCATGGCCAGTAGTACCAATATCTTGGGGTAGATGGCTCAATTCAATATACAATAGCGCCATCTATTCAGATGGTTAATTTGAACTTTTTGTCCTTTTTTTCTGTGGTCACACTAATTCACAATATGTTATTGCAAATTTTAAATTATTTGAAAAGGGCGCGCATTTTGTCTCTTTTTGCTCGTATTCGTTTTTCACAAGTGCATTCACCTGCGCTAGAGAGAGACGGAAGATGTGCTAGGCAGAATTGAAAGTTTTAGAAGGCCTCCACGTGGAGTTCCCTGGGTAAAAAACGGGAGCTAATTCCAGCTTCGAAAAACAAAAAAGGAGGCATATTTCTATTAAGTTGTTTAGCTGAGTAACGGGTATCTAATAGTCGAGGCACTCGATTATAGCGTTCTCTCTTGTTTTTTTTTTGTTTCGGTAGTTATTTTATTTGAACTTTAGATTTTCCCACCCTTTTCCAGTAATAATTAGTTGGTTCATTAGAAGTTTTTATCAATTAGTTCTTTAGCACATTATTTGATTGTAAATTTAATTCTTTAATTAACAGGTTTACCCTGGGCTTCTGTTAATTTAATAAAAATAAACCAGTTGTTTCTATCTTGAATAAAATAAGATATACATGGGTTTATTTTAAAGAAATGGTATCGATTATAAATTGAGTCAAATTCAATTTCCGTTGACCAAAAAGATTTCAGCCCAGCCTTCTTGTTCGGAATTTCCCATCGATTTTGGCTGGTATTTAATTTTTGCTATTTTTGTCACCATAAATGGTGACCCCAACTTAGCAGGGTGACTCAGCCGGCTAGCCGAGACTCGAACCAACATTCACCTGGCGCTTCGCCTTGGAGTTCGCATAAATCTAAATATTGCCGAAAATAAACACATAAAACATAATTTGCACTCATCGAGCATATTTGAATAATGCCTTTGAATGGATTTATGGCCCCGGCGATTGATGACAGAACGTGAACGCATAAAACTGATTTTGTGAAAATTTGTGGTCTTCATCGGTAATATTCGGCATATTCTAACAAATCTGAATGCGATTTCGAGTAGACTAATTTAGCCATTAGCCGATCAGCGATCACAGATCACAGATCGCATATCGCCTGTGGATTATGGAAAACCGAACAAAATGATAATTATCAATTAGGCATTCCATATTTATAACCACCTGCGATCGCTCGCTGTGCTGGAAATTTATGTAACATTTTATTGATGATGACAGTAATAGAAATCGAATCGAGGGACAAATCTTCGATCTTTCGATCTCAATCTTCTTCGGATTCGGAGCTTGGACCTCGGAGCTCGGCTCTTTGCGGCTACCGTCCGTTGGGGCGTTTTATTTAGTAGGTGTGATTATCTTTATGCTAAAGATCTAACCGCTGGCCGCCGCCCATTGATATGCAGATCAGATCGCAAGATCTACGAGAAAGATATGGGAGATAGTATGTGTTTGTTCGGGTTTTCTCTCTCTCCCTTCGTAATTGATAATAAATTTGTGCTTTTGGGGCGTGGTTCAGCCCATTTGCCGCATTATATATCTAGTATGGCTAATTTTTTATTTAATACCCTTTGGTATTTTAATGCGACTTGCATAGGCGACCTTGACGGGGCCTGCATACCAGCGATACTCCGATTTGAGTTGCTTTTAAGTCGCTAATTTATTTACCCCGAGTGGCTTTTTGAGTCGAGTTGGCCCTCCGAGATTGGCCAGCACTTTTGGACGGGTTGAACGGCGGGCCAGTCGATCGGTTCCGATCGGGTTGAACAATTATGAGCAGCTTGCCAAATAGTCAAAATGCTGTCACATGGATTAGGTTTTTGGTTTTTTTTGGGCGACATCTCGGGCTTTCCGATTATGCAACTTGCAGGCGGTTCAACGGGTCTCTTCAGGTCCAGAAAATTCCAGTCTAGGGTTTTCCACTTGAAAGGTTAAAAAGAAATCCCTTAAACTAATTGAACTGAATTACATTTTTTTTCTTTTTTTATAAAACTGCAAATAAAACTCCTGGTATTTTACATTTTTTGAATGCCTATAAGAACTCTTATATTTTATTTAAAAAAAAAATATACACAAAAAATATGAATTAATGCCGAAGGCAAAACTAAATAGGAAAAATCGCAAAGGTTTCCTCGGCCGAATTCCACTGCAATGGGCCCCAAACCCAAGGGGCTTTCCCATCCAGTCCGAATCCCCCGAGGTTCCAACAGTGTGTGTGTGTGTCGTCCAGTGGCAGTGACTTGAGATTGGTGATGGAGGAGCTTGGAGATTGATTCGCCTACTTCCTCACCGGCCTCACTGGCAGATAGGTGGCCTGGGCATTGGTGCCAGTGGTCACGGTGCTGATCACCTGGCGCTGGCTTCCCTCCGCCTCGTAGGAGGCTCCTCCATCGATGGTGGGAACTCCGCCGGTGCCCACGATGTTCAGGCTGCCACTGGCATCGGTCACCACGCCGGAGGCTCCATTGTCGCCCAGGCTGCCGATCACGGAGGAAACGGGAATGACACCCTCGTTGCTGGTCTCAGAGCTTCCGCCCAGAGCATCATAGTTGGCTATTCGAGGGGGTGAAATATATTAGTATCTATAATCTAGAGTAATAAAACAAGGGCGCAAAAAAAAGGCAAGTTGACTCTTCAGCCAAAACGGCTTGACATAAGAAAAATGAAATGAAAACCGAAATTCGGAAATAATTCAAAGAGGCATGTAAGATAAAAAAAAATCAAAATTTAAATTTAAAAAAAAAAAAAAAAAAAAAATTAAAAAAAAAAAATTAAATTAAATTTCTTCTGTACCCCCAAAAATCCCCACTATCAGTACAGTAAACACTCACCCTGAATGGTCTGCTGGGCATGGGCCGCCTCCTGGGGCGTCTTGTACTTGACGAAGAAGACCTCCGGCTTGTTGGCCACCGGACGCTGTGTGACCACCTCGGCACTGACATCCAGAGCGTTGGACTTCTTGGACAGCACATAGATGGCGGTCTTCTCCTCCACGGGAGCCACATTGGCAATGATCTTGGCCTTGCTGGTGGTGGAGGTGGGTGCGTTGATGAACACCACGCGGTAGTTCTTCTGGGGCCGGCCCACGTTCACATAGCGGACGATCTGCTGCTCATCGTGATCCTCGGGAGCACTGTGGATGTAGAAATGCTTGTTGATCTGGGCGGGCTGGAAGTTGGCCAGGTGGCTGATGTACGACTCCTGTTCGTTGTAGTTGATGGTGGGTCCAGGCTGCAGACCGGTCAGGCCGATGCTGTCGCTAACAATTCCGCCGCCGACGCCGCCGCCGGAGGAGGATTCGATCTGCTGGTAGTTGGAGGATCCAGAGCCGCCGCCGCTAACCTGGTAGCCAAAGGAGGAGCCCGAGGATCCTAAGGATCCCGAGGAGCCAGCGGATCCCAGGTTCAGTTGACCGATGGTGGGTGCCGAACTGAAGTAGTTGCTGCCGGCGGCCGTCGGCTGATAGGAGGTGGTCACCGTGGCCAGAGGAGCGCTGATCACCTGGTTGGCCACCAGGCCGCCGCCATTGAAGCCACCCGCCTGGTAGCTGTAGCCCGCCAGATGGCTGACATCCGGACGAGGAGCAGCCAGGGAGCCGCCAATCACGGCCAGAACGGAGAAGACCTATGCGATGATGAGGCACTCCAAGTTATAGAATTGGCTGCTCCAAAGGGTTATTCCCTTTTTCGAACTCACCACAAACTGCTTCATGCTGTTGAGAGGATGGATGGATGGATGACAAGAAGGAGTAGCAACTGTCGCCCTGGAGCTGTTGCACTGGATTGATACGGCTGCTACTCCCAACTGTCACCTTTTATACACTTCTATTAATTGAAGTTAATTAAAGTGGTTTGCAATAAATCGTTAAAAAACTATAACACCGAAGACCCCAAAGATCGAAAATCCCAACTCTCGGCGTTATAACTACAAAATCCGGCTAGCACGGCTGGTATTTTTTGTTTTAATATCAGCATCGATCGATTGCCACAAGTGCTAATTGCAGGTGTCAACAAACTGAAGCGCACACAATCAATTTCTATGTCTGCATGTCATTCGACTGGCAGATGAAGCTTGCGAGGCAGAAATTATCGAATAGTCATAGTCATATAGGGGTCAAATGGTGTCTATAAAGTGGAGGAGTCGTCGGGGCGATGAGTGATCCAGATTAGGAGCGAATAATGGGGATGATCTCTTTGGGGGGAACTAAGATGTTAGATTTTATCTAAGGATATGATGAATTTAAGATTTTATATACTAATATACTTAAATCCTATAATACAGAATATAAAATAAATGAATTATGTTTTATCCCTAATATAAAAACATTTTTAACATATATGATCTAGATCCTAAAGAAGCTGAACTATTTTTTTTTTTTTTAAATATACATCCTTAAAACATTTTGTATTCTTTTGAATCTCTTTTAACCCGATATAACTGAATGTGTAGATGCCTATAATTATTAAGTTTTTTAATATTAATGATTATATCCCAAATACAAAATCATTTTATACATCTTTGAGAATTTTAGAGAATTTAATTTATATTTATTAACCAGTTTTAAAATATCTAAAAATACCTAATAATATTTATTTTTGCATACTTTTGAACAAATTTTAATATAAATTTCTTGCGATAGAGCATTCCGAATTCCCCGATTCCCTTTCCGAATTCTTCGCTTGTTTTTTGATTTATTTCATTTTTGGTTCCATATTTTACGATTGCAAGAGAAGACGGTACTGGGGACTGAGCGCCCTGAAAATTTCAAGCAGCCAAACATTTTAGCGCTTTTAATTGCCATAAACCACCGAAATTCGCCCATATTTTGTGGTAGAAAACTCGTTTGTGTGTGTATATGCGGATCTATGCTATAATGTGTGCATGCAACTGATCTTCTGGGGAATTTCTATTAGCGCATAGAGCCATCCAGCAAGGGGGTTTCCACCTTTTGAGAACCAGAACTATTCACATGATCCCACTAATTTGTCTCTTATCGTCTCTTGATTAATTTCCAGATGGCTGGCAGGCATTTCGCGAGTCCAATCGTCTGCAATCCTGGGACTACAAGCGGGTTCTGGTCCTCCTGCAGGCGAAGCATGGCATATTTCCCTACTACCGCGTAAGCGTGGAGAACGGCTACAGTAATCCCCATGATTATGTGATCACCCTGGACGAGGGCGAGATCGGGCTGCCCGACAAGTACTTCTATGGCGACGATGCCGACGAGGAGGTGGTTCGGGGCTATAAGCTGCTCCTTCGGGACTTTGCCATCAATATGGGTTAGTTGTTCGCCTAAAAACGAGGGTTTGCCAATTATCGATATTTTCGATAATATATCGATTTGATAAAATGGATGATTTTAAGGAATATTTTCGATATTTTTTCAAGCTCTAATAAAAACCCACAGTATCCAATTTAATCGATCAATCATTCCCCTTAGGAATCGTTTCCCGGGAGGCCGATCTCTTCGCCGATGACATTTTCCACTACGAACGTCGAATTGTGAAACACATCGAGGATGCCAAAGCCGATGGGAATCGTCAGCTGAATAAACTAATGCGTCTGGCCGATCTGAAGACCAAAGCTCCCTCTGTAAGTGGATTTAATTTGAGGCTACTTTTTCGAATTTATTCTAAAATATATCCCACGTTTAGCTGCCCATTCTGGAGTCACTGCAGGCCATCTTTCCGAAAACCAAAATCACCGAAGAGACCGAGGTTCTGGTGCGCGATGTGGAGGTCATGCATGCCCTATCCATTCTGCTCTCAACCTCGGATAAAAAGTAAGTTTTAACTATTATTAACTCAAAACATAATGGAGTTTAATAGATCGTAAAGTAAATTTTAAATATTTTCTTTTTGTAAGATTTACTGACTAGAAACCGACCTATGCTAATTTAAGCATTGGATTTTAGGTTTATTTATTAATAATAAATTAATAAATAATCTATGATCTATGATATTTAATTGGATTGAATAAAAATAATTTTTTAATATTTTTATTTCATAATAATTATTTTTAAAATATTTTTTATTTAATTTTGTTTATTTAATTATTTGTTAGTTGATCTCTTCGTCTTATAAATACTAGTTTAAAAAACATAAAAATGAGTAAATTTCGTAACTAATGAAATCTTTGTTTACAGGCCAATTAACAACTTTATCATTTGGTCGCTGGCCCGCAAAATGCTGCCGCACTTGTCCAAGGAGTACCGCACCCTGGCCGAGAACTTCGATCATTCTCTGTATGGACGAACGGCCAGCTACCCGCGGTGGCTCATCTGCAGCAAGGTGGTGCGCGACTGGCTGCCCTTCGCGGTGGACGCACTGCAGCAACAGCCGCCCCGGCAGCAATTCGAAACCATAGCGGCCACGAAGAGCAGGGGACTGAACAAGACGCAGGGCAACGAGGAGCTGCTCAAGCTGATGTTCTTCAGCCTGCGCAATCAGCTGAAGGACTCGCTGGATGAGGCCAAGTGGCTGGAGCCGGCGGCCAGGCAGTTCATCCAGAAGAAGCTCAACGAGATGCGACTGCAGTTCGGCATTCCCGACGAGGTGCTGGCACAGCCCAACTATCTGGCCCAGTACTACAACGAACTGATCCTGACCAATGTGTATTTCGTGGAGCATCTGGAGGGCATTTGGACCTTCCGCCGCCTGCAGATGGAGAAGAAGCTGGGCACGCTGGCCATGCTGGATGTGTAAGTGGTTGAGCCATGGGCACCTGGTGATCTCGAAACTTTCTAACACTTTCTCCTCGATCTTTTCGATCCATCCATCCCGCTCTGTTTGGCAGCATTGTTTCCGAGATGTACACAAGGGACAATCCACAGGCCATCGCCTACTCGAACAAACTGAACATGCTGCTCGTCTCCAGGGTGCTGATTAGCTCCAGCTACTACGACTACCGATATCCAGTGTACGTATTAAATTAAATAAAAGCATTTGCAATGGCCAAATTCCTATCTAAATTTAATATAAAATATTTTATTTGAAATAGGGATCGTAATCATTATAAGCAGAAAAAAAAGTAAACAAAATAATCATTATTTTTAAGTTGTATAATGAACCTATTGTTTTTATTATTATTTTTGGTTTGTACACAATCACTTATCAGGAATAATAACATTTTTCCTTAAAATAAAAAAATATATATCAGGAATAATAATTTTTCTTACAATTAATGATTATTTCTGATAATATTTATAAAACTCTGAAAAAAATAACCAAAGATTTCCCTTTCTAATGATCTCTTCTCTCCCTTTCTATACCATGCAGAGCTGTGAACTTTGCCCGCATTGGCACCGATATTCTGGAGGCCCTGATTGACAACTTCTCCACCTTCCTGCTGCAGTTCAACACCCAGAGCACGGACATCAGTGACGCCGCCCCGGAGATACCGTATCCCCGGCCGGATGTCAATTGCCTGGCGGCTGGGCAGCCGCCGCGATTGGTCCACGAACTTAACGAGCTGTCGAGCAGTGCGCTGAAGAGCTTCCATGTGACGCTGAGTGCCGCCCGAACGGCGGCCAGGGCGTTGAGCAGCTTTGTGAGTGCCATCGATGCGGGCAGTGCCATCCAGGGATCGGGAATCGATCAGGTCAACACCTACGAGGCCCTGGGACTGACGCGTCGCCTGAGGGTGCCGGGCCTGAGGTCCTTCAACGAGAACGAGCTCTTCACACTGGCCTACATGCAGCAGCACTGCAGCACCACCATGGCGGACAAGGACTACGCCAGGATCAAGCCGCTGGTGGAGAGCCAGCTGGCCGAGAGTTACCTGTAAGCGGTTGCCCCTTGGAGAACCCATTTAACAAAGTGCTTACATATTCCAATTATATACTATTCCAGCTTCAATGCCACCTGGCAGCACATCCAGTTCCTGCCCCGCTCCACAAACTGTGCCGCCGCGGAGGCGAGTTGCTCCAACCTGCTCTGAGATGCGATTGCCCATCCACCAGGACCCCCAGCTCCTCCGCCAGAGCCCTGTGGATGATGATGGATGGATCAACGATATATTTATTGTACTTTTTTTTACTCCCACACATTGCCAGAGACACAGCTGCAGGAGACACACACACACACATCGCCTTAGTTTTAGCCTAGTGATTAAGCGTAGCACGTAGATTAACCATGAAGGATCTGACTTAACTTTGACTAGCCACTGTTGACATCACGCCACACATTCGCACCCCGCTCCAACTTGACAGGAAGTAAGCAAGTTGGCCAGCAAGTCGGCTTAAGTACGAACCCCACGCCTAGTTTAGTAGTCTAGCTCGGTAGCCTAGACCTAGTTAGTTGCTAAGCGCCGTCTGCCACCCTGTATAAATTGATGAATTTGATTTTTGGAGAACAATTAAATGAGAATGACTTTTCACACAACTCGAAAAGCAATCGAAAATTGTGGGCTTTCTGAGGGCATTTGGATTATAACTCTCGGTTTTGTTTTTTTTTGAAAATTCAGGATTTCACTTTTTGACAAAAATTTGAATTTTTTCTTTTGGTTTTTTTAAAAATGGTCCTACACCAAAAATACATACTGTTTTGAACAGATAACAAAATTATCTATAAATCCAGAACACTTTCCGTGTGATTTTGGAAAAATAAAATTTTCGCCTATTTTTAATTTTTTTATAAGGGGGTACCCCATGATTTTTTGCGAAAAATTAAAAATAAGTAAAATCTCAAGGTTTAAATGCCAATCGTTAGGAAATTTAATAACGAGTTCAGAAAGGTATGACAATCCATACTTTAAATCAGTATTTTCTTTGTTTTAGCGAAAAACCGGTTTTGTTTTTTTTTTTTTGGAAATTCGGGATTTCAGTTTTTGACCAAAATGGAATCTTTTCTTTTGGTTTTTTCGCTGTAACTTGGCCAAAAATGGTCCTACACCAAAACTACGTACTGTTTTGAACAGATAACAAAATTATCTATAAGTCCAGAACACTTTTCGTGTGATTTTAGGAAAATAAAATTTTCGCCAATTTTTAATTTTTTTATAAGGGGGTACCCCATGATTTTTTGCGAAAAATTAAAAATAAGTAAAATCTCAAGGTTTAAATGCCAATCGTTAGGAAATTTAATAACGAGTTCAGAAGGGTATGACAATCCATACTTTAAATCAGTATTTTCTTTGTTTTAGCGAAAAACCGGTTTTGTTTTTTTTTTTTGGAAATTCGGGATTTCAGTTTTTGACAAAAATTTGAATTTTTTCTTTTGGTTTTTTTGCTGTAACTTGGCCAAAAATGGTCCTACACCAAAACTACGTACTGTTTTGAACAGATAACAAAATTATCTATAAGTCCAGAACACTTTTCGTGTGATTTTAGGAAAATAAAATTTTCGCCAATTTTTAATTTTTTTATAAGGGGGTACCCCATGATTTTTTGCGAAAAATTAAAAATATATAAAATCTCAAGGTTTAAATGCCAATCGTTAGGAAATTTAATAACGAGTTCAGAAAGGTATGACAATCCATATTTTCAATCAGTATTTGCTTTGTTGTAGCGAAAAAACCGGTTTTGTTTTTTTTTTGGGAAATTCGGGATTTCAGTTTTTGACAAAAATTTGAATTTTTTCTTTTGGTTTTTTTGCTGTAACTTGGCTAAAAATGGTCCTACACCAAAAATACATACTGTTTTGAACAGATAACAAAATTATCTATAAATCCAGAACACTTTCCGTGTGATTTTGGAAAAATAAAATTTTCGCCAATTTTTAATTTTTTTATAAGGGGGTACCCCATGATTTTTTGCGAAAAATTAAAAATATATAAAATCTCAAGGTTTAAATGCCAATCGTTAGGAAATTTAATAACGAGTTCAGAAAGGTATGACAATCCATATTTTCAATCAGTATTTGCTTTGTTGTAGCGAAAAAACCGGTTTTGTTTTTTTTTTTTGGAAATTCGGGAATTCAGTTTTTGACCAAAATGGAATTTTTTCTTTTGGTTTTTTTGCTGTAACTTGGCCAAAAATGGTCCTACACCAAAAATACATACTGTTTTGAACAGATAACAAAATTATCTATAAATCCAGAACACTTTCCGTGTGATTTTGGAAAAATAAAATTTTCGCCAATTTTTAATTTTTTTATAAGGGGGTACCCCATGATTTTTTGCGAAAAATTAAAAATAAGTAAAATCTCAAGGTTTAAATGCCAATCGTTAGGAAATTTAATAACGAGTTCAGAAAGGTTCGATTGGATATTTATTTACGAGCTCAGCGAGTTATGACATTTAAGATTTGGACCTTGTTGGCAACATTATGGCTAAAAAGCTGTTTTTTTTCGGAAAATTGAAGTTTTGACAAAAATACTCTTTGATTGTGATTTTTCAATTTTAATTCGTTATTAACCTCTCGATTGGTGTTTGACTAACAGCAGATTTTTAATTGAAAGGTCTGAAATTAGGCATTTTAATGAAAATGTGTGCCTACTTTTAGGATCCAAAAAAAAATCATTAAGAAATATTCTAATTTTCCATACATGCTAAAATTTTTTTATTTACATAATTTTGCATGTTTTATACAATTTTAAATATGTTTGCAATTTGAACTACACTTACAATTTGTCAACCTATCGCAGGTACAATAGAAGACTTCGTTCAGGTCTGTAAAATGTGATAAAAACTTAGGCAGTTAGAAGGAAAGTCGCAGATATGTTGGCTATGTTTCTATACGATGTTGCATTTGTGGGCCACAAAGTCGTTGATGTAATTAGCCACACTGCGATGGAATTCGACATCCATGCTTTCGATTAGCTGCGAGCTGAGCTTGCTGGCCACTCTGAAAAATAATATTATTATAGATTATATTAAAAAATAAGATAATAACAGATTTATTACTAAAGATTATAGATAGATATCGATTCTTACTTGGCATATATTTTCCAGGGCGCTGAGCTGCGCGAATGGTTGTAGAAGCAGCTGCGATTGCAGTTGGCCTGAAAGCGGTTCCGATCCTGGAGCAGCTGCTTCCAGGGATCAGCAGTTGGGTTCTCGGGCTGAACTGCTCGGTTGGAAGAGGAAAGAGCTCCTCCTTCGCCCCTTGGACTCTTCTGCATCATTTTCTGCTCTTGTTGGCGTCTTTGCTCTCGACAGTCGATCACCAGCTGCTTGTGCCGCTCCAGCTCCGCCCGCTCCCGCATCGCCTGCTCCTGGCGCTCGTTCAGCTGACCCCCTCGTGTTCCCCCCCTCCTTTGCAGCTCCGTCTCCATGAAGTCCAGCACCTTCTTCTCGTCCCGCAGCTCCTCCTCCAAGGTGCGGGAGAAGAAGGCCCGGCCATCGGGATCGCGCAGGACCTTCACCTCCTTGAAGCGGTCGTCGCCGGGCCGCAGCTGCTGGTGAAGCTGCTGGCGCTCCTTCAGATACCGATGTCCCTCCCAGAATTTCTCCCTATACGGGGACTCGTCCAGGCTAAGGGGTCTATGGGTTTTAGGGATTATAATATTTTAAATATATTTTTAATTAAATAAATAAAATAGTTTGTGTTTTATAAGTACTTTCAAAGGTATTTTCATGTTTCAACAAGTAATCATTTAATTAATTGATATTATTTGGATAGCTATATTCAAGAATATTTGAAAAGGCCCATTATAACACCCGTAGTCAAGAATAGAAATGATAATATCAAACGAATACTTGAGTTATTGCATCAGCTTGGGTTTTTGCGGCTCGGAAAAAGGAAAGAGGTGTCCGGGGAGCTGTTGGCACTAGCTTTCATATGGACTGCCGTCACGCAAGTTTTGATACCCCTACGGGAACTGCACCCGAGGTCCTTGGCTGAGGACCCAATCCCCAAGCACCAAGCCTCCCAGCCACCCACTCCACTTCCACTTTTCCGCAGTGATAGTTGAAGGCACAGGCCTCAAGGCCAATGCCAAAAATAGGAGAATGGAATCAAATCGCGCTGGCTTAACCCCTGTTCCTGAATACCCTCTTATCATAACTTTTTGCAAAATATGTCAAAAATGTAAAAAAAAACATTCCATATTTTGACAGTTTTTTGCATTTTTTGGCCAAATTACTGATATTTTAATGATAAAAATATGGAATCAATTTTTATACAACAATTTTTGCAGTTTTTCACCATTATTCTTGTCCTAACATTCAGTTGATTATTTCATATATTTCATTACCAACTAAAAACTTGTAACTAAATTTTAAACAAATGTTCGATTTCCAAAATAAAGATTATTAACGAACTAAGTGCCAAAGAGCATGTCAAAGGCACAATAACCGATTGGATGAATAGGGTATGATTACGCGATTCATTCACTCATTTGCTCCTTTATTCATAGCCTGGGTCACTAGGGTTAAGGTTGTGGCTACCCAAACCCCCTTTCGTTGTTTTGGAAACGCCCCTTCCCTTTCCAATCGCAGTGATAGCGCACGTAAATAAAATGACACAATCAAACTTGGAAATGGAGAAGCCAAAAACCGTAGAAGAATTAATTAATAAACACCGCCCGATGAGGCAACCCTCCGGTAGAAAGAGATGGGGCTATTCGCTAAATGGCAAAGCCAAATTTATTGATCAAACAAATAAAGCGCATCAGCAACTTGGCTAGAAATAAAAAAGAAAGAAAAAAAAACAAGAAAACCAGAGTGGAGAAAATGACGAAATAAAGGGGGGTTCTTCGATTTATAGTTGATATATCGAAAGGGCAAAAGGGTTTTCAGAACCCATCACTATTTATAGTCCCCGCTGCCATCGATTCCGACTATCGTCCGATTTCGGTTGGGTAAATATAGCCAGCATATACCAATATGCACACTATATATACGCCCATCATATAACGCAAATTCCAACTGCAAACAGTTGTCGATTAGCGCCCGTCGATCGTAGTATTTGATTACGGTCGTTCTTCCTATCAGCAAAAGACCAAAATGCAAAAAAAGAAAGAAATTTGCACACCAAAAAATCAAAAAAAAAAAACATAAAAAGAATGTGAGACATGAGACATTAGCTAAAAGCCAATAATGACCCAAAAACCAGAACCATATAAAGCCAGTAATCCGAAATATCAGAATATCAGAAGAGGGAGAGCACAGAGCGCAGAGCGGAGCGACCCTGAACTTGCCATTAGTCACCGACTTTGGCTATCTTAACAGTTATGTAGGTAGATACAACTAAGCCTCGCCGGCAGATAAAATCACTAATTTCGAATTAAACACACAAAGTGCGATATTTAATAGATTTTAATGGATTTAATTCAAATGCAACGGCGTAATATTCTCATGAAAACAATTAACAGAATTAGAATTAAATCAAGCTTTAGCTTTAGCACCTGAAATTCGAACAGTGGAGGACAAAACACTAGTGTCAGGTAATATTATAGGGGGTTTCCTAGAACCGATAAGGTTTTATAAAAATGGTAATAAGCTTGTATAATACTGGAATGATTTAACAATTAATAATGTTTATTTGTCAACTTGTTTATTTGCCATTAATTTTATTAATATATGATATAATAAAGATCAATACACTTTTAGAGGGCCTGCTTATTTATGACGCTTTTTTGACTGCAATAAAGTTGATAAGAACAACATTCCAATCAATACCCTACTTCACAAATAATTTCAGAAATAAAGTTTTTTATTTAGCTTGAAATTATTTTTATAACCTTTTTGTATTTTATATTTACTAACTATTTGGATATTGGAAATATTATTTATTTTATTTATTAATTAAACTATTTTTTCTTAACTGTAGGGTATCAAGAAAGTCGAAAACATTTTCAGCCTAATAAAAAAGGGTTAAGAAGAGAGAGTGAAAAAGAGAGGGTTTTCGAAACACCAACAAAAACAGAGAAGAATAGAAAAACCAAAACAACCAGTGGCCCTTGTTGTTGTTGTTGCTGCTCCTGTTTCAGTTATTCTTTTAGTGTTGCTGTTGTTGTTGCTCTAAACGCCGGCTAAACTAGTATGAGTAAATGAGTATATGAGTAACAACTCCATCGGCAGCGACGCCGGCAGAGACGATGGCGTCAGCGGAGGAGCATTGCCAGCTGACTCCCACTCTCCCACTCTCGACGTCCCCCTCGCTCCGTCGCTCCCAATCTCCCCCTCTCTCCCACTCTCTCCCACTCTCTCCCACACTCTCTCAGCTGACGACCGGCGATGACATCATTTTGGCGCTGCCATTGCCTCTGCCGCGGCGCAGTCGCAGCCCCCCAACGTCGCTGCCTCGCCAACAGTGGCGGTAGACAAGATAGCACCACAAATTACAGTCATTAAAAATTGTTTTTAGGTTTGTGATTTAAAATAAAAAATATGGAAATGTACATTAAACAATGTTTAAAGTTTCAATTTAATAAGAAATCTTCTTTCAAACAACTATTGTTTATGTAATCTTATTCATAAAAGAAACATTTTTTAAGTGTCATAAAACAAATATCTTATGTAAATAATTTTGGTAAACTGTAGAACCTAAATGCTTAAACATATTTCGTGATACCATACCATGATAGATTCTATTTAGCGCACCCCATCTGTAAGGGGGGCACTTACAGCATATGGAGAAGCACTTTTTTATTATTATTTTTAGATATTGCTGCCACCTGGGTAGCGAACCGTAACCGTAACCATTATACCGTTTGAACCATATTAACCGAGATAATTTTATAGTCGTAACTGAAAAATCTAACTGATACATGTATTAGGGTATTAAATATTTTTCTTTTAACGGTACAACATTCTTTAATTTTACCCATATTATTTCTACTTTCCTAAAAGTAAAGAACTAAAGAAATTTTTATTAATTCAAATTCAATTTCTAGGTTATAAACTATACTTTTTACTATTCAGTTGTATTACTTTCATTAGATTTTAAAGATAAAACCTCATAATATTTTCTTTATTATATAATTTATAGTTTACTTTTGCTATTCAGTTGTATTACATTCTTTAGAAATAAGACCCACTATCTTCATACTACTTTCTTATTAATAATATTAAACTATTTTCCATACTTACAGCATCTGGAGCAGCATGAGCATGGTGTCCCGCGAGGGATCTCCGGTGGAGCTGGCCACAATGTCCACGATGCCCTTGTCGTGCTGCCCGGCCCGCTGCAGCAGCTCCAGCAGCGCATCCCGCTTCGCCGGCGGCAGACGCTGCGGATTCTGGACGAGCGGTACGACATGGGCCAGGTGATCTCGATCCTCCTCCGATTTCCTCCTAGCACTAAGCATCGGTGAACCAGCTGGCACTCGAGGTGCTGGCTCCATCTGGCGGCGCGCCCCCTTGGCGACCTTGCTGCCCACCCCTTGGCCTGCCCTTCTCTTGACCTGGGTGGCTGGCGGTGGGGGTGGCTGATAGTCGCCGGCCCGCTCGATCCGCGAGAGCAGCAGCTCCAACTGCTGGTGGGCCTCCGCCATGGATTTGTTCTGCTTGGGTTGAGGGGGTTTCATGGGTGCAGGGGGCGGCTGGGAGGTGAGGTGGGGACACAGGTGAGAGTCGACCTTGGCGCGGACGGTTCGTAGATTCTGACGGACTTTGGGGCAAGGAGGAGCAGGCTGAGGCGCCGGGGGAGCAGGTCTGCGAAAAGTGGGTGGTGGCCCACCGAAGGCCAATCGCGAGGTGGACGGCATTGGGTGGGGCTGATTCCGGGTCTTGACCTCCGCTCGGCGACTCCGCTGGGTCACCGATCGACGGTCCCTGGCCGGCTGATCCTCCAGATAGGGATTGGAGGCGCCAAGGGCCTGGAAAACATTTATAAGAATTTTTAAAATGATTGCGCTATAATACATAATAGATCGCTAAAGGGTTTCTAAAATGGTTTTTATGATTTATGCTTAAAAATAGAAATATTGTGGCTATAAAATGTAAAAATCATCAATACTAATTACAATTAATATGAATCATTTCTTTTGTTTCTTTGAGTTATAAATTAAGTAACAAATAAATTTAATAATAAGTTTTAATAATGAGGATACATATTAGATCATATTTATTTTGTAATGTATATTTATTTGTGAATAATAATAAAAATCTGTTTTATCTTCTATATTATATCAATATCAAAACAAATAATTTAAGAACAAAGATCATAATGATTACATATTATTTATCATGATATAATTATAATTATAGGTACATATTATTTTTCATAAATAATTAAATAAATAGTAAAATTATATATTATAGACCTTACCCTGGCAGTGAGTACTTGTCGCGGTGGTTTCGGGGTTGGCAATAATGGCAACCGTTGGGCCTCCCGATCCCGCCGGAGGATCCTATTGGTGTTATGGCCAGGACGCACGACGGCCATGTTGGTGGGAGGGTTGGGCGGTGAAGGACGACTCCTCGGGGGGGTGGATAAAAGGGTGGCTGCGTTGGGGGGGTTCCTGCAGCGCTGGCTCCTCGCGGTCACCGCATCACCGCGACCACTGCGCCTGCGCACCAACTGACGCGACGACGCCGGCAGAGATTCCATGCCGTCGCTCTGCCGCTCCTCTGCCGCTTCTCTGCCGCTGCGCTGCCTCGCACGCCGCACGGTCGGCGGTTCAGTTTTCAGTTTCTTGGTCGACGCTCGCCGGTTCGGTTCGATTCAATCCGATCCGATATATTCAACACTATATATTTACGATTCGCGCTGTTTTTTGCCCGTTTTTTTTGTTATTTTTCGCGCTCTGCCAAAAGTTTCGCGTGTTTTATTGCCGCCACTGCCCTTTCTATCCCGGTTTTCAACTGAAATTTGTACGGTACACAAAGCAAAAAACTAAACAAACAAACAAAAAATATCTACGCAAAAATTGAGAGGGGGAAAACTTATTAATATTTGCTGCAATTACTTAAATTGTTTGAAGCCATCTGTTTTCTGTATTCCGAAGTTGCCTTTTGTTTGACAGCTTTTGCCAAGGGGGTTACTTTGTTTTGACGAGGTGCGATTGGTCAGTTTTTTTGGGAAATAAGTTCAATTTATTAAAGGGTCTAAATTAAGAAAAGCTTTAGAGTTCCTAAATATTTTAACTTTGAAACTAATAATATTTTCTTATTCAAAAGGTATTTAGGATTGTTTACGAATTTGGAAATCATTTTTAAAAAACCTCCATTTTTATATTTTTAAAATATTCAAGTGGTTTACAAACTTATTTATTTTTATAACTTATAATATTTATATTTTCTTTAAAGAAGGGTATCTCGAATTAATTATTGTTTTTTTTTCTAAGCAACCTCTGCAATTTATGTGTTTCTAATTTTTGCCTGTGTTTTCCCATTCACCTCGTTGTGTTCACCCAAAAACACCAGCTGAAACTAATGTCAACTGTATTTTTTTGAATATTTTTTTTGAAGTTACCAAACTCAAAATCAAACGAAAAAGCACTTGAGCAAAAGCAGCGGCAGCCAAAGCAGCTAACAAAATGGTAAGTGAAATGTATTGACCATTTCTCGGGGGAAAGGGAAAAAGAGTGGGTAGTGGGAGGCTAGGAGGCTGGGAGGCTGGGTGCTCCAAATTCAAATCACTTTCCAACTGGTCGCCCAGCTGGCTGTCCCAAACTCAAACCCAAATCCGAATACGAATCCAAAAACCAAATCTTCGGCGTGGGCGTTTTTCCAAACAGGTTGGAGATTGCTCATACGCCGCGTTGTCTATGTTCGCTTGGATTTTCCGCTTTCGATTTTTGGGCCTGAAAGTTAGTCAGTTTTCCGTTTTCTGCTTTCCATATGCAAGATTCATGGCACAAGTGTGTGAGCGGAATTTTGAGAGTGTCAACTGTCAGCGAAATCAACTAAAAACCAACTGAAATTGTCATCCATCTGGCTTTTGGCAAACCATAAAATGAAAAAAAAAAAAACAAACAAAAAATAAAATTCACGCACACTCGAATATGGTTTTGCCTTGCCATATTAGACTTTATGTTAATTACCATACTAAAAATAAGAAAAAAAAAAAAAAACAAAAAAAACACAAATAAAATAGTGATTTTGAAGAGTTACCAAGTGTCTGCCAAGTGGGCGATTCAAGTCGTGTTTTGGAAAATATTCGACGTTTCGAATAGTGTTTACCAGTGGGCGAAAGCAAAAGTGCGGATTAAGGGCCTCGCTTTCCATATATACGTGTATTTTATATATATATGTTTACCGACCTAAGGTTAAGCTAAGCCCAGAATATCTCCGCTCCGATGATATCATCCCTCGCTCTTTACACACGCCAAAAAATATCATCAATTTACAAAGCGATTTATTCGTTGTCCGCTTAATAAAATGAGCCATATAAATCAGCCACTTTGGCGAGCCTGCTTAACCAGAAGGTTTTGAAGAGTCATCACCATGATCACCATCATCGCCGTACTATAAAAATCATGATCGCGATCGGGATGGTCTGGTTTATTCACCCGACTAACAGCACGGAAATAAATGCTAGTTTCGGGGCTTGGCACTTTTTCTAAGACTTTGCTCTAACATTGTGATCTTTAAATAGTTTCCTTAGTAGTTGAATGAAAAAGGTTTGCTTTTATAACTAAAAAATCTAAACTCGATTGTCTTGCTTTTTGTTCTATTGAAACTAGGGCTTCGTTTAGGTTAATAATGTTCATATTGTTTTGATATCAGTCTTAAAAACCAATATAACTTGTTTACTTCATATCATGTTTACCTGTTATATTATTTTTTTAATGATCATTTTCAATCGCATCCTATTTTCTAGTATTTTTCTGTATTCATAAAAAGATTTCTTATATTTTCTCAAATAAATTCCAACTTTCTATAGACTTTTCTAAATTTATGTTGTATTTCCTTTTTTTCTTAATTTATTATAACAGATCTTAAAATTGTATAAAATATTTACCAGTTATATCATATTTTTAATGGTCTACATCCTATTTCTAGTCTTTTTCTCTACTATTTTTCTATTTTCTTTAATAAATTTCTACTTTCTATAGTTTTTTCTAAATTTATGTTGTATTTCCTTTTTTCTTAATTTATTATAACAGATCTTAAAATTTCCCAGCACAAATTTCAAATGTTTTTTTCCTCTTTTTGCCTAATCCGATCCATCGATCTTCCGCAAAAGTTTCTTATTTATATACAATTTGCCGTATATTACAAAGCCATTTCGGCATTTCACTCACAGTTTAAATGGCTATATTGGCCATTACGTATACGCATAGTGGGCCACGCGATGTTTAGAGTGTGAGTGCGGGGGATCTACTGGGGATCTTCTGCTTATTGGAGGCGTCTGGCTCTACGAATTATCGGATCCAAGGCTGTACACACATATTCCATATAGCATTTAAGATATTCCGTTGCTTCTCGCTGATTGACAACTCTGATTGATGGCCGTTGGGGGAACAACAATAGAGCAACAATCGAGAGCACTTGAAGCCAAACACCCACCCCCTCGCATGGCCACCCCCAATGATTCATGCATTCAATATTTTAATTATCGCCTGTGAATAAACAAAAAACAAAAAGAAATTGTAAAATTGTTTTCGACTTGTTGCGGTGGCCTCTGATGTATTGTTTTTTTCGCATTTCGTATTTATTTGTAATTGTTAGGTGTTTTTCTTTTGCTGCATCTGCTGCTTTTCAAGGGAAAAATATTGGAATTGCTTGCAGTATTGCGGCAATTAACTGATAAGAAATGCAAATCAACAGTCAACAGAAACGTAATAAGCGTGAAAATTGCAATTGGAGCTGAACTGAGTAAGCAAAAGATGTCAAGACAGTGGGTTAAATGGCAGCTTTCAGATTTTTAATTGGTTCAGTTTATGGATTCTTCGAAGAGAAGGAGTCATTGAACTTTGCTTGACAAAATTTAAAATATATTATTATATTATAATTATTATCTAATGCTAATTTATAGTTGAAACTATTACAATTATAACTATTATATTTTACAGTTTTTTATGCAATATTTGGTATTTTAACTATTTCAACTATTTGCAATTTATTACTTTTATGATTACCCTTTTTTTGCTTTATGTTACATATATTTCTAATTTAGTATTTAGTATCTGATTTGATACAATGTTTATAGGGCTTTGGGAATATTATAACATAATATAGTATTATGTTGGATTTAACTGATTACAAAAAAAGTGTGATATTATAATTTATTTTTGTTTTATTTTGTTTGCTGACCATTTCACTTAATTCTTTTTGTGTTTCCTTCGTGGCTTTTTGTTTGTATTCGTTTGTTATTGTTTTCTTTATCCAAGCAAACTCATTTGAAGTGTGCGAGGAGAGCCGCTGCTGCCCTTGGCCCCCTAAGAGTGCCCCCTCTCTCTCCCACTTCGTGCGTGTTTGCCTAATTCGATTCTAACTCTAGCGATGATCTAAGTGAGACGTCGTTTAATGCAGAAAGAAATGCTTGCTGTTGTTCTTGTTTTTGCCACATCTGGCGCAAAACTTTAAACAAGTGAAAACAAGAAAAAAAAAGAGAGAAAATCGAAGGAAATGTGCGTTTAATTTGTGCAAATTAAATTTCTCAAAATTACCGCACACCGAAATGTAAATAAAATCGAAATGAAATGAAAACATTTGATGGCTAGAAGAAAAGCCTCTTGCGAATATTGCGGATATTTCGCATTATTTCCGATTATTTATGAGCGCTGCATTTTTATGAGCAATCGCTGCGCTTTTTGAAAACCATTCGAACTTCTCACCTGACTTCTTGGGCGGTTTTAGCCCCAAGGTGATAATGGCCCAAACGTGCTGGTTATTATGGTGGGCCATACTAAAGGCTAATGGCTAATGGCTGAAAGTGTTGGCCCTAAAAAACGATGGACAATTGCGGTTAATTTCGGCAGGTGTTGGGTGGCCTTTTTGGGCTTGTGATTATTTTATTAAAAAACTGCATACTTTTGGGGTCAACTTTCATAAAAAAAATATTATTTGCCCAAAGAAACAGTTAACTTTTAATCTTAAGAATTTAAGAACCTGGAAAAAATTAGATTAAATTATTAAAAGAATAATTAATAAACAACTCAAATAAAATAATGGCCTAAACAAACAGTTTTCATTTTACATTTTAATAACTTTAGAACAATTATATTAAATGATAAATTATTATATGTAGCTACAATATTATATGTTGGTAAAAATACCTGGTACTTTTTTGTATATTGCTCAGGATTTTTATAAAAAGAAATTTTACAAAAGTCTAAAAAATTCCCTTAATACTTAGAATAGGACAATTCACACAAAAAGTACCATAAACAACTTAAAATATATTCGGATGCTAAGAGATAAATGTACTTATTTTTGAATTTATAAACAAATCCGAGTTGGAATATTTTTTCTATGCTATTCCCGTTTTTACAAAGAACTTTGGTGGCAACCCACTTAGGCCAACTCATTACTGTATAATATATTAATGTTATTATTGCTGCTGCTTTGTAAATGATTTTACGCTGATGCTCATCGTTTATTGTAGTATTATATTATATATATTTTGATATTTGCACTGGGGCCTTTGGCATTTGGTATTCGGTTACGTAAAATCGCGCCCGGCAGCTGTCTCTGCGGTTTTTGAACTTGCTGATGAGCTCTAAAACCGAGATGAATCCCATTTGCCCGCTCCCAGAAAAAAATCATGAAAAAACAAAAAATATGGTGTATTATGAAATATTTGAAGTACGTGATTTTCATTTGAAATGTGCGAAATTAATGGCTGTTCTTTTTCTGTTTTCTGTTTTCTGTTCTCCTTGCTTTTTTCCAGTCCGAGCCGGCGTCCGTCTGTCACAAGTGCAATGAGGTCATCGAGCAGCGCATCATCACGGCGCTGGGGATGACCTGGCATCCGGAGCACTTCGCCTGCAAGGACTGCCACCGGCCCATCTCGGAGGCGACCTTCAACATCCAGGCGGACGAGCCCGTCTGCTCCGACTGCTTCGTGAAGAACTACTCGGGCACCTGCTTCGGCTGCAAGAAGCCCATCCTGGAGGTGAGTAATTTAACCAGCTTAAATGGATATATTACTGGAATATTTCTGGTTCTAATACGACTTTAGGTTAGGATTAAATTTAAGAACTTTTATAAAACCCTATTAAAATCAGTAGTAGATTTTAAGATTTTTTATAGAATAGTTCTCTATAGTTTTTTCATATTTATTTATTTTTTTACACAATTCATTATTTTTTGCTTCCGAAAATTCCGAAATATTATTTTTGGGCTGCACAAATATCTATGTACTTCCCATCAGCGGTTCTGCGTATCTTTTTCCCTCAATAATCGCTATGATCGCATCGTCTGTTTGCCATAAACTTTGCCGCTTTATGAGCATCATTGTAATGAATACTGTCAACATTTACCTAGATACGTTGCGCCATAAAGCCACTTGGATATCTGCTCGTATATGCTTAGTGACGATTTAATTAAGGAAGCGATTGCGATATGTATTTTTAGACATTCACCAATTGAAACATGCAAGAAAGTTTGCGAAAATATAGCACTATTTAAGTATTCACCTTTAAAACTGAGAAAATCGAAACTGCACTTTTAACATTTCAGAAATAATAAAAATCGAAAATATTGTTTTTAATTGCTTTCCGCGAATTACATGGCCAAACTTTTCATTTACCATAGCGAGGCAATATTTTGCCAGCATATTAAGTGAATTGAGTGTGAGCAATGGGGATGAATAATTCTAAAATTATTATTCTGGAGAAAACCCTAACAGCAAGAAGCAAAGGTTGAAATATTAATTGCATTTTATGGTTTGCTAAAAATAGGTACCTACTTTTTTCCCTCAATTTTCTCTTGCGAATTAGTTGGAGAGCATTTATTATTCCACTTTGGCTGTTTAAATTTGCGCAAGGTCGGGCTGAACTCATCGTTTGTCGTCGTGGGTGTGTGCTCGATTGATTGGCTTTGATTATGATTATAAATATTTCTATATATGCACATTGTGTGCACTATTGGGGATTGGATGTAGTTTATATAGCCTTTGACTTAGCGATTTCTAGAACAGACTGAAAGTAGAAAACCACGGGTTGCATCTAAAAGTATGCAATAATAAATTATATATTTTACTGCATACTTTTAGACACCTTTCTTAGAGGATTCGGAAACGTAGTGATTTTTAAATTTGTGTTTAAATGGTGATATTTTTTATTTTTATAATGATGTATATTTTATATTTTTTAGCGCACCATCAAGGCCATGGAGCAGTCGTGGCACGAGGAGTGCTTCGTGTGCAACGGTCCCTGCAAGAAGCCGCTGGTGGGCACCTCCTTCTACGAGCGGGACGGCCATCCCTACTGCCGGGCGGACTTCGAGCAGCTGTTCGCCGCCCGCTGTGCCGGCTGTGGTCAACCCATTACGGAGAACGCGATTGTGGCCCTGAATGCCAAGTGGCATCGCGAATGCTTCAAGTGCAAGGTGATTATTCTCCGTGCACCATATTATATATATATAGATCATTAACCTATGATCCTGTGAACTTTCAGAAGTGCGGCACTCCCATTACGGCCAGCTCCTTTGCCGTGGAGGACAACAAGCCCCTGTGCACGGCCTGTTCCGGCTAGAAATCGGGTCATCCGCACCCTTAACACCCCGTACCATTCACTCCGATATATCCATGTATATTATCTATTCTTATGGTATTTGTAGTAATCCCATTTTGTCGAACCAATCCCCCGAGAACAAAGAAAGCAAAGACGAAGGTCGTGAAAATGGAAAGTGGAATGGCAGATGGAAAATGGCAAATGGAAATTCCAACCCACTGGAGGAAAGGGGAGGAGAAATTAAATTTTGTTTGATGGACAGGAACACGAGAAGTGCATTTGGTGGGTGGATGGATGAGCGGAGTGTGGCGGGGGGAGGTTGTTAATGCTTAAAATAATTGTAATTCTCCTTAGCTGATATACACATATATATCTCTATCTCTATGTCACTCTCACCCACTCCCAAACTACCCACAACGATCCTCTCTTGATATTCTCTTGATCGTTTTCGTACTGCACAAAGTATCTGATAAATGGTATATAAATAAAAAAATTAATCTTGAATCATTGTTGATATCTCTTACAAATAAACACAAAACAAACAAAAGATGATTGAAATTTTCTTGCGAATTATGAGTTAGTTGGAAGCTAAAATAATGCGACTTAAGGGGGATATGCAATTATGTAGGTTATATCTATTTAAAATATCAAAATATTAAAAGAAACATTTATAGTAAATTTAAAAAGGTACATCTTTGATTTTTATATATTCTATTTTTTTTAATAACTTGAAATATTTGAAATAAATATCACTAGTAATATAATATTTTCTAAATTGATTCAATAATTTTTTAATTAAATCAATTTAACTGTTTGAATTTATTACATATATTTATATTTATGTTTTGTATTTTTACTATGCCATTTATTTTCAGTATAGACTTAAGTCAAAAGCAGCCATTTATTTGCACTACTTAATACTAAATAATTTGGTTTAAGGGCTTTGTGAAGACCAGAGGATATGATGATTAAACAATTTGGAGGATCTATCTTGAAAATCTTGGGATCTTCTAATGCTTATCGCCCAGAAAGACATTCAGGGACTGTATCAGTGGATCGAGCACCTGTTCCACCTGCGAACGGGACACCAGTTGCAGGGCGTCCAGCAGAGCCCGATGCAGTTGCTCATCGCCCTGGTGACCCCGACCTCTTTTGTGGTGACCCTGATGCTGAACCGAAGTGGGCAGCAGGCTGAGCGAACTGGTTTCGGCCATTTGTATCTGAGTTTGCATATCGTCGCCGCCAGCGGATTGGCGTTCCAAATCACCAGGTAGTTCGGTGGGTGGATTAGTTGGTAGTCCCTGAGAGGTGGCGGCTCCTCCTCCTCCTCCTTGAGTGTTCCTAGGACGACGCATTCGGGGATTCGCCTGACTCCGCTCCTTGGGCACCAGACGCGGCTCGTACAGCTTGTGGTCATTCAGGCACATCTTGAGATCGTATCGCTCGTGGCAGCGCATCTTCTCCTGCCTCGGTTGAGTGGGTGCCTTTGGTCTTGCCTTCGGATGATTAATCTTCTTCTTTAGCTTCTTTTGGGGGTGGGATACCGTGCCCTTCCTGCCCTGCCGCCTCATCTCCTCCCTGGCCAACTTGAAGCGCTCCTCCTGCATGTCCTCGATGAAGCTCAGGAACCTGGTGCACCTCTCCTGCAGGCACTCCACCACCGGATCCTGCCGGTCCAGCATTCCCTTCTCCAGACAACAATTGGTCAGCGTGTAGATCATCTCGATGAGGGCGCTCAGCTTCTGGGGCACCTTCTCCAGCAGAAAGTACCGCAGCTGGCGCTGAAAGGTCTGAATGGACTGCTGCATCAAACCATACACGCAGACGACCCTTTGGCAGGCCTCGTTGGAGGTGGCGCTATTGAAGCTGGCCACCGTCGTGAACCGCACATCATCGATCATTCCCTTCAGGGGGTATAAAAAATTCCTCGAGAAGCGCACGCAGAACTCAAAGGCATTCCTCTGCCGCCTCTGACGCTCCTGGGCACTGCAGTGGGGCACCTGGAGCTGCAGCAGGCTGCTCTGCAGCTTGTCCAGACCCCCGATGATGCGCTCCTGGGTGAGGGTGATCTTGTTGTAGATGCCCAGCTTCTCGAACTTCAGATCCTCCAGCGATTTGCTGTAGACTATCAGGGGTTTGGCCTTGCGCCCGCGTCTGGGTTGATTCGGGGTCACCTTCGGGGTCACCAGCTCATCGCCTCCACCACCGGCAATTAACCTTCGTATTTTTGGGTTCACCTGATTAACCTTTATTCGGCGACTTTTTCCTGATTTCTGGACTGGCTTGGGAGGCACCTCCTCCTCCGCCTCCTGACCCTCTGATCTCTGGGAGGTATACCGCATGGGCGAGAGACTCCTGAGCAGGCTGACCTGGTGCGGCCGCCTCTCCAGCTCCACGAAGCAGGGCTGATCCCGGTCCCTGTCCACCGATCTCCGCGACTCACTGGAGCTGCACTGGAGCGGCCGTGGCTCCACGTAGCGCAGGTAGCCCTGCCGATCGGCATACTCGTGCTCCAGGTCGCTGTCCTCCAGGAAGAAGGGCGTCAGCGGCTCGGGCTCCAGGCTGCCGTGCTGCTCCATGAACTGGTAGGCCGACAGGGGCGTGGCATCGGGGGCGTGGCACACGTTGACCTGAATGGCCTGCGACATCATCGCCGAGGGCATGATGTCCGCCCAACGGGGCTGCGGCGAGTGATAGTCCTCGTAGGAGACCTGTTGCCTCCTCGTACTCCTCCTGGCCACCTGGGCACGCGGAGTGACCTCCGGACTGGCTGACCTCTGACCCAGGCTCTCTAGCTCCGCGCAAACCTCGCGATGCAGCTCCTCTAGCCTCTCGAAGGTGTGGCCACTGTGCACGGCCTCCACATGGCGACTCATCCGCCGCCTCCTCCTCCTCGTCTTGGCTTGTGGAGGATTCTTCTTCCTGCCCTTTAGATGCCTGGGTGACTCGGCTCCTCCGCAGAGACGCGGTGATTGCGGTGATCCCATCATCATCATCATATCATCACTGCTGCTATCGTTATCCTCGTTGCAGAGTGACAGCTGGGTCACCACGTCCAGGTCGCGGGAGGTCACCATGCTGGTCACATCCTGGCCGGGACGACGCACCTTGCAGAAGCGCGGCATGCTGGGCACATGGGATCGGCCCACCTCCCGTTGCCTCTTCAACTGGGCCAATTCGGCGCCCCGCGACGCGTTGTAGCGCCTCACCGCATTCGGAATGGATTCGGGTCCCGAAAACTACATCATATGATGATGTTGATATAACCAATTAATCGTTATGGAAAACCCCGTACTTACCCGAAACTCAAAGTTGCTACCTCGACCGGAGTTCTCCGCTTCAAAGGTGCAGCCGTACATATCCTGGTAGTTCATTATCCTCTACAGTAAATACCTATCGCGTCTATTTCTTGCTGCTGTTTTTTGGTCCTTAAATTTTGCTTCTAAACGTTTTTCCAAAAAATAAATAAAAAATAAATACAATAAAATGTCCGAGATACGTTGATCTGTTGATAGGTTTCTCACGAGTGTTACGATCGACTTAATGTTCTCAAAATTTATTGACTGTCTTTCCTTTTGAACTTCAGCCCAAAGTGACGACTTTAGTCGCCCTGCTCTGTTGAATTGAGATTTTGAAAGTGTTAAATGCCGTTTTACTACTTATTATTGCTGTAACTTGGCCAAAAATGTTATAGCGAAAAAACTGCAACGTTTTAGCGAAAAAACGGGTTTGGTTTTTTTTTGGAAATTCGCGATTTAAGTTTTTGACAAAAATTGGAATATTTTCTTTTGGGTTTTTTGCTGTAACTTGGCTAAAAATGGTCCTACACCAAAAATTCATACTGTTTTGAACAGATAACAAAATTTGCTATAAATCCATCAAACTTTCCGTGTAATTGTGGAAAAATAAAATTTTCGCCAATTTTTAATTTTTTTATAAGGGGGTACCCCATGATTTTTTGCGAAAAATTAAAAATGAATAAATTGTCAAGGTTTAAATGCCAATCGTTAGGAAATTTAATAACGAGTTCAGAAAGGTATGACAATCCATACTTTGAATCAGTATTTGCTTTGTTATAGCGAAAAAACTGCAACGTTTTAGCGAAAAAACGGGTTTGGTTTTTTTTTGGAAATTCGCGATTTCAGTTTTTGATAAAAATTGGAATATTTTCTTTTGGTTTTTTTGCTGTAACTTGGCTAAAAATGGTCCTACACCAAAAATTCATACTGTTTTGAACAGATAACAAAATTTGCTATAAATCCATCAAACTTTCCGTGTAATTGTGGAAAAATAAAATTTTCGCCAATTTTTAATTTTTTTATAAGGGGGTACCCCATGATTTTTTGCGAAAAATTAAAAATGAATAAATTGTCAAGATTTAAATGCCAATCGTTAGGAAATTTAATAACGAGTTCAGAAAGGTATGACAATCCATACTTTGAATCAGTATTTGCTTTGTTATAGCGAAAAAACTGCAACGTTTTAGCGAAAAAACGGGTTTGGTTTTTTTTTGGAAATTCGCGATTTCAGTTTTTGATAAAAATTGGAATATTTTCTTTTGGTTTTTTTGCTGTAACTTGGCTAAAAATGGTCCTACACCAAAAATTCATACTGTTTTGAACAGATAACAAAATTTGCTATAAATCCATCAAACTTTCCGTGTAATTTTGGAAAAATAAAATTTTCGCCAATTTTTAATTTTTTTATAAGGGGGTACCCCATGATTTTTTGCGAAAAATTAAAAATGATTAAATTGTCAAGATTTAAATGCCAATCGTTAGGAAATTTAATAACGAGTTCAGAAAGGTATGACAATCCATACTTTGAATCAGTATTTGCTTTGTTATAGCGAAAAAACTGCAACGTTTTAGCGAAAAAACGGGTTTGGTTTTTTTTTGGAAATTCGCGATTTCAGTTTTTGACAAAAATTGGAATATTTTCTTTTGGTTTTTTTGCTGTAACTTGGCTAAAAATGGTCCTACACCAAAAATTCATACTGTTTTGAACAGATAACAAAATTTGCTATAAATCCATCAAACTTTCCGTGTAATTTTGGAAAAATAAAATTTTCGCCAATTTTTAATTTTTTTATAAGGGGGTACCCCATGATTTTTTGCGAAAAATTAAAAATGATTAAATTGTCAAGATTTAAATGCCAATCGTTAGGAAATTTAATAACGAGTTCAGAAAGGTATGACAATCCATACTTTGAATCAGTATTTGCTTTGTTATAGCGAAAAAACTGCAACGTTTTTGGTTTTTTTTTGGAAATTCGCGATTTCAGTTTTTGACAAAAATTGGAATATTTTCTTTTGGTTTTTTTGCTGTAACTTGGCTAAAAATGGTCCTACACCAAAAATTCATACTGTTTTGAACAGATAACAAAATTTGCTATAAATCCATCAAACTTTCCGTGTAATTTTGGAAAAATAAAATTTTCGCCAATTTTTAATTTTTTTATAAGGGGGTACCCCATGATTTTTTGCGAAAAATTAAAAATGATTAAATTGTCAAGATTTAAATGCCAATCGTTAGGAAATTTAATAACGAGTTCAGAAAGGTATGACAATCCATACTTTGAATCAGTATTTGCTTTGTTATAGCGAAAAAACTGCAACGTTTTAGCGAAAAAACGGGTTTGGTTTTTTTTTGGAAATTCGCGATTTCAGTTTTTGACAAAAATTGGAATATTTTCTTTTGGTTTTTTTGCTGTAACTTGGCTAAAAATGGTCCTACACCAAAAATTCATACTGTTTTGAACAGATAACAAAATTTGCTATAAATCCATCAAACTTTCCGTGTAATTTTGGAAAAATAAAATTTTCGCCAATTTTTAATTTTTTTATAAGGGGGTACCCCATGATTTTTTGCGAAAAATTAAAAATGATTAAATTGTCAAGATTTAAATGCCAATCGTTAGGAAATTTAATAACGAGTTCAGAAAGGTATGACAATCCATACTTTGAATCAGTATTTGCTTTGTTATAGCGAAAAAACTGCAACGTTTTAGCGAAAAAACGGGTTTGGTTTTTTTTTTTGGAAATTCGCGATTTCAGTTTTTGACAAAAATTGGAATATTTTCTTTTGGTTTTTTTGCTGTAACTTGGCTAAAAATGGTCCTACACCAAAAATTCATACTGTTTTGAACAGATAACAAAATTTGCTATAAATCCATCAAACTTTCCGTGTAATTTTGGAAAAATAAAATTTTCGCCAATTTTTAATTTTTTTATAAGGGGGTACCCCATGATTTTTTGCGAAAAATTAAAAATGATTAAATTGTCAAGATTTAAATGCCAATCGTTAGGAAATTTAATAACGAGTTCAGAAAGGTATGACAATCCATACTTTGAATCAGTATTTGCTTTGTTATAGCGAAAAAACTGCAACGTTTTAGCGAAAAAACGGGTTTGGTTTTTTTTTTGGAAATTCGCGATTTCAGTTTTTGACAAAAATTGGAATATTTTCTTTTGGTTTTTTTGCTGTAACTTGGCTAAAAATGGTCCTACACCAAAAATTCATACTGTTTTGAACAGATAACAAAATTTGCTATAAATCCATCAAACTTTCCGTGTAATTTTGGAAAAATAAAATTTTCGCCAATTTTTAATTTTTTTATAAGGGGGTACCCCATGATTTTTTGCGAAAAATTAAAAATGATTAAATTGTCAAGATTTAAATGCCAATCGTTAGGAAATTTAATAACGAGTTCAGAAAGGTATGACAATCCATACTTTGAATCAGTATTTGCTTTGTTATAGCGAAAAAACTGCAACGTTTTAGCGAAAAAACGGGTTTGGTTTTTTTTTGGAAATTCGCGATTTCAGTTTTTGACAAAAATTGGAATATTTTCTTTTGGTTTTTTTGCTGTAACTTGGCTAAAAATGGTCCTACACCAAAAATTCATACTGTTTTGAACAGATAACAAAATTTGCTATAAATCCATCAAACTTTCCGTGTAATTTTGGAAAAATAAAATTTTCGCCAATTTTTAATTTTTTTATAAGGGGGTACCCCATGATTTTTTGCGAAAAATTAAAAATGATTAAATTGTCAAGATTTAAATGCCAATCGTTAGGAAATTTAATAACGAGTTCAGAAAGGTATGACAATCCATACTTTGAATCAGTATTTGCTTTGTTATAGCGAAAAAACTGCAACGTTTTAGCGAAAAAACGGGTTTGGTTTTTTTTTGGAAATTCGCGATTTCAGTTTTTGACAAAAATTGGAATATTTTCTTTTGGTTTTTTTGCTGTAACTTGGCTAAAAATGGTCCTACACCAAAAATTCATACTGTTTTGAACAGATAACAAAATTTGCTATAAATCCATCAAACTTTCCGTGTAATTTTGGAAAAATAAAATTTTCGCCAATTTTTAATTTTTTTATAAGGGGGTACCCCATGATTTTTTGCGAAAAATTAAAAATGATTAAATTGTCAAGATTTAAATGCCAATCGTTAGGAAATTTAATAACGAGTTCAGAAAGGTATGACAATCCATACTTTGAATCAGTATTTGCTTTGTTATAGCGAAAAAACTGCAACGTTTTAGCGAAAAAACGGGTTTGGTTTTTTTTTGGAAATTCGCGATTTCAGTTTTTGACAAAAATTGGAATATTTTCTTTTGGTTTTTTTGCTGTAACTTGGCTAAAAATGGTCCTACACCAAAAATTCATACTGTTTTGAACAGATAACAAAATTTGCTATAAATCCATCAAACTTTCCGTGTAATTTTGGAAAAATAAAATTTTCGCCAATTTTTAATTTTTTTATAAGGGGGTACCCCATGATTTTTTGCGAAAAATTAAAAATGATTAAATTGTCAAGATTTAAATGCCAATCGTTAGGAAATTTAATAACGAGTTCAGAAAGGTATGACAATCCATACTTTGAATCAGTATTTGCTTTGTTATAGCGAAAAAACTGCAACGTTTTAGCGAAAAAACGGGTTTGGTTTTTTTTTTGGAAATTCGCGATTTCAGTTTTTGACAAAAATTGGAATATTTTCTTTTGGTTTTTTTGCTGTAACTTGGCTAAAAATGGTCCTACACCAAAAATTCATACTGTTTTGAACAGATAACAAAATTTGCTATAAATCCATCAAACTTTCCGTGTAATTTTGGAAAAATAAAATTTTCGCCAATTTTTAATTTTTTTATAAGGGGGTACCCCATGATTTTTTGCGAAAAATTAAAAATGATTAAATTGTCAAGATTTAAATGCCAATCGTTAGGAAATTTAATAACGAGTTCAGAAAGGTATGACAATCCATACTTTGAATCAGTATTTGCTTTGTTATAGCGAAAAACTGCAACGTTTTAGCGAAAAAACGGGTTTGGTTTTTTTTGGAAATTCGCGATTTCAGTTTTTGACAAAAATTGGAATATTTTCTTTTGGTTTTTTTGCTGTAACTTGGCTAAAAATGGTCCTACACCAAAAATTCATACTGTTTTGAACAGATAACAAAATTTGCTATAAATCCATCAAACTTTCCGTGTAATTTTGGAAAAATAAAATTTTCGCCAATTTTTAATTTTTTTATAAGGGGGTACCCCATGATTTTT